CCCGTGTTCTAATCCAGAAACAAGCAACCAACCCGACACCACTACCAAGCACCTGACGACCCAGGTGACACACATACACTTCAGCCACCCCGTGCGCTGCCACATTCTCCAACGGGGAAAAAGTGGCCACCTGTCGGCCCCCATGCTTCAGGCAGCTCAACTGGCTCCACGTTTCCCGGGGCGTCGGGGTAGTAGCTCGCTCGCCCTCGAGCAAAAGGCAGACCACTTAAGAGCCACCGCCAGACATAGACCCGGCAGCGCTTTCCCCTAGCGTTGCACGCGGCCAAACCAATGCCCTCAAGCTGCCCAACATGCATCACGGCGACCAAACTGCCACAAAGCTAACAGGAAGACCAAGCAGAAGCTCCACCACACGAACCCGCACCAGTTACACTGGCGCCCGCAATGACCCCACAGCGGTGCCGCTAAACAATAACCGACACAAAAAACACCACAAAAAACCACCAGAAAAACCACGACCGAAACCGCACGAACAACAACCCACGACCGATTCCCACGCCCTGCCAGTAGCTGCCGCCAAGACTAGAAACGAGCCAGAACATTCTCCCTAGCACTCGTTTAGAATCCTTGTCGAGTAATATGCCCTACAAGAACTCACACAGCCTACAACTAGTTTTTTTTTAGCCTCCTGATGCTTTTAAATCTGTGCTACTACTTTTTAGTATATAAAAAGTATAGTTATAAAATAAAATAAAATATTTAGTCGCATAATTTTCAGGGATGCGCAGAAAGATGTATTAGCTATAGCCTTAATTGAAGTTGTACCCAAAAAAAACTCTCCACCCTCGAGCAACGTCGTTCAGAACGATTCTCTAGAGATTCTTCGCGAAGTCCTCACCCTAGAATGATTTTCAAGAAGCTTTCACCTCTCAGAACGAGCTCACAACAGCACTCAAGCCAGACTCTGGGGCGCCGAGCCATGGGACAGGTTGAAGGCGCCCTCGAACCACTCTTACGAGTGCCACCCTGTGAATGTTGTAAGACTGGTCCTAGTACTCACTTGTGATCGCTATGAGGATCGCCACTCTGTGAATTTGAAAGAACGCTCTTACTTAGTGCTCACTACTTGTGATGATGGATGGGCTACCAATCAATATAGTCACTTGTGATCGAGTAATCTCCTCTCCCGCGCGAAAAGATAAGACCCAACGAAAACTATGATCATTCCCCTCCACGCTAGTATTTATTACCCTAATTAGCCGTCGTAGAGCTCTTCTAACTCCGAAAGAAAGATACCTGAAAAAAGGGATACTAGCGCACAATCGGTGGAAGATTATGCCCTAGTACTACCCGAGTAGCAGTTGTAGTTGCTAATCCTTTCAGGAGGTACAGTCCGAAGTTGCAACGGGGAGGAAGGGCGCGCTTTCTGGTGAGGGGTTTTCAGTGCTCTTCGCTATTTTTCTTGTTGAGTCTGTAGAAGTACTCTCACACTTCTCCGAGAACATCAACGCGAGCCACCTTTGATGTTCTGTTGTTGGGCTACTGCCTTCATCTCCTCAGAAGAAGGTAGCTATGTTATTTTTTCGAAGCAACAAATGCCCTTTGCTCATCAGTCACTCATTCGCAGTATAAGCAGCAAAAGTGTCAGCGTAATTCATCAGCAGAGTCCTCATACACTGTAGCATAGGATAGAAGCGGGCCCACCCTCACCTCCTGCAGCGAGGAGACGAGTGTCGCTCATAAACTGCAGGATACTAGGATAGGAGTCGGCTAAACTCCTGCGAGGAAGCGAGCGCCGCGCATAGTTTGCATCCAGTGTTCATACAGTGCAGCTAATACAGTGTTGCGCTGGGCCCAGTCGTCCTGCTCTCTTGTCATGGCATCTCGAGAAATTAGCTCCTAAGGGGATTTCCTTAGTTCGTCCTAGGATAATTTGAATCAAACAGGACTTTCATGCCAACACATATATCACATTGCTTCTTACCAGCTGCTGCTCTGGCAATGAAATGATGTTCGAAAAACTGCAGTAAGCCGTGTAAATGAAAGTGATCTTCTACAAGAGCAAAAATAATTTAGCTCTATGACCCTTGAATATACTTGCCTACTTCCAGCGGAGCCCCGACTAGAAAAACCCTTGCTTATTCTTTAAGATTTAGAATCCTAGAGCAAGCAGCTGCACGGTGGACGATATGATAACTGTCAATCGGTTACGCAGTGAGTAGACGATATCTGATCTCCCTCAACATCCTCACGACATACTTTCGTCTTCTTTCTCTTACCTGCCCTTCTAAGTAATGTACTGGACTTAGAGCAGGCGTCTTCATAGAAGTACAGTACAGACAGCATGGCACTAGTCCTCACTAGCAAACTGCTCCTTGACGCGCGGGGAAGTAAGAATAAAGTCATGAACAGTGTTGAGCTAAAAGTTGAAGAGCTACCATTTGAAGACCCTTACTTTGATGATGAATGGAGAAAGATGCAGAAGACTAATTCCTATTCGTATTCCCCTGCTTCTGCTTTATCAAATAAGAATCTTAAATAGCAAGCTTTACTCTAGTACCCTAGGCCTTAAGCACACAGTGCGGCTTGTGCCTGACTCTTCGCCTTGAATACTCTAGTACCCTAGGCCTTAAGCACACAGTGCGGCTTGTGCCTGACCCTTCGCCCTGGGTTCGTGACTGACACCGATTGATGCGTGTAGTTCCCAGCACTTACTTACGTGGCATCCAAGGCTGGGTCCCCCCGTTTCAACCCCCGGTTTCCTTGATCTTTTTTTTAGGTACGACTAGACGCTCCCTCCCCACTAATCACTTACACCACTAAGCACTTTGATACTCACTCAAAGGGCGTAAGCCAGCGTGCAAAAAAACTGCCACAAAAAAAAAATCTGTCTACTCAATCACCCTTTCAAAAAAATTCTCGTTACAACTGCACACTTTTGCTACTTGGGCTTTCGAACTAGCCTAAGCCCCTCCTCCTTTTTTCTCTTCGCATCAGCCTGACGCACATTTTTCACATCACGAAAAACCTAAAATCAGACTGCGAGTGAGAGTGACAAATGAGCATAATGAGAGATTTGCTGCTTCTTTTTTCTCCTCACGTCGAGGACCATTCAGGCTAGCAGATGATCTTTATGATGAAGAAGATATTTGTGCTCATTTGAAAAAATGTTAAATCCCGTTTACGTCCCTACTAAGAATTAGATCATTTAGACTAAGTTAGACTTAGACTTCGAGAAGAACAATCAATCTACCTGAGCCACGCGCGCTGCACGCCGCATAATGATAATGGGGCATTGGCAAATATTTTAACTCGTATTGCAGACTCAGATGATGAGGAATAATATCACAAATCCGTCCGCCCTATTCTTCTCGTTTCTTCTTACAGAATCCGACTGCTTGCGTTAGCCGTGATTTGCTCGAAGGGCGATAGAATTATTGGTGGTAGGGATAAAGCGATAAAATACTCAAAGATCTTCCTCCTAAAAAAGTTTTATTTTAGTGCTTCCTTACTGGACGATCGAGGAACTGTACTAGTAAAAAGCTTGAGAAAATGCTTCAAAAAATCTTGTGGAGAATTTGACACAGAGAAAATGCGCTCCCCCCTCCGGGGTCTGCGGCTCGCGACCTTTCCGAGCGTAAGTCCTATCATGTTGACGCACTCTATGTCTATTTCTAAATGTTGAGCAGCCCTATAGGTTCCATGCCGAAAAAGATAACAAAAGCATTGCAATTTCTGTGCAGCTAATCGATAAATTGAAATCACCGAGTAACCATTGAAAATAAGGGAGATACTGAAAGAAGAGGAGTGCACGTAGTCAAGACCCTCTTACTTCAGTCAGTAACTCGATTACTTTGAGTTTTCGAATATCTAATCGCGATGGCAACTACAATCATCATCTTGAAGGACGGCCAGCACCAAGAGTACTGCCATGACATCGTAGCGGTTGGGTGGAGCGCTGTCAACATTCGCACCCCGCGGCCCGGATGATCCTGTCATGTGTGCGCTTCACGTTGCGGCAATTAATCGATCACCAAAAATGAAGCCTTATTTCATTACATAGAAGCCCTCCTCCTAACAATGTCTCGACGCAGATGAGACGTCCTTCTCCTCATCATGATAGAAAGATCGCATTATCATGATTGATAGCACCACTTCCACGATCATGTTAGCACCACGTCCACGGCCATCGAGAATAATCACAATTATGAACCACAATAATGATCAGAATGACGAGGACCATCCCCAATGGACCATAATAGACATGATCATGGCAACCACGAGTAATATCACGCCCATGATTGGATTCTGCTTCTGGTTCACTATTACTTATGTTGTCACTTCGCTGTCCTTCTCTCGTCGTGTGACGAAGATTTTATTCTCTTTACACCTCCGAGTAGAAGAACAAGTAGGGTCTACTTTTGTTGTCAAAACTACTAAAGACTAGAATTCTGTAGAACTCTTACTCTACTGCATTAGCTTTAGTAGGTAGCTGCTGGCTCCTCTTCTTTTTTTTCCCGATTCAGTATCCCAAGTTTTTTGCTTTTAATCTATGCACAACGATTTTTATTGACAATGTTACATTGCACCTATCAACATATTATTTCTCACGACATTTGTTTGGCCTCTCTCGCCTCCTCCTCAAAAAGTTGTAGAGACATAAGCTAACAATAGATCTTGATTTGAAGACGAAGAAAAGGGAAGCCCAGGCGATGTGGCCTATTCTTCTGCCAACACTGATAATAATGATGCTGGTACTAGGTTGCCGTGGTCCATTTCTAGTCGATTACGCCACAGAGGTAATGGCCAGTATAGCTTGCCGCGCTTTTTATGCTCACTCTACTTATTTATTATTCAGACAATATCGTGGCGGCCTTCGTTTCTTGCTATTTCCATGCGAATGGACAAGGGCGAACTGCTTCTAAAGATACTCTTCACATTTACTAAGTGGACTGAGTGAATGAATTCGATTGCGCAACATTTGACAGAGTCAGCGTTGTTGGAGTGATAAAATTCCAGCCATTTTCTAATTTTGTGGTTTAAATATAGTTTCTGGGATCCGGGCAATCAAAACCAGTCTTCGCGTAAACAATCAGACACGCTGTGCCAATTAAGATGAGCACGACAGCGGCAGCGCCGATTGAAATTGCGAGTCTGTTAGATCTTCCCGCTGATTGTCCCTAATGCGAAAACTTGGCACAATTTGGGCAAAAATTTGGATCGGAGTCCGTCTCATTATTTTCTTTGCTAAAGGCGTATGCCCTGCAGATCGGGACGCATGTCGAAAGCGTTGGCTTTTCTAATGTCCCTCACCCCAGTCGCCCTGGGTTTTTCATAAATGAATCACAACAGGCATCGCAAAGGGCGGAAACTGCAAGAGTAAGTTAGAACAGGCAAGCGGCAAAAAAAAAGTGGACTACTGCATAGAAGTAGGCGACAAAAGGCAGAAAAATGGACAGGCCAAGACCCTCCTCAAGTTCGCCGAGGGCTCACGCGTTTGTATAGTCATGCCCGAAGTGGGTGCCTCCGATCTTTTTCATTTCATTGGCGCCCGCGTGATACTATCGGCGCGAGCGTTGCAGATTGGAGAGCTGCGGGCGGTGGATCTTCCTTCTGCAACTGCGTGGGTGGGATGGTGGTAGATACGGGAGGGAAGCACGCCGCCGATAACAAACTAAAAGAGCCCCTCAGCGGGAACTCCCTGGGGTGGTACGAGCGAAGCCGAGCCGCTTCGCCAGAAGCTTCTCACCCAGATGGAAGCGCAGCAGCCACAAGATCAAGAACAAGCAGCACCCGCCACAGCACCAGTGTTGCAAATTGTTATCAGTCAGCCGAGATCCGGGGGCGCGCTGGCGGCTCCACGTCCGCACCTGTTTGCCAGCGACACACACCTGCGCAGCCCAGTCAACACCGCCACACAGTGCCCGCGCTCGTCCTTATTTGCGTTGGGCCTTTTCACTTTTTCCGTCTCAGCTACATATATACCATGGAGGGATGGAAAAAGCCAGCGAGGGAGTGCCACTGCTATAAAAGCGAACGCCCGACGCTTCTGCTTCTTACTCGTCTTCAGTTTTGTCTTACATTTTTCGCAGTCTGTCACCTGACGGCGCCACGCTCTGCCGCCGTCTCACTTCTTGCTTTTGCTTGTGTGTTCAAGAGGGAAAAGCCCCACGCCTCTGCCCTTTCATGGATGATTTTGCCGCGCTGCTGCTAGTCTTCACACCTTGCGAGCGTCCTCTAGATGGCCCAGCATGCTTCACCCCGGTATCAGTCAGTCACTTCCCCAAGGGGAGGAGGCCCAAAGCCTCCCCTTTGACTCTTCCCGACGCTGTCTCACTCCATTCGCCCCTGATAGATTTAGATCCGCCCCACCCGCGTCTCCTCTCTTCAACAAAGGAGGCCCGAAGCCCTGCGTCTCTCCCCGTTTTTGCGCTAGTTTCTTCGCCTCCGTCCCATACAATTCGCCACCCAGCTGCCACTCCTTCAAAGAGGGAAGGCGCGCCCTTAGCTGTCCTTTTCATTTTTGTAGCCCCACTCTTTTGACCTTCCTCAACTGGTCCGCTACCCTATGCGCGGGCCCGGTGCCACTTCTTTCGCCAAAGGCGGGGCCGGGGTCTCTTGCCTCTCCTTCCCATTTCTGTCCCCGTTTTTTCACCTCAGTCCACCACGGTGCACGCTCCCTCCCCGTCTCATCTCTTCAAAGGGAGAGGGCTCAGCCCCTCTAATTCTTCTTGTTTTTGTCCTGCGTTTTCGTCTATCTCAGTCTCCCAACTAAGTAACCATGTCGATGAGAATAGCAACGAGCGGCGGCCATACCAGAATTCTGCACGCCACTGCATGCCCCCCGCCACGTATGGGGGGAGCCTCACGCGCGAACACGCAAGACCGAAGGCCGAGCAGCCGAGGCACGCCAGCAAAAAAGGGGAGCCCTCCGCGGTAAGCCCTTTTTAGCCAGCAGGGCCCCAAGGTAGACGTCGGCGCAACGAGATGACGAAGCCGGCCGGGCCCACCACTAACTCAACCCTCAACGAATTAAGCAAGGCTTACGGGACGACGAGCGACGGCCACGCGGGGGGCAAGGTGCGTGAGGGGAAAGAACTCGGCGCGCCCCAAAATGGAAAACGGTGAAACCCTAAACCAGCCGGCGGACTGATGGAGCGAAAGGCCAACCGCTCTAGCTAGCCGGTCTCATAAATATATAAAGCCAAAGCGCAAAGAAGCGCGGAGTAAATAGAGATAAGAAGAGCAACGAGCCGCGGCCCTAGTTATCAGAATTCGGTGTGCCACTGCCCCCCGCCAAGCCTCTCGCGCGAAGACGCAAGACCGAAGGCCGACCAGCCGAAGCACGCCGGCAAAAAATAAAGGGGCTCCTCGTGGGAAGCCCTTTCTAGCGGGCAGGGCCCAGCGGTAGACTTCGGGGCCACTAGATAACGAAGCCGACCAGGCCATGCCAAATGAGATGCCAAGTGCGAGGCCGCCGGGGGTTCGCGGGAGCCCTCGGTGGCCAAGATGGGAGAGAGCGACCCCGGAACGGAGTGACCTACACTGACAGCCCAAAAGGCAGACGGACAAGAATAGCCCTGCGTGCCTGCACTGGCGGCAGCCGGGATCACTTCGCCCGACCATCACCATCGCGGCAGCCTGTACTGAAGGCCTTACTTAGTTCACATCACCCTGAGGGCCTGCACTGACGGCCACACCCATCTTCACCACCGACCCTGACGGCCTGCACGGACGGCCTTACCCATCACCACCGACCCTGACAGCCTGCACTGATGGCCCCATCTCAGTCGCCAGACCCTGCGCGGCCTGCACTGGCTACGGCCTAGACGGGAAAACATTCCGCACCATCCTGACAGCCTGCACCGAGAGCCTTACGCATCACCACCCTGACATCCTGCACTGACGGCCGCATCTCAATCACCGTCGTCAGCCCCTGCGCGGCCTGCAGTGGCGGCCCCATCTCAATCACCGCTGTCAGTCCCTGCGCGGCCTGCACTGACAGCCTAGACGGGAAAATGCTGCATGCCACAAAGCTTCTAGTACGTGCGCTCGCCTATCGCCAAAAGAGGACCACAAGGCGGGCACATGCAAAGGAAGCAGCCCTCCCCTCCAAAAGTTCACGAAAGAACGCGACCCGGCTTGCGAGAAACCGCGCCTACCCTGCCCCAAGGCAAGGCCGCGGGCCACGGTATCTAACCGCGGCGCGGGAGAGCGGTGCTACCCGAAGGGAACTTTACTCAGACGAAACGAAGCTGAGCTCCCCTCAGCTAAGACCTCGACGGTTTCCCGCGAGACGGAGTCTGCCGACTGCTACCAAGTTAGAAACTAACCCAAAGCAGCGAATCCCGGATCCGCGGCTTCGTCTTAAGCTCAGCGACGACCCTACCCCTGCGTAAAGCAAAGCGCGACGAACAGCCAAAGCACTCAAAATGGAGAGCGGTGAAACAAATCCAAGCGCCCGGCAGACTGACGTAGCGAACGGCCACCCGCTCTGCCCCATCAGATGATTGAATATAAAGCGCAAGCGCATGGTATACGCTGCCCCGTCTCGATGTGTTTCATTTGTTTCTTGAACAAGGAAGACAAGCAAGGAAAGGGCGCAAGCCCTCTGACGCTTCCCGGCTACTTTGTGTCTGTCCACCCTGTTCCCCCTGCTGTGATTTGGTCGCACGCCTGAGCCTGATCGCATGACCGACGCCAAGCCAAACAAGACTAGCGCGAACGCCCACCAAATGTCCACAAGGCTCAGCAAGCCCCCACGAGGTGCGACAATCAATCTTGACCAGAATAAAAAGCGCGAACACCTTGGTCTTTCATTTTCATAAGACCAAACGAAGACCAACAGCTGCCCACACGCTGACTATCAACAAAGCCGACTAAGCGCACTGAGCTGCCCAGCGGTTTCGCTTCTCGCTGGGCTTTTGCCTGTGCGTGCGCTTCGCAAGCTCGCTCGCATTCTTGGCCGCGCTACTGCAGTCGCCAGGCTCTTCACCCTTCGGACAATTCTGCGAGCGGCGAGCCCTAGCCAAGTAACCAAGGCCGAAAGCCTCAGCAGCGTCCTGCCGGTCGCAAGACTTTGGTAGAATTCTGCGGAGTACAGACTTACAACGGCAGGCGGCGCGTGCTCTGTCATCAAAAAATTTTGCAGAGTTTGCATTTTTCACAAAATTCCTAGCCAAATTGTGCCAATTTTTCGGGTATATTAGGTTCAATCACTCCAGCCGTATACCACTTGTGGTTGTTACCGGTGGCCTTTTTTTCTCCTCCTACGTCTTGTCCGTGTGCCGCAGGCATCGGCAAAAAACCCCGGCCGCCTCCTGGTTGTACCATAAGGAATGAAGACGCGGCCTGGCCGCGATACCACGCGCCTGCGCCACTTTGAAACAACAGACGCGCAAGACGGTCATAAACGCCCGCCACTCCACAATGCCCACAGCAAGAGCCATTAGAAATGGACGAAATGGCTACAGCTAACGACGTTCGTCCATTTACACTCTACTAGAATCCAAGCCCATTGAATAAGCTGCGAATACGATCATACATAGCTCCCAGGGCTTCCCTCTCAATCTCTCACCTTCTGAGCGTCACTCTCCGCCTATAACTGTACTCATTAGATGACACGACACGAGCGACGAGATGGGTTAGCCGTACAAGAACTAGCGCTGCTCCCATCCTCACTCACCGCAGTATTGACCAAATGGAGCGTCTGCGCTTTCATGTCTTGCCGGATGGCCATCTCCGTTCTTGAAAGACCCGCCACCGCTGCTTCGTCGTGCTGTTTAGAAGAGTGAGAGTCTACCGGCTTGCCTCGCTCCAAAATATCTAGACGATGGGGGCACTGAATGGACTACGAAAGAACACAGCTAGGCCGACTCAATGGCCATGCTGTTGCTGGGTTGTTCTTCCTTCTGTGTTTCAGTTGGTGTGGTAGTGTAGCCTCTGCGTTGCTTACATACTCATGGCGCACCGAAATCGCTTCTATTGTTCTTGCCCCGCCAAGCTTCTTCTACGGTATGAAGGTAAGAGAAGGACACACAAGTAGTCGACGAAGCAGTGACTAGGTAGATGCCTTTACTGAGAGAAGTGAGGGCTTGCACTACCACGATGAAGAACTTCACGCAACAGCAGCGAGAAAGACCAGCGCCAACGCCACAGCTTGACCTACTTATTCGAAAAACTGAAGTAAGCAAGTAACTGATCAGAATAAGCGAGATACTGACGAAAAGGAAGAGTAGCCGTGACGTTAAGCTACCTCCCTTATTTCAGTCAGTAACTCGGCGACTTTGAGTTTTCGAATAACTTTTGTCGCTCCTCGTTCTCCGTCATTGAAGTCGCCCAGTGCTCCCTCGGTGAGACTGGCATAGAAGCGACGAGAGTCAGCCGCCCCGGTAGGAAAAAAAAGCACCGCAGTTTTCTGCGCCACTGCTTGCGCCCCCTCCGCAATCAAGTCTCGGACCTTTGGCAAGAATTTAGAGTCGTACAAGAGAATGACTACTACCTAGGAAGACAATGGGAAGAAGAATTATGGCAATCCAAGCGGGGAACAAGAAGAGCCTGCGCACCTACCTGCTAGAACCAATGATCGAGGAGGCCATAAGAAGGCGACTGCATGTCTCTTGCAGTTGCGTCGACGTGGCGCCACTCTTGTTTTTGGAGAAACGTCGAAGCAGCCACAAAACCGGACGGATTGCCTTGCTATTGCCAGCGCTTTGGGCCACGTCCTCGCACAGCTTCTCTTAGAGCAGCTCGACGAAGCTTGTGTGCAGTTAAATCACGGCACAAGCGCGAAGCGCATGCTTCAAAAAGCACCACAATCAAGCTCAAGCACAACGACAGACACCACACGCCCCCCCCTCATCAAGGCGGGCTCAGTGCTTTCCATCGACTTGAGAGGGGGGCTGCGCTGGTAAATAACACCAAGTGCGTACTTCGACCGTGACTGAAGAGCTGGGTAGAGTTTGCCGAAAAAAATTTGATTTTGATAATGCCTCTACCTCGGCAAGCCTTAACTTTTTATGTCGTTTGGAATCTTCATAGTTAGACCGAGCGAGAAGACCACTTCGAGGCCATTTCTGGCGCTGTACATAGACGGCAGCGGCTTTACGACTGGCTTCATACTTTTGGAGGACTTTGAGAGCGCAAGAAGTCGCCGGTACTCGTCCAAGATATGGGACCACTGCACGGAGCCGGCCTTGCTCTGGATGATGTCAGTGTACTCCTCTGAGAATTAGAAGTAGAGCCCCTGCCAGTCCTCGCGCTAGTTGTCTATGCCTGTCATGTCTATGAATATATTTATGACCCACCTAGAATAGTAAAGTTAGCTCCTTTCCCTATTTGCGGCGCTTGGGGCGACAGTCCTGCGAGATGAATATCGCAGGCATTTGCTGTAGTACTTCTAATTACTCTTCCGGAATTCAACTAAGAGGTAGAAGAGGAGGGACGGGGCCGCCATCCTTCGCGCCCTTTTGATTGTTCCCTTTGAGAGCGGAAGCGGATCGCCACAAAGTTGCCGCGCTCTGTGCGGGGTGGTCGTCGGTCTCTAGCAGTAGTAACAGTCGCGCGCCCAATCATGGGGCTGGGCTATAAGAGAGTCTAGCCACGTTCTTGCCTTAAGGTAGCGCATGAAAATCCACAGACTGCGCCTCCGGCGTGTACGATGTGAGCCAGTTCATATCGTTGTAGCGGAAGAAAGATTAGACGAGGACGCCCTCTCCTATGGCTATGACCAGACAAACCGCAAAAGGCTGCAAAGACAAACCTTCTGCGCCGTCCGTTCGATGAAATTCCTACAGCGTTCGAAGTGTTTCCGAACGGCTTCGCGAATACTTTCGAAGGACTAGAGCAGTGAGTTTGGGAATTACTCTCAAGACCCGAACTTGGAAAAGGTTCACCATATTCGAAAAAAGCCGCTTTTTTTTGCAAAAAAGTCGCGCTTTTTTCAAATATGCATGGCGACCTTTGCGCGAAAAGTTTGGGCCTTCCAGTGTCGAAGTGTTCCGAAATACTGTGAGAATTTTTTCGAACGCTGTAGGCCAAAAGCTTCGAGCAACTAGACTGCTTCTCCTAAGGAAGCGAAGCATCAGAGACAGAGAATACTTCACCGCCATGATAATGCTGGGCAGGCCCTAGCTAAGAAAAAAAGGAGCAACCAATGGGACGCTGAAAAAGGAGAGCGCCCGAGGACCCCAGAGGGCAACCTTCTAAGAGTAAGACGCAAGCGCAACTGCGCGGCCATTTATTCAGCTAGCAACCCGCTTACATCAAGACCTCAGGCACATGCGCTAGAGGTGTTCGCAACCTTCTCCACCTCTCTCGTCCCATCATAAATATAGGCACCCACAGCGAGGTTTTTTACGCACGCACCCTCGCCTAAGCCGAGCCGCCTTGTCATCGAGTCCCAATTTTTCTTGAGGGACCACCGCTCGAATTTGCACAGGTCGCCGATTAGAGCGCAAAGCAGTCACGCAAATGCACTCGCCCTCCCCGAGGACATTTGCTCAGAACAGTCCCAAGGTGATGGAGATGAGCGACGCCGCAACTTCTCCCGATGCGGTCCTAGAGCTAAGAAGGAGGCCGGGAGATGAAATGCCTCAAAGTGTACGACTAAAGTAGAGCTATGTAGCTGAGCCTTAATCGGAGCGCGGTCTTTTCCTTCGGGTTGGCCGTCGAGAGCATCTGCACCGATTCCAACTTCTTAGAGGGAAGCTATCGCAAGAAGGCGAGGGCTAGTAATGGTAATCAAAATAATTATCACTCTGATGCGTCCGCACTAGAGGGCCCCAAGACTGGCGACAGCTCAAGACGATCGCTTCAATTGCAGGCACACTACTCAGAAGAAACACCCACTGGATGAAAGGTGAAGGGCATGGGAACAAAAAAGGGCCAAACGTAGTGAGCTAGAAGTAGGCGCGTCCTTAGTGCTTCTGCCTGTCCTAGGACATCTTCGCAGCTGCATAGAGTTCTTGCAAGAAAAGTAAACAGGAGCGGCATACTATGCTACTGCTACTACTACTGGGGCCGGCGATGGTTATACTTACTCACAGAGGGAGCGCACCTACTTGACGCGTTTGCTTTCTATTGATTCAGCAGAGCCAGAGAGACCGTAGTGCCCTAAGTTCATCCTGAGCACAGCCACAAAAACTGGAACCCTTCCCACAAGACGGCTGCTCCTGGAGAAAAACTGCAGTCCCGCGCAGGTTGGGCGACTTCATGCTGCTCATCTTGCTGCTGTTGTCATTTTCCATCTGCACCTTCGAGCCATCATCTCCCAGGCTGGGCGACTTGGCCTGCTTGTGAGTTCGGCGAAAAGTCATAGAACCGCGCAGGTTCGGCGACTTAGTCTTGGCGCTGTTCTCCTCGCTGCTCGTGATGCTTGTCGAGATAGAATTAGAAGAAGAAGAAGAAGGCGACAGAAGTGTAGTGCTAGCGGAGGCCTCACTTATAATATAATATCTTCCGACTATGTCGCCCGCTGTTATTGTTAGACCGCTCGCGGCTGTAGTGTCACTCAGTGACTGTAGCAGTAAAGTGTCTCGCTATATATTCGCTCGTCTGTGCGTCCCTGGGCCCTGCCTCGTCTTGTTGGGCTATATTGTCGAAGCTGCTACTCTTGTCGAAATATTTCCTAACCTGATGCAAAGTCTTGGCTTTGTGTCGGTTCCTACTTGGTAGAGATAGACGCTTCTCAGTAGGGCAGTCGCGTCTTATGATCTGAGACACAAGGGCTGCGAAGTACCTTCTTGAATCAAGAGAGAGAGAAGCCGCCCATAATTTCAGCCGCTTCCGCTTGGCCGTCAATGGCAAAAGACCCCTGCTGAAGTAGGGCAGCACCATGCTGAGCATCCTGCTGTAGACCAAGGACGAACACACGCTGCGGCCCCTGCACCTGCTGAACCAAGAGGAGGGCTGCTGAACCAAAACCGGCCGAACCGCGTTGGATATTCAGCACTTTTTTGGACGGCGCGGCTTTTCTGTGAAGATGCGCGCGGCTGGTGCTTTTTACCTGCATATTGTTGGTGATTTCTAGGCCCACTGGCGTTGGAAGCGACAAGATGGATACACTTTAATCCAAGCAACAAGCCCAAGGCCCAACAATACATAGAGCGACCCTCATCCTTCAGCGGATCTAGTTTACAGCTGGGTGAGTGGGTAAGTGAATGCGCCTAGCATGAGCGAGGAGAGCCATTGCAAGAAAAGACGTTTTTTATCAACAAGTACCGCGGCACTTCTAAAAGCAGAACGGCGGCCGGCCGCTTGTTTGGGGGCCGCTTGCTTGGCTTCAGATTCAAGACGCTGACGCGCACGCGCCCTGGCCCTTTTTACCTATATGCGTTGGGAGAAAAAATGGCCTATAGTGTCATAAGTCGCACTAATGATCGATCTACGGCGATAGTGGAGTAGTAGTCTAGTTATGTGTAGCATATTCATAGACTGATAGTTAGCAGTCGAGTTAAAAACTAGAATAGTAGCCGCCGAACTACTAATGATAGTAGTAGCAGTAGTCGTAGTCATAGTTAGCCGTAGTTAGCCGTAGCGTGTCGTAGTCAGTCGTAGTCTGTTAGTCGTAGTCTGTTAGTCGTAGTTTGTTAGTCGTAGTTTGTTAGTCGTAGCTTGTTAGTCGTAGTTTGTTAGTCATAGTTTGTCGTAGTCTGTTCGTCATAGTTCGTCGTAGTCTGTTAGTCATAGTTAGTGGTAGTTAGTGGTAGTTAGTGGTAGTTAGTGGTAGTTAGTGGTAGTCAGTGGTAGTCAGTGGTAGTCAGTGGTAGTTAGTAGTAGCTAGTAGTAGTTAGTAGTAGTTAGTCGTAGCTAGTCGTAGTTAGTAGTGGTTCGTAGTAGTTGGTAGTAGTTAGTGGTAGTTAGTGGTAGTCAGTAGTAGTTAGTAGGAGTTAGTAGGAGTTAGTAGGAGTTAGTAGGAGTTAGTAGTAGTTAGTTGTAGTTAGTCGTGGTAGTCAGTAGTAGTGAGTAGGAGTTAGTAGGAGTTAGTAGCAGTTAGTAGTAGTTAGTAGTAAATAGCAGTAGTTGGTAGTAGTTGGTAGTGCTTAGTAGTAGTTAGTAGTAAAGTAGTTAGTAGTAGTTAGTATTAGTTGGTAGTAGTTGGTAGTAGTTGGTAGTAGTTGGTAGTAGTTGGTAGTAGTTACTTAGTAGTAGTTACTTAGTAGTAGTTACTTAGTAGTAGTTACTTAGTAGTAGTTACTTAGTAGCTAGGACGTAGTTACCTAGTAGCTAGGACGTAGCTACTTAGTAATAGTGACCTCGTAGTAGTTACTTAGTAGTAGTTACTTAGTAGTAGTTACTTAGTAGTCGTTACTTAGTAGTAGTTACTTAGTAGTAGTTACTTAGTAGTAGTTACTTAGTAGTAGTTACTTAGTAGTAGCCACTTAGTAGTAGCAAGCTACTTTGTAGTAGTTGCTTAGTAAGTAGTAGTTAGTAGCAGTTAGTAGCGCTAGCGATTAATAGTTAGCAATAGCGTCGGAACACGCGAACACGTCCAGGCACTGGCACACTATGAAGCTCCTAAGAGCAATTAGGGCATCCATCGTCGCAATGTAACAGAGAGACGACCAGAACCGACGCGCCGCAAGGTCACTGACTGGCTAAGGCCCTAGAGTGATACCAAAATGGGCCCAATGTCATCGGGATACAATGAAGGGCCAGAGTGCAGCTATTGATCTGGAGGACCATGCTGCTCATTCATGTGCGTGGCTTCCATGTTCTTAGCTGCTCCATATCTTCTAGCTCTTCACGATGTGGCTGAGGGAGCTGCTAGCGTCTAAGACGTGGAACAGAGTAAGCAACAACCTTCGGGAATTCATTGAGTTCATCTGTTGACCACGCGAGGAACTCGCGAGAAATCAAGACAAGGGCCGGCGTCGATCATGATCAAGGTGACGAGTGAGGGCAGCCACGCCACCGGCATGCCCAGCAGGTTCATCCATAGGATCTAGAGCCAGTAACGACCACTGACCAACAAATGGCTGGTAGTAGTTAGCAATACTTAGTAGTAGTTAGTAGTAGTTAGGGGTAGTTAGGGGTGGTTAGGGGTAGTTAGGGGTAGTTAGGGGTAGTTAGGGGTAGTTAGGGGTAGTTAGGGGTAGTTAGGGGTAGTTAGGGGTAGTTAGGGGTAGTTAGGGGTAGTTAGGGGTAGTTAGGGGTAGTTAGGGGTAGTTAGGGGTAGTTAGGGGTAGTTAGGGGTAGTTAGGGGTAGTTAGGGGTAGTTAGGGGTAGTTAGGGGTAGTTAGGGGTAGTTAGGGGTAGTTAGGGGTAGTTAGGGGTAGTTAGGGGTAGTTAGGGGTAGTTAGGGGTAGTTAGGGGTAGTTAGTAGTAGTTAGTAGTAGTTAGTAGTAGTTAGTAGTAGTTAGTAGAAGTTAGTAGTAGTTAGTAGTAGTTAGTAGTAGTTCAAAGAGGGGAAGTAGTTCAAAGAGGGGAAAAGGGGAAGGGGGAGACGCATCCAGAGGCGGGGGCGTTTACGAGAGGTAGGGTAGCAGGTTGATGTAGTTGCTCTATGTTATGGGCCACGGTGATGACATCAAAGGGGACGAAGGTGGACAGACGAGATAGATTTTGGAAGAAGTACAGAAATACTCTACCTTTTTGCTTGCACTGGAGGCGCTTTTGAAGTTGGTACTGTTCTTGGCCCCGTTCGCCATCAGGCGCGATGATAATCGATTGCTTGACTTATAGGGAGACGCCAGCACCTGAGTGCTTTTATTCCATTGGAAAGAAGAAGACAAGGCGTGGTAGGTGTTCTGCTCGTGCGACTGATATCTGTCACGACACGTTTTTCCCGTTGATAGTGATGATACTTCAAGACCATGACAATTCTGAAGATCTACCTTGTTTCCTGCGGCGGGTATTGTCGTTGGGTCCTGAGTAGACGTAGAGCCGGCCTCGCTGTTCGTCAGCACCGAGACCATGTTAGAAGAGCTCAACATCTCCAGCTGCTTGGCAGCGATTTCCGGGGCCATCATCTTCTTAAGGCTGGTGAGTATACGTTTCAAGATGGTGCTTCTTGTTCTTGAGCTACTTCGAGAGCTACAAGGTCGATAAAATCTAAACCCTCTGCCCCTGCAGTAGTATTCTGTGAGTTAAAAGGTAGTAGACGAAAGCTCTAGACTCTAGTAACTCTGAACAGACCAAGGCCCAAAAAACAAGGCCCAATCAGAAGGCTCAACCAACTAAGGCCCAACCAACCAAGGGCCAACCAACCAAGGGCCAACCAACCAAGGCCCAACCGACCAAAGCCCAACGAACCAACCAAGCCCAAAGCCCCGCCAACCAAGCAAGGCCCAACCAACCAAGGCCCAACCAACCAAGGCCAAACCAACCAAAGCCAAACCAACCGAGGGAGGCCAAACCAACCGAGGCCCGGCCAACCAAGTAAGCCCAACCAACCAAAGCCCAGCCAGCGCGGAGCAAGGCGAAGGCCTTGACAATTGCCAAGGCAAACAAGCGAGCAAAGCCTTGGCAGGTGTTGGAGACCACCGCGCCCGAAGACTGCCGACAGCGGAGAACCTTGGCGAAAAGTTGCCGGGGCTCACGCGCGCCGCTTTCGCGCCTGTCCACTTCACGCGGCGCCTGCTAAGCCTCTGAAAGCAGAGCCGACAGAACCAACACACGACCAGCCCGGTAACACACTGCACTGAGAGCACCACAAGCCAACGAGCCAGCCTGCGACGCAGCCGCCCGACAAATTTCCAAACAAATGCACAGCCTAAAAGGCTGCACAGCTTTGGGGAGAGAAACAGAAAGACCACACAAAGCAGACACAGAAGACGCGGAGCCCTATGCGCTCCCTCCCGCTGCAAATTGTCACGAGTTTGCTCCTGGCGGTCCATTTTCATGCCTTCACCAAGAAAAACAAGGAAGGCAAAAGCTGCAGAATCTTCGCGAAGTGTTTGCTTTGACCATGTTGGAACTTCGTGCGTTTATCTTTTCAGAAAGATTCCGCGCAGATTTTTCACAGATTTCCTTCGCGAACTTTTCACCAAGATTCTTCTTTCTAAAGTGACAAGAGAGACCAGAAGCCGCTGGAGGTGTTCAAGCGTGGAAAGCTGGCCGCCGCCGGCTTATGGTGACACTGCTCCCCCGCCTGCGTTTCCCCTGTCCTCCGCCCCGGTGTCCTACGCTTCAGGGGGCTCACACAAGCGCGCCACGCCTGCACCCAGGGCGGCGCCGATGCCAGCGGCATGCGAGCGGCCCACAACGAACCGGCGCCGAGCCCGAGGCTGCCACCAACGACGAAACACAAAACGAACGAAAAGCAGCGCCAGGCGCTTCGGCGCCTGGTTTGGCCTTTCAAGCAAAAAGACAACGAAGACCAATCCGGGCAACTTTTCCGGAAAACTTCGCACACGTCTTTCACATCGTCGCGGCGGTCACCAACAGGGGGCAAACTGGCCAGGGAAAGTCTTGGCAATTTCCAAGCCAATGAGTCAAGCGATAGCCTTGACAAATGCCAGCCCAGCCCAAGCCTTGAAAATTGCCAAGCCAATCCATCGGGCGAAAGCTTTCCCAAATGGAAACGCCAACCCAGCCAAAGCTTTGGCAATTGCCAATAGTTGTCAATTGCCAAGCCAATCGGGCGAAGGCCTCGACAATTGCCCAAGCAAACCAGCCAAAGCCTTGGCAATTGCCAAGGCAAACGGGCGAAGGCCTTGACAATTGCCAAAGCAAACCGGCGAAGGCCTTGACAGATGTCAATCCGGCCAGTGCCTTGACAATTGCCAAGCCAATGAATCAGGCGAAGGCCTTGCGGACAAATGCCAAGGCAAACCGGCGAAAGCTTTGACAAATGTCAAGCAAGGCAAACAGGCGAGGGCCTTGACAATTGCCAAGGCAAACCAGCCAAAGCCTTGACAAATGCCAAAGCAAGCGGGCGAGCAAAGCCTTGGCACACAATTGCCAAGGCACACAGGCGAAGGCCTTGACAGTTGCCAAGGCAAACCGGCCAAGGCCTTGACGATTGCCAAGGCAAACGGGCGCAGGAAAGCCTTGGCAATTGCCAAAGCAAACAAGCCAAGGCCCTGCCTGGCAATTGCCAAGGCGTACGGGCGAAGGCCTTGGCGGAAGCAATTGCCAAAGCAAACGGGCGAAGGCCTTGGCAACCAAGTGCCAAAGCAAACAGGCCAAGGCCTTGGCAATTGCCAAGGCACACAGGCGAAGGCCTTGGCAATAGCCAAGGCAAACGGTAGCGGGCGAAGGCCTTGGCAATTCATTGCCAGGGCAAATGGGCGAAGGCCTTGGCAATGACGGGCGAAGGCCTTAGCAATAGCCAAGGCAAACGGTAGCGGGCGAAGGCCTTGGCAATTCATTGCCAGGGCAAATGGGCGAAGGCCTTGGCAATGACGGGCGAAGGCCTTGGCAATTGCCAAGGCAAACAAGCCAAAGCCTTGGCAATTGCCAAGCCGTACGGGCGAATGCCTTGGCAATTGCCACAGCAGACAGGCCCAAGCCTTGGCAGTTACCAAACAAAGCACACCGGCGAAAAGACAAAAATTCGAAAAGAAGGAAAAAACACGGACCCAGAGGCCCCCTAAAAAAAATCATGCGGGCCAAGTCCATAGGTTTAGAAAACCACCCAAGGAAGAGTGAGACACCCGCGGGGACAAATACCAGCCAAGAAAGAAGCGCACTAGCCTGCGCTAGTGCCAAAGACTTGCGACCCCACAACGAGAACGAAGACACCGAGACGACCTCGAAGGCAAGCCACGCACGGTGAGGCCACAGAGAAAAGCAGACCCACTGACGCGGGCCTCCCTGCTCTGCTCTGTACAGTGAGTACGCACTTACATAAAGGGGACGCGCAGTCAAGTCCGCCGCAGGGGCGTGCCACGCTGCTAGTCTTGGCACTTCTGCTTACGCATGCTGTTGCTAAATGGAACACCGAGGGCCCCACAAGATAGACGCTGGCGCAGCCGTGCTCCTTCATTCATCGCCACCAGAGAAGCGAAGGAGCGGGCGCACAGATGAAGATGCCCGCAAAAGCACCCCCCCAGCTCTTGGGCGCACTGGAAATTGCAACGGGCCTAAAAATAATACGAATGCCCACCCCCGAACCCTGGCAGCTCAGGGCGCGCAAGCTTCACGTCGATTGCACAAATATAGGTAGAAAACTAGCGGCGGAACACGCCCTCCCCGGCCCTAGACATCAAAAGGCAAGCAAACCCAGGCCGCCGATTCTAACTCGTTTCGAAATGAACCGACCACAGCAGACAGACGCCGGGCCACACCCTAAGAGCGAGCAGCCTCTTGCGAGCCCCCCATCGGACTTCGCCTTTCGGCTTGATAGTCCGAACCCTACTCCCAGCAACCCCAGCCAAGGCGCCAAGCCTTCACGATCGGCACCAAAGAAGTGCGCGGGCCTGATCGCGAGGCCGCAGATAGAGGGAAAGCCAAACGCCCGAGCAGCAGGCCACATCTAAGTGAGGAAGACGAGGAGCAGGGCCCCACCCTTGCGTGGATCTGTCCAGCCCGCCTCCGCTTAGTTACGTGAAACAGGCATCCTTCTTGGTCAAGACCACGCCAAGGCCTCAGGCTACCCTGCGCTGTCGGGTCTTCCAGTGAGTGAATGGCACGGACGAAATTTGTGGCATCAGAAACAAATCGCCCGCGGCCAAGTTGAGTCACAAATGGGGAGGAAAGGCGAGAGTCTGTCCAGTCGGAGCACCAGCTTTCATCTTGGTGCGAGATGACGAACACAGCGACCGGGCGTAGGTGCCAAACAACGAACTAACCGACTTTCTCTACTGCGACTTCGCTTGATTCCTGTCAACCCTTGCCTCTGTGTCCCCTTGTTGACTTGCAGCAAGGCCAAGCCAGGAATGTGGACCCAGATTCATTGCCCCACCCACCTCGACTCAGGGGCCCACTAATAGCGTCAGAAATTGTGATAGCTATAACTCAAAATGAGTAAACTTTACCTGAAAAAGTTTGCAGTTGCCGCGAGCCTGATGCCTGAGGGATAGCCCTGCGACACTTCCGCTCGATCACTTTCCGATAGCTTTACGACAGCCGCAGCGCGCGCTTGTGATTGTGTTGGACGCTGCTTACGCAGGACTTGTAGGCTAGGACACAACGATAAGACACTTCAACAACATTCAAAAGCCGTGAGTTTTATTCAAAATCCGTTTTCGTTTCACGTCTAGTTCAAAATCCGTTTGCTAATCGATGCTGAGTACTCGTTAAGCTGTGGGGCACTGTGCTTCTTTTAGGTGTCTTCTGTGCGACGAATACGAACTGAGCATTACATTCCAACGAAAGGATAAGGAAGTGAAGCTAGCTCTGTCTGTTTGGTAGAAGCAAGTCAATGGAAATGGAGACAATGATGAAAAAGATAATCAAAAGAGGACTCGGGAGAAAAGTGTGGGCTTCGCTCTCGACGTCGTCTATATCTCTTTCGCTGTAAGATTTGGATGGAATGAAAAATTCAAAATAATTTGAAATAGTTACTACTGAAGTGTTAAGCCGCTAGTGTCGTTACGCAATTAGCATCGAAAATGTTTTTTCAAACAAGTCGAAAGATGTGGGATCAAAGCGAGGAAGTCACGGGGTCCGCTCTCGTGTGAAGTTGGAGAGTAGAAGAAGATTTATAGAAGCTCGTCTATGACGTTGATAAAACACTAATTCATCGTGATGATCTTGTCTCTTAGTAATCCAGTAACCTCTTCATCACTCACCTCATCGTCAGAAACTCAATGGGCAAGCAACTCGACAACAACCTCCTACCGAAGAAAGACAGAGAAACATTCTTAGACAGAAAGAGAAAATGGACAGAAAACATATATATTAGTCGCAACTTGAAGTTTGTGCTTTCTCATCGTCTTGCCCTCAAGGTCAAAAGTGGAGACACAGTAGAGCAATTGAGAAACTCATCTCTTCACTCATCTCGTCTACTCGTCTTGACCTGCTCTTGAACACAATTATTAACATTAGTCTCTCAACAAAAACAATCTGAATCTCGGCAACGGCATTCGTGACACAATATAAAGCAAGTAAGATGTATCTCTCGTTCATCTCGTCTACTGAGTCGTGATGTGCTCGTCATCTAAGACGATGACGATCACGATTAAGTAGACGATTCGCATTCGCCTTGACCTCACAATATATTTCTCAACATTGCTCTCTAGAATTCGCAAACTAAAAATAGATTGGAAGAGCTGAAAGGCTGCACGGATGCGCCCCTATTGATGCCATCTTTCCTGAAGGTAGCCGTAGGAACTAGACTGAGACGAGACTCAAGGCTGACTACAGCAAGAATTGAAAGTAAGATATTTTAAAGGTAGTTTTTCACTATCCCGAGTCGAGTGGGTTGCGCTCTTTGGCCCTTAGTTTCTTTCCCCTTCAAGAAATCAAAGGAGGGGACTCCACTCAGCATAGTTCACATGGGATAGAGATAGTGATAAACCACCCTTAATCTACTTGATCCGCAGTTCGAATCAAGCGAAGTCCTATCGTCCATCATAAGCAGCACGACCCTCAGGGACCCCTTTTTACCGTCTTTGATAGAATGAAAGCAAACTTCTAGTTCCAACCCCCTTCGACTCATGCCAGGCGCAAGGAACTGTGCACCAGACTGCCATAAAGCTCAAATGCCGGTAGCTGTTGTCGAAGGAATTGCGGAGGAAACTCCATGTTTGAGTGTGACGAGGGACGAGGGCGTTGAGAACGATCCCCACCACCGTCTCCTTTGAGACAGAGCCCGACCCTCTTTGAGTACCACGATCCTTTGCCCGAAGAAGATTAGATTTTTAGTAGCCTTAGTAGAAGGCAGCTCCCGCCTCAGCCCTGCGCATGGAGCACCGGATCGGCACATGCGACGAGGCATGCGTAGGATAAAGAATCACTAAGTCTCTTCCTGTAGTACTCTTCCTGCCAACTTTTCAAAGACTGTAAGCACAACTCCTCTTCACAGGAGCCACTCGGTGGATGATGAGTGGATGTGTGGAACTGGGCCTGGAGTGGTAGATGGCTGATCTTCTTCTTGCTTGGCTAAAGTTATGTGGAGCATTTACATGCACTCCTGAAACTTACCTTCCACGACTTCGACTTTTTCGGAATTGCCACAAAGATGAAGGCTTCTAACCAAATAAATGCCAGATGAAACTGAAAAGAATGGATGCGTCGTGTTCTTCAGTTCTTTTTAGTACCTATTCCTCAACTAGCACATAGACGGTCGCTGATTCACCAAGTCCAGTTCCCCCGATGCGAAGAAGAACACACGAACACAACTTCTTGATACTTTCTTCTTGGCGCGCGTACGCGTACCCGTACAACAGGTACCTTCGTAGACCTACGTCTTATGTTTTTTGGGATTTTTCATTTTCAGATGAATCCAACATCCATGCCGAGTTAATGTTATTCAAATGTAATGGAGTTAATGATGTCGTGTAGTATCTCGTATAAGCTATATCGAATTGCGAGTTTCAAGAAGTTCTGCATTCCTTGCCCGAGAGTCTGACTTTTTTTTGAGCATGAAGACGGACGAAAGACGGACCCACGACGATGGTTTTCCTATGCTTCACACGATGAGAGAGGCAAAGAAGGCAGACAAAGAACGCAGACGAAGAAGCGAGTCGATACATTTGATTACCGTCATTTTGTTAACTTTCTCTTTGTTTTCGATCCGTCGGCACTTCGTCAACAACTGGCCCCCTTTCTGCTTTTTTAGGCGTTACATCTACGGCGTAGAGTGACGCAAGACGTTTACTCTGCTGATGGTCTAGCATGCGCATGCCCCTGCTTACGGCGTTAAGTTCTGCCTTTTTTTCATAAGAAACAGAAAAAAAATTTCTGCTATCTTATCAAAAAACTAAAGTCGGCGCCTTCGTTAGTTTTCGTCTACACTCTGCGTCCCTGCGTCATGTTTCTCTCTCGAAACGCTTCTCCATGGCCCAGCCCTCTAAAGCTCTCCCTCTCTCAGGTCTATGATCTGCCGACGCAGTTGGTAGCCGCAGCACCCGCCAAGGAGTGCGCGACGTCAGCCACCATCCACAAGGGTGGCGATGCCTCTGCGCTGAAACTCGTGCGCAGTATGGGCGAAAATAAATCGCAAGTCCATACTGATTTGCTCACGGTGCCGAACGTGCTCCGCCGCGATTTTTTGGAGAAGTATGAAAGTGAAAAGCTTAGCGCTGCTGCGTACCAACCACCCCAAGCCCCTACGCAGCACCCCACGGGTTTGCCTACTTCCGATCCCTCTGCGCCTTCTTCGTCAGAGCTCCCAGCGAGCTCAAGCGGCTGCTGCTGGTAAGTGTCGAACTCTTTGCGTGAGAAGCTACCCCAGCCCATACGCAGCCGAAAAGCTTGAAGGGAATTCGTCACATTCATACCCCGCCGCATTTCCACTCCCGGCGGGTTCTTCGTCTGATACCAACATCGACGCAGAAGCACGCAAGCAAAGAACAAGAACGAACCAACTTCGCGATCAGCGAATCGCCCGAGGCTACCTACCACGACGATGAAAAGCGCTAGCACGAGCAAAGCGCTGGGGAAAAGCCTGCCCCTACGAAGAAAATGGCGAAAGTGCGCAACCCAATGAAAAAAAACACAAAGCAACCGAAAGCAGCGACGAAGGCTACCAAAGTACCGAAGAAAGCTGCCAAAACACCGGGGAAAGCTGTCAAAAAAATGATGGCCATGGAAGCGGAGTAGCTTGCTATATGACTTCCCCACTGTGGCTCGCATCGCTTTCGAAAGCCAACGGGAGACGCACTCTCATCAGTTTCCGAGTTTAGAACGCAAGGCGCCACGCACTTCAGTAAAATAAAAGCAAATCGATCAAGTTCGAGAATCAAAGCGCGGCAGTCAGGTTGATGGCTCTCATTTTCCATCCATCCAAGTAGAGGCCTTCGAGCAAGATAGAAAAAGCAAGCAGGCAACACGTATGGAAACAGTAAGCGAGTACCCCGCTCGGTGATATGTTAGAAAGAGCGCCAGTAAATCACTGCGAGTCAGCGCTATCCTTTACAAATTACATAGAGAGCCCCCAGACAAGCCCAGAACGCATGGCGCGCGCCACAGTTGTGACGAACTTCGCACACGGCTGAGGATCAAGATCAAAACGAATGCCACAGCAAAGCCATGGCATACCGGTGAGCTATCAGCTTAACCAGCCCGCAGCATACCATACGCATGCCACACGCATAAAATAAATGCCAGGAGCATCCAAATGACACGACGCCAAATACATAGGGCCGCACAATCAAACCAGGAGCCACATCAGCGCGCGGGATTTGCATCACCTGGCTAACGCGTCTAGCATTGCGCGCGTGTTCTCTTGCATTTTTTGCAAGCGACGCCATCGGTGTCGACAGTTCACTTCAGCCGATGCACTGCGCGCGACATGAGAGGAGCTAAACCGGACAAAAAAGCAAAACAAAGCCACAAAGCGCGTCAGAGTTGCGCGCTTCATTGTTATGCCATCGAGGTCGGGCTTGGTCTCTCTTTTGCTCTCTATGCATAGAATTCAAATGCTCCGCGTTTTCTTCTGCTTTCTTGTCATGTCTTTGCTGCAAGTCATGCCATTGCCGTGCTTCTTCTGGGGCAAAAGATGTCGCACCTGCGCCGGCGCCAGCTGAACGGGAACGACGACGGAGACACTTGCGGCACGTTTCTTTTTGGAATTGGAAACCAAAGAAAACAAAACACCAGCCCAGCAATGCGGCTGAGATGATCTTCACGGGCGCGAGCACTGTCCACGCATGAGCATGAAGCACGGGAACACTATGGAAAATGGGCACTACTGTGCTACCACCAAGATCAGGACGATGGTGATGATGTACGCCTACCGATCGGGTGAGGCGGGGTGCCATCTCATCCCTGCAGCTGTTACCATCAAGATCAACCACAACGCGCCAAGACTTTTGCTGCTTCGTCAGTGTTAACGTATAGGATTCTCACCGCATCGATCTACTTCTAACGCGCGAGCCAGCGAAGTCGTGCTTCTTAAGCACTCGCTTCGCTGATAGCAATCCTAAAACCAGCGGAACCAACCAAGTCGCTCGCTTTGGGCTATGCTACTGCTTTAGCCGCTGCGGGATTCAATAAGCCACGGCCACGGGCTCAAAGCGATAAGCGCCGCGCTTGTTTTACGGTAGAAGGCAGAAGCCCGGCAGCAGTGCAGCACTTTGGCCCCCCTTCAGGCTACCCCGTTGCGCGGTTTTTGTATCATGGAGAAGCATGGACAAGCTCCCCCGCGACGGTTTCGCCAATATCTGAAACAGCGCAGCCCGCTGCAATCTCAATCCGTTTGCTGGTCAAAGTGCTGGCTTATCGAATCCAGGTAGTCCGTGCCGTACGTGCTACAAGTTTGCTCTCTATTAATTCGCTGGCCAAGTCCTCTCCTTTAGGTGTTCCCTCTGTGTGGGGCGCTTTGGCAAGTTCTCCCGCGATCGGGGGGTGGTCGCTGTTTTTGTTTTTCTGATTCGCTCGGCCTCTAAGATTGTTCCGGTTCTTGCTGCCAGCAAGCTCTTCAAGGTTTTCACCGCATTGGACAAGCAACACAGTGGCAAGAGCTAGGCTGGGCCTCTCGCGTATACTGGTCAAAATTTCTGAGCGGGTGCGTTGTCTCAATCTGGTGCGAATCCATTATCTTGCGCGCAAGAGTTTGCAACTTCTTCAAAAATGTCGCGCGCAGCAACTGTCTGCAGCAGCACCAGACCCGTCGGGCTCTGAATGTAATGGCCTTTCTTCTGCTGAGTGGCAGTTCTCAACTTTTTCAGCAGTATACAATACTGCTGAGGCTTCGGCTATTGCGTGGCTACTGTATGACTGACCGAAGGCGCGGCGCATATCTCTCACGCGCGTCGCGTGCAGTCAGGTCGCGCCGCCCGGGTTCTTTTCAGTTGATTCGTGCGGAGCCTCCTTGCTCTGACGCGCGCAGCCCTTTGGCGATACTTTCACGCGAGACGCTTGCCGCCAAAGCAGCGCACTTCTGTAAGCATTCCCTTCAGTTCGGACCCACGTTCTTTGCTGCCAATCGCTGGCCGCTTCCAGAGAGTAGCGGGCAAGTTTCTTCCTTCTTGTCTCTGCGGTATTTCCCTCCTCCCTCTTCTTCCCCTTTTTCCTTAAAGTCATGCACTTCGCCAGTATATCAGACCCTAGCGGTCTTGTTTTCTAAGTCTAGACCTTATACTTACACGAGACAGCCCGAAGTGACTTAATAAACTTAACAGCAGCGCAGGGATGTCGTCATCCCTGCGCTAGCCTGTGATATAATGACTAAAGTGGTCTTCACCTCTAATATTAATTTTCTTCCTATGGTCTGAAGCATCGCGTCTTCCTCGTCGGAAGCATCGCGTCCTCTTCAGAAGCTATTTAGTCACGTCGCATCATGAACTACTACTACACCGGCGCCACCAGATGCGTTAAGGGGCTAGCCCCTGCTACACCACCACCAGCTAGGTTTGTTAGGCTAGAACTACCCACCAATAGTAGCACAGATGGGCATGTGCGGATCGGGGCCACCCAGCTAGCCTAAGCCCAACCGGTTATACATAGATAACAACAAGAACAATTAACAACAAGAAAAGGAAATGAAATATCCTGAAGAAGTGATCTTCCAACTCCCCTGGTCGTAAGAATAAGAAGATGCTTCAGGAGATCTGACTGATGACGATGACCATGACGGTCTGAAGAGTAACATATTCTGCGAGCGTGTGCCTGTGCAGGTGAGACATGAAATATGAGGAAAAGTAGAAAGGCCTCAAATCTCATAGTCCCTCATTAGGAGCATCATACGATTCCACCCAATGAGTAGTACTCCTACTCTTATTCGTCCCTTGTCCGAAGAAGATTTGCAGTCCTCGCAGCCGTTGCAACAGTATCCTTGCTAACTACTTGAGATATTCATTAGTCAACAAAGCCATTACGATTGTCTGCACAGAAAAAGAGATAAAAAAATACTTCTTGTCTATTCCTGATGTTTCTTTTTCTTGAAGAGCGTTGTATTTGAACTTGAAGAAAATAGAAAAAGCTTCATTCTGCTTCTGGTAGTTGTAAGTTCATTTTTGCAGCCATGCCACCACGTGGACAGACATTTCCATGGTAGTGGTACTGCGCGTGTATCTAGAACAAGCCGTGGGGGACAACAGGAGCAACAACAGCAACTCTGTATGTTGAGCAGCCCTATAGTTTTAGTTTCCATGTTGAAAAAGATAACAAAAGCATTACAACTTCTGTGTATCTAATCACGATGGCAACTACAAGCATCATCTTGAAGGACGGCCAGCACCAAGAGTACTGCCATGATATCCTAGTGGTTGGGTGGAGCGCTGTCAACGTTCGCACCCCGCGGCTCGGATGATCCTGTCATGTGTACGCTTCACGTTGCGGCACTTACTCGATCACCTAAAATGACGCCTTATTACATAGAAGCTCTCCCCATAAACATAATAATGACTCTACGCAGATGTCCTTATCGTTGAGATGTCCTTCTCCTCCTCAGCATTATCATGATTGATAGCACCACCACGCCCACGATCATGTTGGCACTAGTATGATCATCGAGAATAATCACAATTATGAACCCCAATAATGATCAGAATGACAAGGACCATCCCCAATGGACCATAATAGATAAAGATATGATCATGGCAACCACGAGTAATATCACTCCCATGATTGGATTCTATTTCGGGTTCACTATCACTTATGTTGTCACTTCGCTGTCCTTCTCTCGTCGTGTGACGAAGATTTTATTCTCTTTACACCTCCGAGTAGAAGAACAAGTAGGGTCTACTTTTGTTGTCAAAACTACCAAAGACTAGAATTCTGTAGAACTCTTACTCTACTGCATTAGTTTTAGTAGGTAACCGCTGGCTGCTCTTGTTTTTTTTCCCGATTCAATATCCCAAGTATTTTGTTTTTCATCTATGCACAAAGATTTTTATTGACAATGTCACGTGGCAACTATCAACATATTATTTCTCACGACATTTGTTTGGCCTCTCTCGCCTCCTCCTCCTCCTCTAAAAGTTGTAGAGACATAAGCTAACAATAGATCTTGAGAGATTATGTTTTCACTGGCGCCATTCTTTCTTTATTTTCTGCGAACTGGTAGCAGTGCGCCCATTCCACCTCGTGGGGTATAAGAGTAAGTGCTTTACTTTTACTAAGAAGATAAAAAAGGTAAAAAGAGGAGGAGGGAAAATTTTCTGCCGTAGTTATGTCGTTGTTTGATGCAGCATATCTACACCGGTGTATGAACATGAGCATCTTGTTGTTCGAAAGAAAATCTATAATAATAAATTCCAAATGGAAGTAGTGCGCTACGAACTACAATTTCTATTTTGATTAGAAGAATTCTGTTCATGTGTACAACTATTTTTATGACGTCATAAGCATTTAAGACTTCACACTTCGTATTTATATCATGCCTTCATCAACTTGGAACTCCACATCCTTCCAATCTCAAAGAAATTATGATGTGATTGATTTTTCTGTTTTGAACCACCTGAAGAGATCGCCTCACGGTGATGATGATAAAAACGAAAACCTACAACGAGAAGAAGATAAACTCAAGAAATCGACTCCGTGGTCCAAAGAATTTCCCATCTTTTCTTCGAAAAAGATTTATCACAACAAGAAACCTCGGGGGCTCAAGTATTGTTAATAGACGAGGCTTGCAGATCAACATGTTGACAATAGCAAGATATTCTCTACAACTACGTACTCTATCAGTTTTAATAAAAATATAATTCAGTACGACTCTTATTTCATACAACTACATGATCATCTAGTACTTTTTCAATACATCTTCTAGCACTTTAAATACATAAGTACATACATACACACACCATCTTGCTTCTAGATGAAGTTGTGCATCTACTCACAACATTGTAGAGCTCTGAGTGACTGGAGAATCATCGACTTCAGCAGCACTCTTGTATCGACTCTTGTATCTTGACTGGAGAATCATCTGACTGGTATCGACTCTTGTATCGACCTCAACAGCACGGCCCTTTTTAACTTGTTACTACGGCAAACAATGTTTGTCAGACATCAAATATTAATTCTCTTAACTTATAGATGCTTAGCAAGGAATAGCATGGCGAAGGCGATCATTCACGACTATCATTCATGACGATCAGTCACACGACCCACCCCTTGATGACTATCATCCTGCTTCCCTTCGTGATTGAGTGATTAGTTATGGTCTTCCTAATGATCCCAGGCCAGCTACTACTTACTCTGAACATTCTTACATACCCCTTATGCATCTCACCCCTTTAGACCTCCCTTATGCATCTCACCCCGTTGGTACCAGCAACCCTGAGGAACCTCCACCTCCCCCTTACCATTCCACATCCATGATTCTTTCTCATCCTTGCCCAACCCAAACCTTCTCCGCTCCTTACACTGTAAAGACTGCTTCCTGCGCCTTACAGTCATCTTCCCCTTCTTAGAGGCAGAAGCCATTCTTGGTCACTGATTCTAAACCTGGGACAAGTCTAAACGGCCCTAGAAATACTATGTACCCACCTACTTGTTACAAAGGGGCCTTTCTCTTAAGATGAGCCTGAGGGAAAGAGTAGACGGATCATTAGATTCAATGTTTCTCTTAATAAGTAGATGTAATATTACAATTGAAGTAACTTAACGTACAATCACAATGTACTAGTCTAGTGAATTAATAGAGCTCAAAGCAATAAGTGGGAACGAATGACCACGCGTAGATGAAATTTGACTTATTCGAAAAACTGAACTAAGCAAGTAACTGATCAGAATAACCGAGATACTGATGAGCAGGAAGAGTAGCCTTGATGTCAAAGCTAGCTACCTCCCTTATTTCAGTCAGCAACAACTCGGTTATTTTGAGTTTTCGAGTAAGTAATACTCTTGAGCCTTAAGTCAGTTGCTTTAGCTCCCCCTCCCGGAAAGAGTATTGTGCTTACCTGCCGGCGCCGGGTGCTTGAACATCAGGTTGGCACGACATGACAGTGACCTGTTCCTCGGGTTTGCCGGGGTCTTCCAAGCACTATGAAGTAAGGACCCGTAAGGCTAAGGTCGTAGGACCACTATGAGGTCATAGGAGTACTGAAGTAAGGAGTAGGAGTAGGACTCATGGAGAATAGGGGAACGTCGCTCCTCCTTTCTTGTCTTCTTACTTAGGAACGACGTTGTTCCCATTTCTTCGCTCTCAATGAGTAGCTGCATCATACACTAGATAAATGTATCACTTGCTAGCACACAAACTCACGATCAGGTTCAGGTCATGCTTAGATCGTAGGACCACTGTGGGGTCGGTCGTGCTGAGATCGAGGTGAGCGCTGAGGGCGGGGGCGGTACTGATCACTCTTCAGTCACTCACTCATTCACTTATTTACCTACCCGCCGCACCTAGTCTAGTAGACTCTAGAGGACTTTAATTGTTGTTGAATGTTGCGATCGCGCCTAGTCTAGTAGGCTCTAGAGGACTTTAATTGTTGTTTCACGAATGTATGGTCAGGTAGTTCTCATAACTTCATCGGCATGCACTTTCCCCTGTGCGTTTTGTTTTAGAGGAGATGAGGACCAGAGGAGCTGATGATCTTCGTCCCAACATCATACGTAAATGGGACGTCATCTTCTACGTACTGGTCGTCATGGTCTCTACTATTTGTACTACTATAATCTACATTCACAACATGTTGGACGAAGATATTTTTGTAGCTGACGAACTTTTTCTTTGGAATTCCAGCTATTCTTGATAAGAGCCAGCTGTTGTTGTGCAAGTAGTGCATAGAGTTGATGCAAGTAGAGCAAGAAGAACTACCCTTCTCTATTGTATTCATTATTTGGTAACCTGAATTTGATCACAAGGATTCTCTTCTCGTTTTCCCTTCTGATCCAAATCAGGTTTTTCAATTCCAGGAATGTTGTTCGCCAAGTGGGGTAGAGTAATTCTACTTCTACTTCTACCGCCAGTACCAGTTTTTTGTAGTATTAATTAGTTGTACCGTAGTTAATGCTTGTACTTGTAGCGTGCGGTAATACATTGTAGTACTTGTCGCATGCAGCAATAGTAGTTGATGCATCAAGAAGAACATCTACCTCCATTCATTAGTGGTTAACGCATAATTTCCCTTGCTACCGATCAACCCTTTAGCCTTCCTGGAGAGCCAGTTCCCGCCGACAACGCGAACCACACAGGGGGAACCTTTCGGCTTAAATGCGTACGCCTGAGTGGCAAGCTGAGGCTTTCATATTAGAGAAGTGCACTCATTCGCGTAGAGAAGTAGCAGAAGTAGAAACTATTAATCAAAATCAAAAACTGCGCTACTATTTAGAAGTCGTCCGTGCTCGGAAAAAGTTTTGGAGGCTTTCATAGATGGACGACACGACTATTGAGAGAGTGAAACAGGCTTCAGCATCATTATAGTGGCCATAAAGTCGAAGTACTGCGTGCATTCCAGATTGACGCCAACTTGGTCAGACCGAGACCACTTGCAACACCAGCACTCTTAGAAACGAGGCAATCAGCTGAATCCTAGCGGGGTTTTACCCAAGTATACTATAATCCTAGAGCAGGGGGTTAATGTTGTTCGCCAGGATCAGGAAGAGCAGGAGCAGTGATTTGATTTAGATCTTCATTTTCTCCCCCTGCTCAGTCGCACCTTCACGAAAGCAAGTGAAATAGTGATCATGTGCTGGCCTTAGCGTAAGCACCTGCGACAATACCCGAATTCATGGTAAGGCCTCCAACCACAGCAGCAGCGCCTGCAGTGCTTCCAGCAGTGCCAAAGCTAAACGCCGCTAGGAGTTAGAACAGCTTGAGGTGAGGTTAGGTTCTTGCTTTGAGAAGATCTCTCTAGAAGCAAGACACAGCACAGACAAGAGACATTCAGATTTCAGGTTTCGCGGAGTCTTGTTTGCTTTTTTTGTATTCTGGGGCTGCTAGACGGGTGGCCTGAGTGTTAATATGCGCATGCCCCTTTAACGCAAGAAATAATGTCGTGCCATAAAGTAGTGTGCCTCCGAGGGGATTGAAAATAGACGATGCGACGGCGCCAGCCGCTGCCCCTGCCCCAGCCACTGCCCCAGCCGCCGCAACGTACACGCCAACAGTCCCAGCCGCTCCAATTGTGGCCGCCCCACCCAACGCAACAGCAACCTGACGAGTAAATTAAAAGTGCGACGTTATATTCATTTTCTGTCTGAGAGGATCAGGATCGTACTATTCACCTTTCGATGTACTATAGCAGAGCCTTGTCAAGTGTCCTCGCATGTCAACAAGTTTCGACATGATCACTATGTTGATGAATGTTGCTTTTTCTCCCCTCTAACCATCGCGCAGGCCCCCCTTTCACCTATGCACGTGCAAGGGGAAAAAGGGCAGCCCAGATCGATCATGGTCTGCTAAATGGGAGAAAGAAGAAAATAAGCCACATCCATAATTAACCATGTGGAAAGAGAAATAGGTGGATGGAGGTGTGGCTCATCACGGGCGTCGGCTATGATATTCATCAAGCACCAGTGGGACTTGAAGGAGATAGCACGGCCAACGGCTATGGTGATGATGGTGGTGACGATGATCGGCCAACGGCTATGGCGATGACGGTGGCGAAGGTGATGATAATGATAAAGATGATGATGGCGATGGCGGTGACGATGATCGGCCAACGGCTATGGTGATGATGGTGGTGATGATAGTGATAAAGATGGTGATGGCGATGGTGGTGACGATGATCGGCCAACGGCTATGGTGATGATGGTGGTGATCATAGTGATAAAGATGGTGATGGCGATGGTGGTGACGATGATCGGCCAACGGCTATGGTGATGATGGTGGTGATGATAATGATAAAGATGATGATGGCGATGGTGATGAGGGTGGTGACGATGAATGATGAGGCACGCAGAAAGAACTCTAGGCGCCAAGGGGGCAATAAGAATAAACGCAAACGCACAACCTTTTTGGGAGCGTTGCTAAATAATTAAACAACAGCATGCCCCCGATCGAAGCGGAGCGTATTGAACAGCCCAGCAGATAAGGTGAGGCAGGTAACATAAATAAGAAACGCAGAAAAGAGCGCGACGGCCCTAGAAAGCCCTTCTAGCACAGCTGAGAAAACTTGTTCGCCGCTAGCAACACAAAGACACGACACACGCCATGAAGGGGCGCAGCCGTGCTAGCTTTGTTGCTAGTCTCACAGCGTGCGGGGCCAGCATGCTGCCAGGCAGTCTGCGTTCAAGACCGAACGCACAAAGCCAGAGGAAAGAAAAGGCATGCCACGTAAGGCAACAGAATTGGAAGCACACCCGAGAACGAAAAGGGCAACGCCCGTCCTTGCGAGCCGCAGGGCGCCTTCCTAATCCTATGGACACCTATGACAGGTCCCAAAGAATTGCGAAGCGTCACCAGCGAGCCAAGACTCAGCCCCCTGCCGTAGAATCCAGCCATCGCTGGACCAGGCCCACTCCAGTCCATAGCCCTTAGGCTAAAGAAGCATAGAAACAGCTACGCCAACCCACAGACACGGACACACGAACAACCGAGAAGAAAGCACAGCCAGAGTGGTGTAGCTCTATGATGCTTTTTAACACATCCTCAAGCCTGTGCGAGGTTGGCGGGGGGAGAAACTGTCTAGCAATCCAAACAGAGCCCCGCGAGAATCCAGCCGGTGAGTGGGCGAGATCAAGGAGGGCAGATCTGCGACCATAAGCGGAACGCGAAAAGCCTGAAGCAAACAGCTCGGAAAGAGAGACGACAACGAAGAGCAGACGAAGCACAAAGGCTAAGCCAAGACGCAGCCGCGCCGCGGTCTGTCATCTTGCCGCTTGCAGCGCCTGCGGCCCAAAGCCTGCGAGGCAAGCGCGAACGCCCAACAGCGTCAGGGGAATTATAAGGCACGCGAGCTAGGTGGAAGCCTTTCCCGATGTCTAAACCCTTCGCGGGCTTCACCCCTCAGAATGTTCGACGGGGAGTATATCTAGGGAACTTCCCCCAAGATGAGAACAAACAAACAAACAAACATCAAACAAAGAAACAAAGCCCAGGTCAGGGGAAGACGGGTTTAAGGAGAACAAGATAGGAAGGGGACCATCTCACATGCCAGATGAACGAACGCGGCCGCAGAGGGGGCGCCGCATGATCATCTAGTACAACAAATACTCAGCAGCACTGATTTATAGAGTAAATACCAAATAAACTGGTAAGTCTAAGTAAGTACCCATTTGGCTTTGCGCCAGTTGCCGCTCACACCACGATAGAATCCAACCGTCGCCATTCTTTTTTAGAGGTCGTCCTCAGATGACTCCGATCATCAAAATCAATGTGGTAGAGGTGGTTCTAATAGTTTGCTCCAGTGGACCCCTTCTATTAGGAAAACTAGGAACGAAGAAAATCAACTACCGGGCACAAGAAGTATGAAATCAAAGACAAACTAATCCACCAGCGAACGAGGTAGAAATTATCATCGTGACGTCGTCGGGGGTAGGATGGGTGCGGATGGAGAGGGACATAAGTGTAATAAAAGCTCCATGATAAGACGAAAGAGCAGATGACACTCAAAATTCATGGAGTGAACGTGAAGGGTGTAGTAATGATAAAAGAGTATACGACCTAGAAGTGTGCTCTTATTCCTTAATGCTTTTCCACGATTGGATCCGAGCCCTCCTGTTCGGCCGCCTCATCCTCTTCAGATTCACCTGGTTGCTTGGTGCTCTTCAAAGGTTTGCCGCTTGTCTTAGAAGAGAGATAGGATAGGATAAGACAGAATGGCAGGTCTTGTTGGCTCACCTTGTAGTTTCACGGGGGTGAGAGACCGTAGGATAAGAAAGAATAGGATCGGAGTCGAATCACGACCCTCCACAGGGGTAGCCTGCTGTATTCTCCGGCTTTATTATATACGTAGAGTGATAGCTAGTACGTTGGACTTACCAGCACAACATCTTCATCACCATCTTCACATTGAGGCTTAAAATTCAGACCAAGAGGGAGTGCGGATTCAGGTTACAGGAGCTTCAAGAGGCGTGTCGTACTAGACCCTCTGAGACAGATTGTTAAAACGCTCATCAACAACAGGATTTGTTGATGATTGTTGAAGATACAAGAATTAATTGATTGATTGATTGATTGATTGATTGATCATATGCCTGACAAGAGGTAGGTTTTGGAGAGTTATTTGTTCTTCTTTTTCTAGGAGGAGGCAATCGCGCCGTAATCTCATCCAGCTGTTTCATCACCAGAGCCAGCTTGTCGGAATTCTGTTGAATGTATAATTTACATTGCTTTTTTAGTAGGATAATCGATCGTGGTAAGGAAGAACATCAGAAGTCATTGATCTATGTTCAAGAATTAAAAGTCGTGAGCGTCCTGCTCAGTCGTGAGCGTCCTGCTCCTCTGTCGGTCAAAGTAAGAAGTAGAACAGTAACCCCTGGAAGATGAATCATGAGGACCTTCTACTCCTACAAGATATTAACAAGCCTTGAAGCAGGTGAAAGAAAATATCGGAGAACATGGACTACTACGAATATCAACAGGCAGTCTATCCTCTAGAAGAACAAGATATGTTGAATAAAGTAATTTAACACGAACAAGTAGATGGTACAACCATTGGAAGCGGTAGTGTAATTTGTTGATCAAAACTTAGATTTGAAAATAACATCGTTAACCTTAGATAGTCGAAAAAGCCAACCAGTGAAATAAAAAATTTGAAAATATAATAAAGGTTGTACTAATTCGGTCTGCGAAGTGAACGTGATACAAGCATGCTCCATGGTAGCGAAGCGATAGGCCTTTCCACCCTCTTTCGGCACAACAGTGGCATCGTCACCGCAGTCATCCTTTACCGTCTCGTCGTACTCCTGTGGAGTGAGAGGAGGAAGCGTACTAGTAGTTGCAGGAGTAGTATAAGCTGCCTGATGTAGACCTTAGAATATCAACAAATAAATATACATAGTGAGATTGCAAAGATCATGAAAGATGTCTGTAGCAGATGGTGCGCCGGGAGTTGTAGTATAATTGCAAGACACGACCTCTAGAAGGTGAACGCCGTCTTCATGATTATCAAAGCGAACGTCGAAGATCGATAATTGAGCGTCTTCATCTTGGAAGTTGTGGTCTTTTTTATTTATATTTTAATTTTTCGACGAAGGAAGAGTATTCAAAATTATCTCGGCTGCAGATTGACCATGGCAACAATTAAGAGGACGAAGATGAGTATTATAAATATATGCACCAAGGAGGGAGGCCCCCCCCGTGTGGATGGATCTGGGGTGGACCACGCCAGAGAGGTCCAGCCTTGCCACCTTTGCCAGGTCTGTCGAGAAGCTGCCGGGCGGGAAGGCCTCAAAGCGCCCACTTCTGAACCCTTCCCGCTTCTTGCCTGTACCCTACAGACTGGCAGACGAGGCAAGGCAAGAACCCACCCCCTTGGCGTAAGGTTGGGCACATGCAACACGCCAGAGGGCTCCAGCCTTGCCACCTTTGCCAGGTCTGTCGGGTACATGCAGCACGCCAAGGGGGTGGGTCCCGCCTTGCCTCCTCTGCCAGCTCTGTCAGGTACACACAACACGACAAGAGGGCCCAGCCTTTGCCACCTTTGCCAGGTCTGTCGGGTACATGCAAGAAGCGGGAAGGGGTCAGAAGTGGGCGCTTTGAGGCCTTCCCGCCCGGCGGCCCCTCGAAAAGAGGGACCGGTGCGGGGAGGCCCCCCCCCTCAAAAAGTTAGATCGGGGGGGGGGCGGGCCTCCCGCACTGAGCCCTGGAACATATATACATAGCGCTCACTGTCACAAGCTAGCGCAAGGATGACGGCTTCCCTGCGCTGCGGTGTGTCAGGTTTCTCTATTGGGCGCGCCTTTTCTGTCTCGTGTCAGTCAAAGAACCTTGGCCAAGGCTATGACACGGAAGGGTAACTACAGATCAGAATGAGCCAGAAGAAAAAGCTAGCCCACCCCCACACACGTCACGGACGTCTGAGGGGAAAGGCAAACGACACAAAAGAAGAACACAGAAGAAAGCCAGGGGGGGCGAGGCTGACTGTTGGTGCATGAGCGAGGCCTAGGGCGCATGGGCGCGACAAAAGCGCCGCCAAAGCGAACCCACCGGGAAGGAGCAAAGCCCAGCGCGAGCCCCTGTCTCAGATTTGAGGCAAGGGAAACGGAGACGGGATCGCTTGCAAAGTGAGACTACCTGAGCTTGGGGCAACGCGAAGTGAAGAAGAACCAAGACACCAGACAAGACCGAAGCCACTAGGAGGGAAAAAAAAACCACACGCACCGCCCTCGCTAGGTAGGGGCATCAATAACAAGCCGCGGGGCCATCTGTCTCAGACAACGCGGCCAGCCTGGCATTGGGTGGCTTTTTCGTTCACTTTGTGTAGCTGCAGTTGGCTGGCGTGATGACATGACTTCCATGCATGCGATGCTGTGGGCAATTTTTCCGGGGCATGCTGCAACTCCCCTAGCCCACCCGCCCACCGGTCGAGTGGCCGGCGACCGTTCCTTCGTTCTACTAACTCTCAAGCCTAAACGCCGCGGGAGGGCATTGAATGGAATGGAATACCCTACACGTCGCACGCCCGGCTGCACACAAGGCGGCGCGCGCCTTTGATGGCTTCTTTTCTTGCAGGGGCGACAAGTGGGAAGGAACACTCCCTCACAACCAGCCAAAGGAAGAAGCAACCCACTGCGAGGGAAGAGCCACGACATCAAGAACGCAGAACCACCGCGGCGCGCGCCTTTCATTTGGTAAGCCCCCTGCCTCTGCTCTGTTGGCTTGTTGCATGCTTTGCTCGGCGGGCCGGCGGCGCGTGTTTGTGTGTTCTCTTACTCATTTGCGCCAGCCCCCGTCAGTTCCACGCCAGGCAGCCAGTGGCCTGTCGGTCAGACGTGTGGCGGCCTTGAGGCGAGTCACTGGGAGCCCCACAAGCCCCTGAATAATTCTCCGCGCGTGGGCGCCACTATTCATCTAAGCTGTCCACACGCAAGCCGACGGCGGCGCCAGTTCGTTGCCCTTGGTGGCCGATCCCCCTCGAGAGAGAAAAGCCGCGCCCCAGTGATGGTGGCTGTCGTGGAGTGTCATTTGCCTGGGGCGCATCTGATCACGTGAGGGACAGCAAGCGAGCCTAGGCGGAAGGGTGCGGGGCACTTCTCCCGCCTCTCTTGTGACTTTCAAAGGCCAGCAACGAGCCGCGCGCATACAGCGACGAAGCTGAAGGCCAAAGACCATCCAGCGCAGAGCATACGTCGGCGGCCTCGGCGAGAAAAGAAAAGGGCGCCAGTGTGAAGATGGCTGGGAGCATCGGGGAAGCGGCTGCCGAATAACAAAAGAACGAAGGGGAAGACTCACAAGGCACGCCGCGCGCGAGGCCTGCGCTGCGCGTATCTTCACGCACAATCTCCCGCACGTCTCGCAATCTATGCTGCCTGCCTCTGTGAGTGTGTGCGCGGGTATAGCTATAAAGCGCAAGGAATAGACAGTCCGCGCATCCACAAGGCCGGCCGCCCTTCCTTGTTTCTTCCTCTGTTTTCGTTGTGCGTGATATTCCCGATGGAGGCAAGACGAAGACGAGAGACAGGCCCGAGATGGAGATGGTAGCGCCATTCTACGCCAGAGCCTTTGCCGCTATCCTCCGTCGCCTCTCTTTGTCGGATCCCATTGAAATAAAAAGCAGCAGGACTGAGCCCGCCGCGGCCAATTTTTAGGCCATTGATTTTCATGAAAAACAGGCCCTACTCCGTGCCGTAAAAATGCAGAAAAATGAAAGTCGGTTCTCGTCTTAGCTTAAGCGAGATACTATTGCTCAACAGCATTAATTCTTTTGATTCTTCTTAATGCATCTACATATACATAGTAAACTGTTGAACATATGGATATTAAAGTGCGCGAAGATGAACAGCTTAAAAGAATACTTTCTCTATATTTAGAAGTCCTTCTTAGAAGTTAGAACCAAAAACAAGAATAGCCCGGCTATTCCCCCAGTTGTTAGGGTTACTACTACAATGTAGAGCAATGAGTTGTACCGCTCCAGTATTCCCGTCTGCAGCAGGTAGGCGTAGGTATTTCGTGTCTTTGGGTGCTCCAACTTTTAGAACTTGCAGAAGTCCATCGCGGTGAGCATCTTGGTGTACTGTCACAAACAGGAAGGCCAAGATGCTTGCTGGGGACGATGGATACTTCCTCAAGTCATAAAACGAATTTTGGAGGCTCTCCATCGGTTGTCTCGTCAACCTTGAAATACTTCAGCGAAAACGCGGCATCGCCTCCCCACCCGCCAGCACAGCTGTCCACCATAGCAGATTCCATTAGAAGAGATCTTCTACTAGCTGAGATCATGACTCATGATTCAGACGATCATATGGAAGAAAGTCGGGACAAGAACCTACGCTGCCTGATTCCGTTCTTGCGACCCGCCGGGTATTTTTACTTGCTATGCAGGATCACAACATCAAGAATGACATGACGATAATGGTTAGGTAGATTTCTAACTAGGAAAAATGGAAGATACACGTCGACTAAGAGCGATGATGATAATGCTTGTCCCCATAATAAGTAATGACTTTTCATAATTTGAAAGTAACGTGGAGAAAGGGATATTTTTCACCGAAAACGTTGGTTTTCAGGTGTGGCGGCACCTCTCCGCAGGCATCTCCACAACAGCCATCGCCTGCACCAGTATTAGAAGAAAGCAAGATTAATGAATATACTTAAGTACTACTCCTCTTCTACAGATGAATCTACGCTCTCTTATACAGACTACAGATGAGAATTATGAGGGTCCTCTTCTACAGACTCAATTCAAGGGAGGTTCTCTTCTACAGATGATAAGAATTATGAGGGTCCTCTTCTACACATAATAAGCACGTAGAACTTGGAATTTCAAGAGATATCTACAGATAATGAAGACGAGAAAGTCACGCGACAAGGTTAGGTTAGGTGTTGGTCTACCGCGTTCACCAGCAGACTGACATGGTTGGCTACTGAAGAGCCAACAACAATTTCTGTCCTACAGCTTTTTGTAAGTTGTATTTGTAACTCCTACTTCTCATGCAACTGTACTTCTATGTAATAGTCTTCACCTAAAGAGAATGATGACAGTAAGTGGCTAGACTGTAGTCCTCAGCTAAATATACTTGTAACAAGAAACCGTACAACTTGTTAAAAGTCAATTTAAAACTGTGCTAAGGCGTTGTCACCTGAGAAGAAGCGACCCCTGTCTCACACATAGATTCCTCTATAAAATGAAGACACAAAAGTCTATTTCATCTACTCAAAAACAAGGATGCGGATGCAGTCTCCTTAATACTACAAGGATGGAGAAGTCTAGTAGTACTTGCTATAAACTACTACCAATTTAAAGTAGGGGGCCATAAAAGTCTGCTGCTGTGTCTGCTGCTGTGTCTGCTGCTGTGTCTGGTGATGTGTCTGGCGCGACAAAAAGGACGTGATAATCGGTCCTTTCACGTTCACCATCTTGTTTTCTCTTCTTCTTGTGAGTCTGTAGTCAAGTTAAAGCTGTTGTTGTTGATAAAAAGTACAGTACTAGATTTTCTTCCTGTCGATGTAGTTGATGTTGAAGTTATACTTGTGAAGACTCGTTGTTGTAGGCACTTGATGCTCCTTCGTTGAATGTTCGTTGTGAGTTAAATCTTTCCTGTTGAGATAATCTTGAGGACAACCCAAGCTGTTGATCTCTCTTGACTTTCCTTCTCCTAAAATTTGAATTTCGTTTGGGGTTGTTCGTTTGGGGTGGCAGGCAAATCAAAAAAATAAAGATGTTGAAAACAAGACTGTTCTTGATACCATTAATTTATAGCGCAACAAGAAGATGAACTCGACGGCGACGAATCAGATGAAACAGACTCAAAATGACCTAAAATATTCAAATTCATCCAATTGATATTGATTCTACTCAAAGGATAGGAGACAATTCGACGGAGGTTCAGTTTCATGGGGAATAACGTACTATGAGGGCACGACTTGAATGGTCATGCATCCAGGACAAGGGACGAAATTGGACCGACGGAAGTTCGAGGAAGGACACATATTATTATCATCTCTATTTTTGTAATATGTCAACGTCATGTAGATGTTTTGGTTGAGAAAGAGCACCACCCCCATCACTAAGATCATGAGCCAGATTTTTGTTATAGTTCAACAGACGAGATGAGGGCGGGCACTTATCTCACCAACGTGTGCGGACACCATCAGTCACGAGAAGATTTAAAATCACTATCTTCTCTCGTACTCGTCATCTACTCGTGTCTCTTCATCAACGGCCCTGGGAAGTACTATTCGACCGCGCGATGTCTTCAGTTAAACTACTTATTTCTAAGACCCTTGCTTTGCAATTATTGCTTTCATGCAAAATCGACATCTCTCGTACTCGTCATCTCGTGACCCTTTTCTTTCGTCAACAGCTTCATCATGCAATTTTTAGAATACTTGATCTCACTGCTTCATCATAATTCTTGTGCGTATTCAACAATGATGTCATGTCATTTTGCGTTCAGCTGTTGTTTCCTTGCACGACGACAACACCAGAACAATGACCAGAACAAACAGCATTATTCATCCTATCGAAATGGCCTTCCTCCTAGTTCCTCAATGAGGAACACAACTCGAGTCCCATTCTTCTTAAATAAATGGGAGAGTCATGGTCATGGATGAATGCACGAAGGTACTACCCAATCGTTGAGTACATTGTTGAGTACATCATCTAATCCTCAAGCAGCTATGTCTAGTCTCAACATATTTTCTTGCACTCATCTAATTAATTTTTGTCGTTCCCAAAATAGTATGCAAATAATACCTGTTTTTTGTTGTTCATGTTGCTCATCCTGTTGCCCCTTGGATGCGTTTTCAATCACGGATGATAATTGTTGTAGAAAGATGATAATGAATTATTCCTCTTCTTTTTTATGCGAATGATAGGGATAAATATCTCAATATTTTTTCTTTTCAAGTGGAGCACCTAATACATGTCATGTGTACGTCCCTGATGCCATTATTCTTAATAACCGTAGGTTCTTTTTTTTATTGCGAGAGGACTATATGCCACCGCCCTTTCAAACAATTAACTAACTCGTTCAACTATCTAATGGCATGAAACTCGTAGGTTTTTTCTTTATTCTTAATAACCGTAGAAGGAACGGAATCTTAAATTGTAACGCGGTTTTTGACTTTTAGACTCATCTATCTACGGATAAGAATCTCAGATCTCCTTATCGATACAGTGACCCTCTAGTAGTAACGCTCTAATTATTCATGTTCATCATTTTTCACAATTTGAGTAAGTACATTATAGTGGTAGACATTATTTTTACTTCTTCAACATGCTGTAGATGTAGTTGCCTACTTGCAGCTCATGATTATGAATAAGTATGTTGCTGTTGTAATATCATGCTTGTTTCTTGAAAATACTTCACAACGCGTACATCTTGAAAAAATATCTGTCCGAACGAGCATATAAATGCCTCCAGCCTCCATGAAACTCGGAGGCACCCTTTTACCCCACTGCCTCCGTTCACACCTACCCTGAATTCCTTCCTCTTCACTTCTGGTCATCAGGAGATGTGGATGTCCCCTCAACCTCATCATGTTCACTACTAGAACTGGTCTGCTACACCCCTAGAAGTACTACCTGTCTCCTCCATTTAGTTACCTTTACTTACAACTAGAACTAGTCTGCTCCTGGTGACCTCTTTTTAGTTATAGTAGTTACTTCTAGTGCCCCTCTTTAAATACTGTAGATGAAGATCTTACCTCTTTACTCCCCTTTGTTGATCATCCGTTTCTTCTAGCCACCACTTGCTAGTACGAGTACCCTTACCATCGCTCGGCTGAAGAATATCCATCCTGAACATCCACATCCTATCCAGCCTGAACATCCACATCCTATCCACCTCCTGTCCACCCTATCCGCATCCACCGTGAACGTCCTATCCAGCCTCTATTTACCTGCCGAAGAGTTTTCCCAAGCTGGACATTTTCTTTTTCAGCCAGGACTTCGGAGGTCCAGTTGGATCCTGGCAGAACATAATCTGAAACGCCTCCACTCCCTTCGCGTTGTTCAGCAAGAATGAAGAAGGGGAGAGGCGAGGAGAGGTGAGGAGGGTGGACGAGGAGAGGAGAGGAGAGGAGGGTGGACGAGGAGAGGATACTTTTTACTAAATAAAAGTGATTCTAGGGGATTAGGATTGGGGTCAGTGACGACTACTGACTGACATATTATTTATTATTATATTATACCCAGGGAAGTGGAAAAATGCGATCATTGACTGTCATTTTTTGACAATACTACGGGACTTGCATTCTAGGACATAAAGACACCGGCTGGCAGGTACCCATTCCATCGGACTTGTAGTTGCGGCAAGGAGCGTCTTTCGGTTTGAAGATGTATTCCTTTGTTTCCAGCGTCGGTTTATATATTAGAGCAGGACTTCCTTCATATCATCGGTGCATGAGAGAGTATCGCTTGTTGCGTGAGAAGAAGTGTGACGAGTTGTACTAGTACCTGAAAATTAGTGTATCGCCTTGCGTGACGAAGACGAAGACGACTGTGTGAACTTCCGAGTTGTCGGGTAGTTGTGATCACGACCTCTTTCAGTTAAGGATGGGATGCAAAGTTGAACTTCATTATTGTCTTTCCTAGTTTATTTCAACAAGTAGGCGAAGATATTAATATAAGAAATTTATAGGGTGTAATACCTCTGCGCCTCACACCTTCGTTCACAAAACTTCAACTTGGCTAGCATCAACACACACTAGCTGTAGAGCTTTACTTCCCGTAGTGAGTCGGACTCTTCAAGACTACTTGGTGATACAATCATGATTCACATGAGTGTTTATACAGCAGTACACCTGCCTCGTCCACTATAAAAAATCCTACCTTCTTCAGCAAGGTAAAAATTCTGATCGAAACTACTGCTTACAACCGACCCCAATCGCAATCATCACAATGCGCCTACTTTAATCGTGCCTCTACCCGTCCTGTTGCAATTTTACGTAATTGGTTAGGTTATGGATCCTGCACATCGAGCTACAACGCCGATGTGCGTAAGTAAGTTTTGCCTCAGAAGATTATGTCTATTCTCGAAAGAACCTCTCCTCCAGCTACAACAAACCAACCATAAACTTCCGCGGGATGTATCGTGAGACGTTTTTTTGGCCAAAAGACCGAAAGCTCCAGCTGCTGACGCGGTCAGGGCACCAAGATATCCTCCGCCACTCTTTAGAAGATCACTCTAACTTGTGTTCGTTATCGTTAGTTGTCTGTAGTCTCTGTACTAGTCATCTCAGAGTATCGAAAAATATAAGCATAAATATAATACTTATACAGGTGAGTCAGGGAATGAATGTGCCTAGAAGGAAGAGATGTTTGCAATGCCTTCAATTCAAGGGAAGAAGGTCGTGGTAGTTCACAGAATCAGGTTGATTGCCTTTAAGTCGTGAAGAAGAATGAGTACTGCTTTCCACGACAAGAGAAGATGCACTCAAAGGTGCACCGTCCAAGGCTAAAACCAAGGATCTATGCTCTTATTGATACTTCAAAAACTACTTATGAACACAGCCGGAGATCAAGTCGAAGAGGGGTGAAAATCACCCCAGAATCCATCGGAAGTTATTAATAAAATCGTGTAAGTCCAAAGTCAAAAACTGTTTGTTTGGATGGGAATTGTTCATGATTGGTTGTTCCTTCTCTTGTCATCATCATTCTCAACCAAGTGCATTTCACAAACGTTTCGACCACTCAAGACGATGTTTTGTTTGTTCTCACTTCCTCCTTTTCAACGATCAAGAAATCCACTCGTCAGATCTTCATTGCATGTTATTCGTTCAAGACCCCGAGGTTTCTTTTACTTTGTTAACACTACTTCGATATGACTCGTACGACTTACTTTGTCTACCTTGCCTTCTACCATAGTGAATTATCAATACCCCCGGGGATAAGAAAGACTACAAAGTATAGTTGTGAGTCATGTTGTCTAGATTGACTATATCATTCTTGCTCCACATTCGATCTAAACACCTAGAAACTTAGTGATTTTCCCTTCTTTCCAACTTTTCTCCTGCGGAATGCTTTGTACTCAAACTTACCTGACTCTTCCCAAAACGCGGTCTTGACCTGAGAGAGAACCCCTAGAAGACCCACAGTCACACAAGGTGCGCAGATCCTCCTAGTTATCCTTCTCCCAGGAGTATTCCCTCCAATGGAATTCTACTCCTTGGCTTCGCTTGCTCTTCTTGTCCCCGAGGAACTTGGTGCGCCAAAATCCTTTCTGCATTATGTCGAGCAAGCACCGGTACTTTTCGCTCTCCTTGGCTATCCGTTTAGTGGCCACGTCGCACGGATTTGCTTTATCCGTAAGGAATCCAATACCCATATCTTCTCTCTCACGATCCTGCTTCAAGGCGCATATGTTCTTGAAATCCCTTGTAGGTTCGATAGATGCCCGTCGGTTCACCCTTTTTATGAGACCATCGTTGTCGCCACACCATCCTAGGCGACGGTGAGATCCCAGAAAGGAGTAAACCTCCCTTCTAAAGATAGCTACCGGGACGTGCTGAGCTCCGCTTTCGGCTTCTCCACCAAAGCTGCTCAGACAAATAGCGGAAGATTGCTGCAGGTTCCAATCCACTAAAGTCGCCCGATATCCTTCTTCTAGTGGGTGTTCAATATCAACTAGTAGTATCATGCATGCGATGAGCGGCATGAGCTTGTGTTTCCTTTCTTCGCATAAGCTAATTAGTTTGTTTTCTTTGTCTTCTTCTGACATCTGTGGGTCGTCAATAATGTTGTTCATTTCACGAAGAAGTTGAGGCTCTGTAATCGTTCTTGGTCCTATTGTTCCCTGAAATGAAGCATCTGTCACAATAACTACTGCCCATCCCTCGTTTCTGTAGAATATTCGTAATACTACTTCTCCGTACTTCCTCACCTTTTCAATCGTTTGCTTGACGAACTTGAGATGATCTTGCTTTGCACCTACCAAACTTCCTTGACTGATGGTTCTGAAATCGTACATGAGGTCTGCGCGGCATGAGTTGACAATGAAGCCTAATTCTCCACGCACTCCTAGTATCTGTGTTACTTGGGCTGGCGTGAGTTCTTCTTCTGGGTCAGTTCCCGCCAGCTGTAGTTCTCGAAGACCGTCTTTGAACTTGTGGGCTACTGAGAAGGTGACGCACTCCTTCCGCAAGTCGTGTAGTAGTTCCTTCCCAGCATAAAGACCTTGTCCTATTGAGTACGTCAAAATTCCAAAACGCTTCAAATATGAGCCTGCGATGGCCCCAGCATACTTCCTTTCAACTATGATGATAAAATCGTCTACTGTGGTAGGGATGATAGCATACGGTCTGTTTTTCTCTGGTACTATTGCTTCTACCTTGTACTTCTGCTTGCCCTCTGGTCGTTCCTCCGGAGCATTATTAGCATACCACTGGTCGCAGGCTTCCTGCAGTTCTTGACTCCCTTTTTGATGACTCTCTGCAATGTGCTGATTACTCAGAACTGTGCCACCTCTCAGGAAGAAGATTGCCGGTGCCAGCGGTGATGAAACGTAGCCTCGAGCCTTCGATTCTGCTTCTACTGTGCGGTAGAAACCCAGTGACCCGCATGTGTCTCCGTAGTGGGAGAGTGAAAAGAGTCCTCGAGCTTCTGGCACAAAATCGTATTCTGCCGCTATGTCGAACAAGAATGGAGATCTCAGGTTCATGGGAAAACGAAACTTTCTTCGGGCCTCTGGGTCGTGTTCGTCGCTCTGATTGAATGCTCTGGGTGCATCCGCGAGGATAAACACCGGCTCTTCGAAAACTCCTGCAACGGATGCAGAGAGTCTCAGATCTGGTTGTGAAACTACCGGTGCTGATGTGTCTATTCCGGGGGATAGTTTGACCGAGGAACCATCACAGACCATTCTGCAGGCGACTTTCCCTAGATTCTTCGTGCTTCTTTTTATGTCCCAGATGGCTCTAGTGCGTAGATCTGCTACCTTCTCGTCGTGGGGATCCCCTTGCTTGTAGATCTTCCCGACTGTCTTTCCAGTTCTCTGCACCGTCTTAAAAATCCCGTCCAATTCCTTCCTCCATGCTGCGCTCATCGCTCTTTCTAGTCCGCATCTCAATAAGAAGTTCTCATCTACATCTGTCACTTTTTCGCAGGATTCAAACTTCTTGCGAACATCCGGAGGCAGGCGCGATAGGAGAAAAGTTCCTTCCTGCTGTGACTCGAGTGAGAGGTCTAATAATGGTCTAAACCTGAGAACTAGAACTTGATCTTGTTCTAGTTTCTCTTGGAGTTCCCTGACTTCGTAGACATCCCTGCCGTTCGCTTTCCCGATCGGTTTCCCGTAGGCTGCAATAATTTTAGTATCCTCGGCACTTGGCTCCGCGTCATCTTCCCCCCGAAAAAGCAAAAATTTGTTGCAGCCGTCTTGGAGTATTGGACTGTGACGAACGACTCGAAAGGTTTTCTGAATGATTATCTCTTTTAGAAGGTTGGTAAATTCTGGATGAACTACATTCTCAGAAATAGCGCGAAACTCCGGCTCGTGAACTGCGATTGCGGCACGATGATTCATGATGTCCGCAACCAAGTTGAGATCCGCGCACTGAAGGTGGTTGATTTCCTGGTTTTCTTCGTCTGCAACTCGGATAGATTGGGCTACTACATCAGGGATTTGAGGTCCGTTGTCGTGGTCGGCTCTGCAGATGTTTTGAAAAGCTATGCTGGTTGTCGCTGTAGACGTTGCACCTTCTTGATTGATCTGAATCAAGTTAGCTTCTGCGTTGTAGAGACTTGGATATATGGAGGCATGCCATGAGATCATGAACTCCTCTAGTTGACGCCAACCGGACGATTTAAGTCGTTGCGCGCTGTTGTCGTCTTTGAACAACAATATTTCAGCGAAGGATGTTGTTTTCGAAATTGTTCTTACCACTTGCTTCTGGAGTCTCTCCACAAGTACTGCTTCTAAGATTCTGCCATTGTCCTGTTCCCGTTCATCTAGGAGGACAATGAGACGTGCGTCTGCGTTTTCTGCAGTGCAGAGCGCATGCTTTTTAGTTGTCTTGTTGCTGTTCACTACTACCTTGACACTACATTTGGAGTACATGTTCTTGAGGGTTTCGACTGTGTTAGACGAGAAAGTGGTGTGTAGTAAGTCATTCAGCGGTCCCCTCGATGTTAGTGGAACGCCGTCTTTGATGATATGAACACCCGCGACTACTTGTTGGAATCTTCCGTTGTCATTGTTAGGCAGTGTGTCCGGTAGCCATTCTCGGTCTGGAACTTGTAGGCCGAAACCCCTGGCCTGAAGATCGCAAATGTCCTCGCAGGATGCCCCGACCATGTGACATCTAAATTGGGTCGTTGCCCGGCCACCAAAGTGTAAATGCTGATTGATTTTCGAGGCACCGTGACCCAATACTCGAAATTTGGAACAGCAACCGCAAGCTCCTTTGCCTGAACCAGCCGAGAGTGGTGTGACCAGTACTCTTTTTGGTGGTAGTTCACTAGTGTTGTTCAGTTTTGCCCCTGCCGCCAGTGCGGTGATGTTATGAACTGTTGCTTGGACTACCTCGGGAAGATCGAAGATTGTGCAATCGTCGCGAGTCCTCCGAACGAGATTCTTTTGCACCGTCTTGAGTGCGCCTCCGGTTGTGGTCGACACAACAATCCGGTTTTTGAAGATGCCCTCATTCACCGCTCTAACTATTGCTGGCTCCCACCGGTTGAGCTTCCCTATGACTTCCACTCGATCCCCTATTTCGTATTCGGGCGATGTCAGCTCCATTTTTGCTAGAGTGGTGGCTTGCATACGATTCAGGAGGTACGAGAAGTATTTGACCCTGCATCGTCCAAGACATCTTTCCTGGAACCGATAGACGTGTCCTGGGAGCACTGCTGTTGACTGCTTTAACATGTTCTCGTCAAAACAAATACCCGGGTCAAGCGGGGACACCATGACCTTCATATACCCGCGTTGTACGGGTACTACGTCGTTACGCAGAAACTGTGAGCCGATCATCGGGGAACTTGACATAAAATCGTAGATCAAGTTTATTTTCTCTTGAAGTGGAAGTCTGGCAAATACAACGTCTTCATCAATTTCCTCGTAGAATTCCCTTGCCACACAATGTTTGTGCTCCTGCATGGCAATTCCGGTTTTATTTCCGGAAGAAGTGGCGAAGAGTTCCACCCCGAGACGCTGTGCTCCTATGACTGCTATAATGTTCAAGTTTTCCTTTCCGGGATCCGAGACGTTGTAGAGCTGGAAGATTCCCGTTCTTCTGCCGTGGATGAGTGTTCTGACAGTATCCATCCCATTCGGGTGTGCCGCCGTGCAGTCTGTTGGCATGTCATCATCAACTTTGATGGTACCACGAGGTCCTCCTTCAATGGCTTCCCCACCACTATCCGAGGACAGATCAGAGATGTCATCGAAGTCTGAAACTGAGCTTTCCGGATCTTCTAGCAACAGACTAGTGGATTTTAACTCCTGGAAGATTTTCTTCTGGTCTTTGTCGACCTTTTGTGAGATGTGATCATTATTCACCAAATCTTCTTCTTTCTTCTTCTTCCTACCACGCTTTCCTTCTAGTAGATTGTGCTTTTGGCTTCGTCCTTCCTTCTCTTTGGGCTTCCACTTTGGTCCAAGGACTAGTCCGGCTTGCTCTGGGCCGGTGATTTTACTGATGGCCATGATGCCGATTGGTACTCCTCCATGCTTTGTGAGGAACCAGGTATCAGTGAGCGTAGCGCTGTGAAGGTCCAGTCCGCAGAAGCTGCCTGTGGCTCTTCTACGTTGTCCTCTCTTGTATCTGAAGCGAAAAGCTGCCTCTCGAACAAGTGTCTCCACAGCACGCACCAACTCCTGTTCATCTGCTTTAGCAAACTCCTGTGCTGCTTTTTGGTGGATACGGTACTCTGCGGGTCGGCCCTCCTGCAGCCACCAGGTTCTCAGATACAGCCAAATACGTTTTTCGCGTTCACTGAGCAATGTTGAGGGTGAACCCACGTAAAGTTGGTTCTGTAGATCTATGGCGGCTTGCTCCGCTGTAGTTGCGTTTAGCTTAAGTAGCTTGCCGTCTATGTCTACTGTAAGGTCGTCTCGGAGCAATCTCCCAGAAAGAGATAGATGCACAGGGCGTTGTCGTTTCGCCAGCTTGTGCACTTCCCCAACCGCTTCACATACTGCCACCGCTATCGTCAATCCGTCCTCATCCGTCACAAGAACCTTCTTCTTCTGAAGCAATAGTCGTCCGATCTTGGCAATAATCGGCTTGTCTCGAACTGCATTGATTAGTTCTTGACTTAATCCAGAAAGAGATCCGCCCTGTGATACTCCGTAATTGCGTACTAGGTCTTTGAGGTCTGCCTGGTCACCGACATTCACCACTTCCGCTTCTTCCACCAGGAAGCTATGCGTGTCCTCATCAATAGCGGCGCTGAACAAGGAGTAGTTGCTGATGTGGATTGGTAGCTTCATCTGTGTCATGACCGACCTGATCTCCTTTTGCTGTTTCCCTTTATGATGAAAGTGCGAGTGTACTGGAATGGCTGCATATCCTTTGAAGTGTGCCTCATGGATGGAGACGCCCCCCGGATTTTCTTCCCGATTGCACCACACATAGAAGTCGACAATTACGTTTGCGGGCGTGTCCAATTTAGCGTTTCTAAGTGCTGGATTGAGGTACCAGAACCGAGTATCATCAGCCACGATCTCTGCGATCTTCTCCATTCTTCGTACAATTCTTCTACCGCATTTTCCCCCGACCGAAATAGGAGGGGATGGTAGAGTTTCCAGGTCATACTCGAATCGTCGGATCACCCAAAGCTGCGCCGACCGCTCCGCTGACGGTGGAAGTGGGACTTCACTTTCCCGCAGCACTGGGACTTCACCTTCGGGTGATATGACTCCTCCGGCCACCCTGCTGGGATAGAGAACATCTAGACGGGGGACCTCTCTGACAACAGCCCGCACAGAGTTGCTGCTAGTGTTCGGCAGAGACGTTATGCCCACCGCATGTGTTTCCACCGGAGGAACTTCGGCATCTAGATTTGGTTCATCGGCCGTTCTGGGATTGTCGTCGCTTCCTCCCCGGCTAACTTGTTTCATGGACGGAGCAGTTACTGTAAATACTTTGATGAAGGCCTCTTCAACTCCTATTCCCTGCTGTACGAGTAGGCCCCATTTCTTCATCTTCTGCTTGTCCTGCAAATACTCGTAGGGGTCCACCTCGTACTTATCTCGGTTTGGATTCTTAGAATGCCCCACATACCACTCGTAGTCTGGATGGTCACAGCACATCCACGATCCACTGGGAGGCTCTCTGACGGAGAGGTTCATCTCGACTAGAAAGAGCTTTCCGATGAGTAAGTCTACCGGGTGCTTGGGACATAGAACTTCGGTGATTTTAGGGCGAGGACCCACTAGAACTGGTAGTATTCCTCTTTTTGAGAGCCGGGATGCTTGTTCTCCTGCGTTGTTTGCTGATCCCCAGACGTTTTCCAACTGCCCGAGATCAATTCCGTACTCTAGGAGTGCAGCATAGACTGCTTCCACTACTCTGGTGTCTTCGTACACATAGCGGTTGAAGCCTATGTCTGCGAGGCCTCGCCTTTCCCCTACTTTCTCCTTCAACTCCGTTGGATCTAGCGCAGCAATAACGAGGTTGGTATCCACCTGGTAATCTACTTGACGGGGAACTATCACCTCGAGTCGTAGCTTCGAGAGTTTTGTTGAAGTTGAGGTAGACAGCGTTAGGTTCTGCCCAAGTGCAAATACCGCTATTGAAGATGGCGTGGTGGTAGTGTGCTTGCAAATCTCACTCGCTGCCTCTAATCCTTCGCTCATCCCGTGTAGAGGATCGTATCTCTCTGCCCACGTACACTTGTTGTCTGAATCTCTGATCAGAATCGCACCGACGAGCCTTCCCCCGTCGGTTTCTGCTTTCTCTGCAACATCTTGTAGAAGTTGAAGAAGTTCCGAGAGCGACTGTGGTACCGCCATCTCTTGATAGGCACATCGGCGTAGTATCTCGTCGAGAGCAATCGATCCCTGTGGTGAGCTCAAAACTTGTCCTTCTAGTTCTGCAATGGCAATCCCCAGTTCGTTGAACTCCTCCTCCTTTTCCAGTTCTCCCCTCGTCATGTCGAAGGTCTTTTTATTGTACAATGCTGCATGCTTCACTTGCTGGCTTAGATCAACCTCCGTTTTCCGTGCGGAAGTTAGCGCATCCAAGTCCTTGTAAAGATGAGGGTCCACCGTGCACCGGTAGGTCTGCATTCCGTCGATTTCTTCCTCTGTCGATGGGTGTTGATCACTTATTCCTTCGATGGGGAGATCACTTTCGTCTGCTGCGACGTCACACAGAAAATTGTCTAGTGCCCCGTCGACTTGGCTCGTGAAGACATCCGTTGTAAGTTGGTTGACTGCTGGGGCTGATGGAAGTTGTGCCTTACCCGATAAGAAGAGTTTCACGAACTCTGAGAAACGGACATCGCCTCCCAGCGCGCAGATGGTCGGTTTCACATTTTTCGTGGTGACATGTAGATGATACCGCCTATTGGGATTCGGATCCGTTGTCGCAGCATCCTTCAACGTTTCTAGGACAAACTTGATAGTTTTCCTACACGTTCCCATGCTGCATCCTTCTCGGTTGCAAATTTCGCATACTCTTTTTCCCCCAAAAGGACAGTTCTCCTTCACATGCATCCCTCTTGCGCCGCAATTCCAGCATTGTAAACCGCTACTAACTACTTCTTCATATTTCCGCATAGCACTTCCGCCTTTGCCGGGGTTTGCCTTTCCTCCACCCTGCTTTCCTTTTCCGTCGCCTTTTCTCAGGTTAAGAGCTGGGTTATAGTTATACCAGTTTGTCTGAATCCTGTTGGCAGAGACTCCGTCTACTCCACTGCACAGTTGTGACAACAAGTCTTCTTCCTCTTCTACCGAGAGACTGCAGATGTTGACCGGGGTCTTGCCCCGCGGGAAGCCTTTCCTTTCCGGCAATGCTATGGTCCTCTCGTTGATGTGATCCGCTACGGCCTGTTGCAGTTTCTCGAAAATGGCATGTGGATTGCGTCTCCCGTCAATCATGATAGGATTGAGTTCTATTGCTCTTCGATAGACTATTTCTGGAATTCCGATGCGTCTTTGTATTTTTCTCCAGTCCTGCGCGCACTGGCGGTCGATTGACCTGAACTGTCCTTCTTCCACCATCTCCATCATCTTGCGTTCTGTGATGAAACTTTCTCCCGCAAGACTGGCTACCTTATGGAGTCGATCCAGTTCTGTATGAAGTGGAACTCCTTCTTCTGCACGGTAGTCTTCCCAATCATCAATGTGTTTGAGGTACATGATGGACTTCCCAGGCCACATGACTCCTAACGACCCAAAGACATTAGACCAGGTCAGCGTGGTAGAGTCTGACTGCGTGATAGCCCGCGCCTCTAGGGCCTTCAAGGTGCTCTCCTCCTTCTTCCCAGCATTTACTAATGCCTTCAGAAACGCTTTGACCTGTTTCCTTTCTGCCAACGTTCCCACGAGGAGGTTCGGATTCTTCACGTCACTGGCAACGAACGCCTCTATTTCTGCCACCAGTTCGTCCAACATTGTTGCGTCCGAGGGAAGGATCCCTATGTATTCCATTGGGCGCATATTTTGCTCGCCCACATCCATATCCTGGAGATAGTGAATTCCCTTCCACTTCTGGTCCGATTCGAATTTGAGGCATCTTCCGAGACCGGGAATCACCACCAGTAAGTTAGCTGGTGCGAATGGAAAGTCCTGTGGATTCGTTGCCGTTCCAACCCATCTCTTCCTTCGTTGCTGTTGTTCTTTTCGTTCCCGTTCTTTCGAACTTCCTCTTCTTTCGCCTCCAAAACCTCTGTAGTTGTATTCGTCGTCATCGTAGTCGTCCTGGTGATCATCCTCGTCAAAGTCCTCTTCATCTTCCTCTGGTATGGTACGCTTGCTCCAGCCTTCCTGACGGAAACTACTATAGGCATTCCAATGCTGTGAATCGTCTCTGGACATGATTCTATCATTCTGTTTGCCTTCATACCCTGTTCCATCAAAAGAAGCTGAGTGACTTCTGCGATACCTCCTTTCCTCCTCAGTGACGGAGGACGGCTCCTTCATTCCCTTGTAACTATTTGCTGATTTAGATCGGTGCCTTCCTTGCGATTCTCGTGCATCGTCCCCTTTCCACGACTGATCCTTGCCAAAACCCCCATAGTACGGCTCTTGGTAGTACCCGCCTTTGTAGGGTTGTTGATGATGTTGAGACAGATTTTGCTGCTGGTATCCCTTCCCAGGATTGAAAGAGTGATTTGTGCTAGGCCCAGCAGCATAATTGTGTTCCCAGGATTTGGTCGTCGCTTTGCCATTTTTGTTGTTTGTGGGGAAGTTGGAACCTGATTTACTGCGGAACTCACTACTGGTGTTTCGCCAATTTCGATCAGCATCAGCAATTCTTAGTGCTCCGCCCGGCGCGCCCGTTTGCGACATGGAGGAGACGGAAGATTCCGACATTGTCTGAGGCTGGTTATTAGTCGGAGATATGATCTTCTCGGTTTTTGCAAAAGCTGCAGCTGTTTCCTGTCGAAGAGTAGCAGTTTCTTCGCGGCTTTGTTGCAGCTGTAGCGAGACGTCAGCTACCTGTTCCCTGAGCGTCCGGCGATCTGCCTCTCGTAGCTCCTTTAGTGTGTGGATTTCCTGGATTGCTGCCTGCAACTGGGCAGTGGTTGTTGCTCTATCAGGACTGCTGCCAATCACGTTGACCAGCTCATTAATGGCAGTATCAGTGACTGCTTGTGTTCTGGCTAGCTCCGCTGAGACGGCGTTCTGATGTCGAGTGAAAGCCGCTTGGTTGGAGGCGGCTTGAAGTAATTCCTCTCGCTGATTTGCTCGATCTTGTTGTAACTCGGTAACTTGTTGGGTAAGATTAACTCCTGCCTGTATCGTAGCTCCAAGCGTGGTCTTGATTTTTCCAATGTCACGGTCTTCAGCAGGCTTGGCGGAAGGAAGTGAGGATGAGGATGAAGAAGAGGAAGGTTGCGCGACTTGTGTTAAATTACTCCGGAGGATGTTTGCAGAGGAAGACGACCTCGGAGGTGGAGGAGTGGAATCGTCCTCAATTGCAGCAAACAGGTTTCCTTCAGAGATTGCTCTTCTCCTCTTACTCCCAGCTGATTCTTCTGCTGAATTGCCAACTGCTGAATTTCTTCTTGTTGGTGTACTAGACATTTCTCGTTCTTCTTTCGTAGGTCACTTTAATCTGGTAGTTTCAGCCTCCAACTTTAGACCCTATCGAGCGCAGACTCAGCAATGCTAGTCCACTTCTCAAAAGATCTCAGTCAGATTAGCCTAACCACCAAATACGGTGTCTGGAGCGGGTGATACTTCTTGATTACTTACTCGTGCTGGAAGGTGCTAGCTGTAGTCGAAAGTCTGCTCTGCAAAGTGCTCGAGCAATCGAAGCTCTGCAAAGTGCTCGAGCCGTGGGTTATTTTTGGGAGATGGGTGCTCTGCAAAGTGCTCGAGCGTTTGTGTGCTGGGGATATGGTTGCTCTGCAAAGTGCTCGAGCCAGATGTATATGTTATAGTTCGAAAGTCATTTCTAGAACCTAGATACTCCTTCACTGCTGTATGGTTTTCTTAAAACAGCCTTCGGACGAAGCAAGTTCACCCGCTTGAAGTGACTTGTTGGTTGAATCACCTGCGACACGGTATTTGTCTCTTCGACGGCCCTAGGAGGAAGTATCGATGAAGAAGATGATTGAGTAGTTGTCTGGACGTTGTAGAACCTTTTCGGCTTCTTCTTCTCCTTCGTTGCACTTGTTGTTACTTGAACTTGGGCTTCTTCATCTAGTTCCTCTGACGTCGAAAGAACACTCGAAGAACTTGACCTTTTTAGCTTGTTCACTTCGGCTTTCTTTGATTCCGATGGTTCTTCTGCAGCTACTACTATCACGTTGGGAAGTAACTTTTTCTCGGGAATCCCTGATGTCAGTTGAGATGGCAACGTTCCCAGTTCCTTGCGAGTGTTGTATTCTCTTATCTTACGAAGTTCGCGATCTTTCTTCTCGATGACGGAATCTAACTGTTGATGTTTATCGTTTAACGTCTTCCTCTCTTGCTGCACTTTTTCCCTTTCGTCACAGTACTTTAGAACTTGCTCTCCACACTCGGAAATCTGGTTCTCGAGCTCGTATTGTTGCTCTTCGATATTCTCCAATTGTTCTTTAGCAGCTTGGTTTCGTAGTTGAATTCTCTTCATGTATCTTGTTTTCGAGGAGCCGCCTGATTTTGACCCCCCTGTTGGAAGATCTACTGTGAACTGTGAGGAGCGGCTAAGATGAATGTCGTCCTTGACAACCCTTTCGTATTCGTCGTATCCGCGTTTCTTCAGCTTCGGCAAGAGGACGTTTTGGACGACTTCTACATTTTCGACTTCGAGAGCATGATTGATAATTCGTACTGCTAAGTCCAACTTTCTGTTAGGATTTACTCCTTTCTTGATTCTAATGACGGGTGGCATGATGTGACAATTTCGCAGAGTTCGTCGTCGTTGGAAGAACTTCCATCATCGAAGTTGATGAGTTACACATCTCAAGCTGTCACTCGCTTCGAAACATGATCCCACTGTCACACTTATAGATTCGCTCGAGAAGTTTCACTTTTGAGCACCCTTGGAGATGTTCGTGCTTCTTCATCTATGTCTTGAATGATGTACTTCGGGTTCAAGATGAATTCAGGTGTATTCTTGTATGAAAACGTTCTTCTACTCGTCTGCTCAGTTGTGACTCCTCAAGAAGATTAGTATCTCCATTCTGATTGCTTCCTGTTCGACTTAGATACGGTGATCTTCAAAGGAGAGAAGATTCTGCATTCCTAGTCCGCACGTGTTCACTAGATCTCGGAGCCTTAGAGTCAACACTTCGAGATTCTCACAAGCGTCTTGCCACTGAAGTACGTAGGAAGAAGCCCTTCTTTGTGCCTTGGACCCTTCCTCCGTTAGATTCGCGGCGTCCTTGAGCGATACAAGGCTGAATCCTGCTTTCACTTTTCGCAGTAGTCTTTCGGTGCTCTTGTATAGCGTTCGTATCGACTCCAGTCCACGTTCTCGTGATTCTTCCGCGCTAAGGTCGGAGAACAAAACGTTCTTCTGCAGATTCACTAGAGTGCTTTCTGGGAACGTGAATGGTACTTCCACTTGGCGTCTATCCCTGGCCTGTTGAGACGGTACCCAAAGCCGTTGCGGTTGTCCCTCGACGTGATGACGATGTACAAAATCAGTACACAGTGCTTTAGTTGCTTCAAACTGTGCTTGGAAAGATTCGATGGCCTCGTAAGTATTAGAGAGCGTGTTCAACCCCTTCCTGGAGATGTCCCGAGAAGAGAAAGGAGTTCCGTCGTTCCCGCAAAGGTTTCCCAGAATTTCTTGTGCTCTGTCAAAGGTTACCTTGAACTTGGACACCTGTCTGTTTACCGGTGCCGCTCCTTTCTTGATGAAGTCGTAGATTTCTAAGAGCTCCTCTTGCTGCTCCTTCGTTGTGTAAAAGACCACCTTCTTCTCCCGCAGACTTCGTTTCTTTTCGGATGAATGTGGTCTAGGAAGATCTTGTCTATGTACGTTGGATGCAGTTTTACAGCGGCTCGAGGAGGCTGATGAAGATGTTGTTGTTGTTGGTTTAGGAGCTGGTGACACACACACAGAATGCCTAGGGATAAAAATCGTACTAGTGTTTCCCTGTCGGAAATTCCCTCGATTATACTGTGCTGAAGCAGCGTCCACCTCTGCAGCGAAATTCTCTTCGTCGGTCGTTTCAGATGTTGACGAGGAAGAATCGCCCTCACTATGACTTGATTCGTTCCTTGGTCCTTGTCCTGGTGTGGTGTCTTGCAGATCTTCTAGAACAGTCTGTGAAGATGAAGACCCCTCTTGTCTACGTGCAGTCGATGAACTCCCTAGCGATGATTCTCTGGGTTCCAGAGCAGGTGGGTTTTCGGATGGAGTGATTAAGAGAACTCTACTACTTCTTGTCTGCGAATAGATTTCTTCTGTATTACTACTACTAATTCTGATGCTTGCTACTGCAGTGTCTTCTGCGACAACTCGAGTCTTCATCCTGAAAAGACCTCGCCACTAACGGCCGCAACACTACAGATTGTTTCTGCGAACTTTATGGCTGTCATGTTATGCGGAAAGAATGTGCGAATCCACTTTTGGAAGTCTTTCGATTTCCCGATAATGCGAGTATCGGTGTACTTTTCGTAACGCGTGTTCTCCGGGTCCAATATTTCGTCAATTCCCTTGCCTTGTCGGATAACTATACAACAAACGTCTTCTGGATAACTGCCGTCCCGTTCAACCAATGTTAGATCGCATATCCCCAGTGATTTCCGGTACTTGTTCCGGTCCGTAAGCAATCTGGCACCAGTTGGAGAGACTTCATTCAATATTCCCATACAATCAAAGATGACTTCAGTTTGACATGACGTACTTCTAGAAGGGATGCCACTTGGGGAGAGAAACAATGGGCTATTGGGACTACTAGCGGGTGTCAGTCCCGTATGTGCTTCGTTCCGGCTTCTGCCTTGCATATTACCTGTAAATTTAGATTTCCCGCTACAATCTGCTGCTTTCTTGTCTGCGTTTTCTCCATCTAGAGCGTGTTACCGCATACAGGACATGTTTTACCGCTCATGGGATCTTGATAGATAACCGTCTGAATAACTTTCCATGCAGATGTCTGTCTTCTATTATCGTTGGATCCGTTGTGAAAACGTGTCACAATGGATGTAAGTTCTTTGATGGATAGTTTCTGATCTATAAGATCCAGAACTACTAGATGAGCGCTGTGTTTCTCAATCTTACTAAGCGAGAAGTATGAAATAGCAACAATGTTCTCTTCCTTGAGGCTGTGGGTGATGACGAATTTGTTCTTTTGAAGCTTACTACTAATGTGTTTGGTCTTCGTTGCTTCGTCAAAGTCGATGGAATTCCAGAGGTCCTCCTCAATTCGAATGGAGGTAACAATAGAACTCTGTGGAGAGAATTCTTCTCCGTGGTCGATAAATTCGGATCCACAAATTCTTTTCTTCAAAGTCGGCATTTTCGCAAAGTCATGATTACTGATCTGAACCGGGCTAGAAAGTCTAAATGAAGGTTTGTAAATCAAAAGTCAGAAAATAGAGTTGTTTTTACATATGGGCTCTAAGTCTTCCGGTTGTGTTCAGGAGTGGATCTTCACTAGATTGTTAGAAAGAGAGCAGTTTCGCATCGTGTGAACAAAATGCGAAACCACTCTCCGCTACCATTGATACTTCAAAAACTACTTATGAACACAGCCGGAGATCAAGTCGAAGAGGGGTGAAAATCACCCCAGAATCCATCGGAAGTTATTAATAAAATCGTGTAAGTCCAAAGTCAAAAACTGTTTGTTTGGATGGGAATTGTTCATGATTGGTTGTTCCTTCTCTTGTCATCATCATTCTCAACCAAGTGCATTTCACAAACGTTTCGACCACTCAAGACGATGTTTTGTTTGTTCTCACTTCCTCCTTTTCAACGATCAAGAAATCCACTCGTCAGATCTTCATTGCATGTTATTCGTTCAAGACCCCGAGGTTTCTTTTACTTTGTTAACACTACTTCGATATGACTCGTACGACTTACTTTGTCTACCTTGCCTTCTACCATAGTGAATTATCATTATCCTTATTTTCGAATGAATGTATGATGAAGATGAACAAACAGACTACAACTTACTTAATCCCTACAGCGAACGAGATGTGCCCATTAAAATCACGTATGGCGTCTATTGCATCTAGGCAGACCATCACGGCTATCCCTTTCCCCTCCAAAACGCATAGCCTTAAGGGGAGCCGCGATGGTCCGATAGATGCAAAAAAACATCATCCATACTAATCAATCATCTATGCAAAAAATTAGATACTTACTTAATCCCTACAACAACAACGAACTCGATATTATAACTAAAACTAATCATCTATGACTATTAGAGAGCGAGACCCTTAAGACCAAGCCAGCGCCAGAAGCGGCACCCACAGCTGCCGACGCGCCTGCTGCAGTTGCGGCAGCCCCTGTACCAGCTGTCCCAAAGGAAACGGCATGAATATGATTAGACGGAAATAGAATATGCAGGTACATTTTTCGAGATCGAAACATGAGACAAAAATAGAACACGAAACAACATTTTTGGACAAGAATAGAATATCAAGGTACTTGAGGATAGACGAAATTAATGCCTTTGCCTTTGCCTCCTATCATATTTGTATGTAGTTGGTTATGGTACAACAAGCACAGGATAGGAAGATAGGATGCCTCGACTTCGCCGTCACACAAAGGTGACCGCTAAGCAATGGCAGTTTGCTGCTACACACAATGCCCAGAATTCTCTGTGTTGATAATTACTTTATAAGCATTATTGCTCCGGTGGAAAGATCTACGAGGGAAAATTAACCAGCAATATTTTTTTAAGTTACCAAAAAAACTTAAACTACGATGCTGCCTTAAGCATTATTGCTCCCGTTGCGGCAGCAGCTCCCCCAATGCTCATCGCGGCGGTCACGGCGCCAAGTGCAACGCCGGCTCCAACTGTGGCTGTTCCCCCCAAGGCAATGGCCGCCTGTTATTTTTTGTAAGAAAAGGGAGTCATAGGGCGACGTGGAAGAGGAGCTGGCACAACAATGGGAGGAAAGTGCTTAAGAGTAAGATTGATACCGACGGAAAACAATCGAAACTGGTGAAGGAACTTCAAACATAATGCTGACCTTACTGCATGTGCAGGGCCAAAGGAACTGAACCTAATATCTTCTTTATCAAAGAAGTTACAGTACCCATTTAGTTGCGCGTCCTACGCCAGTATGACCACGGTAAAAAGCAACGGATTTCGTCTCTTTTCCTGTTTCTTCATCTTCATCGCCACCTTTAAGCGGTTTTCCATCCGCGCCAACCCTTCTTACCACAAGCGCCAATAGATTGCTGTCCTGTAGATGGAGAAATACGCAGATATAGAGAAGTTATAAGTGGACATAAGAACGGGTTAAAAAGCGTGAGATGAAAAGTGCCAACAGGAGCTACCTAATAAATAATAATATTGTACCAAGGTTGTTCGGTCCGTGAATTGAACACAAGCGTGCTGCATGGTAGCAAACGCGAAGATTTTCTTCGAGCCCTGGAAGTGGGTTCCAGCATCGACAAAAGCATCATCATCCGGGTCATCGTGCAACGTCTCCACATAGTCCTGATGTGGAAGAAAAGTGCTTTTAGATGCAGACCACAGATGTTGAAAAGTGCTTTTAGATATTGAAACGTTGTATTTTTAGATGGAGAACATAGAAGAAGATCTGAGCAAGAACATAGAAGAAGATCTCTTGGCCTAGATGCAGGAGGTAGCAGATACAGATAGTGGAAGCTCTTAGATCTACTCCTAGCCTGTAGATGTAGAATGAACATAGAAGATCTCAGATCTACTCCTAGCGTAGATGTAGGAACAGGAAGAACATAAAATAAGAAGATCTCCTAGTAGCCAAGAGTAGATCTAAAATGTGGCTCCAGGCTACTAAGTAGCCTGGAGCCACATATTCATTGCACTTACTTCAACCGACCCTCTTACTGCTTCTCTCGTAAACAATTATCGTGCAAGAAGAGCGTAAAAACCAATTGGTCAACACAGCCACCACCTGGATTCATGATATCATAACGTTATGGGTTGAGCCAAGCTAACTAGGAAAAGAAAAAGGAAGGATAGTAGGTAAAGGATATATAAGTACAGAATTATTAGTAATGTTGATAATCTAAGTACCTCTACGTAGTACCTGTACCATTTTGCCAAACAAGAACTTTTAGCTCAAGTTCAAGTAGGGTCTTGATCGCGTCAAGGATGCCAGGTGCTCCGACGTCACGGGGAGTGGAGTAAGGATCTGCTCGAAGAAAGAGCTACAGCATGAATGTTGAGTGTACTACCCATTCTGGGGGTATATCAGTTACGATTTGAAGTGAAAAAAGTGAAAGTTGTTACCTTCCCATCCGGCCCAGTGAGCCACGCTGTGGTTCTGTCAGCATTTTCCTCATAGTATTTGACTGTCCAGCCATTACTCCCGAACACCTTGGAATCCACAAAATGCGAAAACATTAGAGGACCACTCCAGATATTATTAGAGGACACCACTTCAATACGGAAAACGTAATAAATTACTCGCTTCTTCTCTACGGAGATTGAGATTTTCGGTTCGGTTAGGTTTTTAGGTTAGGTTAGCAATCTAACTACGAAGCACGGTTAAGCATTTAGGTTTCTTATGAATGATCCTACACATGATCGAGTACTGCCGGCACCTACTCAGCCCCCAGAACGATCACGTGATTGCAACATCAACATGCTTTTACGTGTAAGAGGAGAATGCTATAAATCATTAGTGATCATTCATTCATTCATTCATTCGAACCACGTAGCAGCCGCATATAGCTGCCTGGTTCCGTTGTGACCCGAGTAGAGACACGGCAGCTACAAGAGACCGATTGCTTAACGACGTGAATAACGTCTCTGGCAGATTAATTAGACCGAGCCTTGTTGATCCCTTTCTTCATTTGTATAAGTTCCTGTCTAGTTTCTAAACTTCACCTCTTTCTTTACTTAGTCGGTCTTGCCCGGAAAGCTATCCTTCGGCCTCTGATCCCTCGAGGGTTCCTCTTGTTAATTATCTTGTTCTGAACACCGTCCTTCCTGTGACTCTCCTTCTGCTGCACTGTCAACTTTCGTAAACTAACTTCGTCACAGAACCAATTTAACGAAGACGAAAAGAAATTAAATACTTATTTATTTACAACGGGGCCGATTACATACTCGTCGTTGATATGGGGGAGGGACTACTACTACTACTTCTTCTGTTCTTGGCCGTGCCTTTCGTCTCGATCTGAAGAAGATGTGCTGTCGTCCGACCAGTTGGTTATTAGCCGTGGCACGCGAGGACAAGCGAGTCTGCTGGGCTCAGGCCTTCCCACCGCTATTTTCGGAGTAGCTGTCTGGGCGCGCCGAATCCTTCTTTTCCGCAGAAATCTGCGGATCGGCGCCGCTTTCTTCGGTCGTTTCTTCGGCTTCCTGCCTCTCTTCTTCTTCGCTGCGAGGGTGCCACTGCCGGGGCTTTTTGCCTTTTTCTTAGCCTTGAATTTCCTCTTCGTTCGCGCTTTCCTCGCTGTTCTTTTTGGCGCAACCTCGTTGGCGCCCGTCCTCTTTGCTGACCTCATGTCTTTTTCTGCGTCCTTCCCCACGGAACGCTGCATGAGGTCGACTCCATAGACTGCCTTGTAATCCTTCACCGCAGACTCTTGCTCGTCGGTGGTCATCTCCGCCATCCCTGGAGTCACTTTTCTGGTCCTCTCCACTAAGGATCTCCACTTGGCTTCTTGTGCTTTCTGGGCGCGGAGGAGGAAGTCTTCAACTAAAATGCCTCGGGACACATTTTCCTTCCTCCACTCTTCCCACTGCAGCTTTGTTCGACCAGCTAAGAAATCCGCTCTCCACGGGCCTTTCCCTGCTCTGAATTCTTGCAGGCTCATGTGTACGTCGTACTTCGCTGCCTTCCACGTTGCCCACCCGCTAGGCTGTTTCTGGTCCCTACGCATGGCTTGCCAAGTCGCTAAGACCTTCGGCGCGATGGCGTAACGCTTGTACGTTGGTAAAGCCTGTAAATGATCGGATTCAACGTCGTCGTCCGAATCGAAGACCCTGACTCTCGATGGCTTCTTCTTCATCCTGAACTTAGCTGTAGGGACCCCTGCCGCATCATCCTCAAAGTGCTGCGTCAAGAAGACCAACTGCTTCTTTGCCTTTCCCATTACGGCAGAAGATACGACTTTGCGCGCCGCGTCTAATAGAGGAGTCCTCCCAAATAAACTGCCATTCTTACGAAACTGCGGGGCTCCTGGAGTTGCCGGCTGTCGGCTTCCGGACGCGGTCTTCTCCCTCCTGGCCAACGGTGTGAAATATGACCGGAACCTGCCTTCCCTTTGCGGTGCCCGTCGACAACTCGCAGCGCGTTTTTTTGGCTTTCCCATCCGTGTATCCGGAAGCAAAAGTGAGAATGATGGACAGTAAGTAAATTCTTCTCGCAGTGCTAGCTTTATAATCGGCCGCTGAGCTGACCGTCAAATACGCAATTTAAATATGACAGCGAAAGCCACAAGAATATTTACACCGACCGAAAAATACAAAACAAGGAAAAGGAAATGAACAATAAGACACTGAATCGCTGATCAAATGCTACCGACGGACGATCCCAAACCAGCCCCACTAAGTTACCTGTCGACGGAGTAAAGCTTTGCATATGAAGAGTCTACTTACTTTTGGAAGTGCGCTAGTATGCAGCTTTCTGTGGTCTCTTTTCTTCCTTGATTGTGTAGGAAATGTGCGATCTTCGAGCCTTAACAGAGCTTCTTTCAAAGTTTCACGGTCCCGCACAAGACGGCCTTAACCCCTCTCGCTTACACTAACTAATATTTTGATTCAGCCTTAATATTTCGAACCTTCTCTTTGTTGATCTTTGCGGATCTGGCCCCCTTCCTTTTTCGTTCTCTCGATTCCTCTTTCCTCTATCTTTTTCTACGCCCTTTGTTTTACCTTTTCGTTCAATTGTAATTCCATGGAAGCACCCTCCTGCTACTTACAAAGACCTGTGATTACTTCGTCGTTCTTTCCGTTGCTCTCTCTCAAACTTAACTTCGGGCTTCCGGCCTTAAGATCTTCATCCAACATCGCCCACGACGACTGAAAACCAGGTGAACATCGACCGTCTCCGCTAGCGTGAACTTTGTTCGCTCCTCTACCTCCTTCGTCGAAGGTGACGCGATGAGTCACCTTTTCTTTTCTTTAAGTAAACTATTGCATGTTCTTTTTAAATAAGTGCTTGCTCCTTGTTCCTAGTCTTTGTTCACCCCTCTTTGTTGTGTCCTTCAGTAGCCTAAACGTTTTCCCCTTTCTTTTTCCTCCAACAGCCTGTCGCAGTCGTTTCCAGTCTTACTCCTTGACCTACTTCTTGTTTCTCGTTGTACCAGTCTCCTTCGTCGAGAACAGAGGGGACGCAGCAGCAGAAGATTCCTTTTCCTTGGCCGTAATTTTGATCTTGCGAGGGTCCGGCAACATGCCTTCCAAAGCAACCGCGGCTGCTCCTATTTCGTCCGAAGTCTCCAGAGGCCCACAGCGATCACAATAAGCCACTTTCTTGACTGGACAAAGCCAAGCGGACACCGGACAAGACAGTGGCCCATACGTGCCCTCCTTCACGTGTTTCTCCATCTTCTTGTGATACTCAGCTGCTTTTTCCTTTTGCTGGCAAATCTTGTTGATACACCCCAAAGCTTCGCTGTTGTCCTTGAAGTACTCTGCCATACGCTCCTTCGACTCGACCATGATCTTCTGGACGTTCTCGACCGAGATCTCCAAAACATCGACCAAATCCTTGGTCCGACCCTCAACAAATTTGTCTGGTTCTCCAAAGATGGTTTGCTTCACGGCGCGGTACTCCGTTTCGAAGACTACAGCGGAGTTACTCAGATCATCTGCTAACTCGATTGCGCAACCAATCGCCAAGCCGGTGATTCCTACCGGACTAAGCGTCGCTCTCCGTTCTGGCGATTTCATGCGCAGTAACTGCGCTTTCGTGTGCTTCTTCTCAGACATGATGACCAAAGGGCAAAAAAAAAAAAAATTTGGAGGTCCAGACGAAGTTTCTTGTTCGTGATATAGGCTTTCTCTCTCCTCTACTACTAGTCCTTCCGGAAGAAAGCAGACAACTAAAAAGCAAGGAGTTGCAAAAGGTATCCACAGGAGACCAGTACTGAAAACCACACCTGCGACAAGATTTCGAGATAAATGTTTGCTAACAAGTAGCCTGTTGCTTGTTCTCTTTTGAAGAGTTGCTGCGAACGTATCCTTCACTACGCCTCCATCTTGATCATCTCGTGCTGCGCTACGTTTTGTCTCTTTTTTTCTTGCGCGAATCGCCAGACAAGTACTAGCGGATATTGAGCAGAATGGATCACGACGTGGCATTCGAATTCTGAATACGTCAAATTTTTGTTTTCAAGCTTGGCCCAATTCCTTTTCGAACGAGCGGCATCTTCATTCTCGCGAAAGCGGATCGTCCTAAATGGGCCTACAGAAAGAGCTTGCTTTAATTTGCTCTTTGCTGTCCGGTACTGTTCGGACCGCAAAAAGAAGACGACGGACTACTTCTTTCTATTCGTTTATTCTTATTCTTTCGGAACGGACTTTGATCAGAAGATGCTGCATGCTGCTAACAGCTTCTTCGCGAGTCGAGTCTTCACGTAGACTTCTTCCTCTTTTATGACCGGCGCCGGTCCCCGCCCTAGACTCAGAGCACACCTTAAAACCTGATTTACGTTCTAGCGAAACACGCAAGCTCCTTATTGGACTGAGAGAGACCTGATTGCATATACACAATGTGACCACCAACTGGCAATCAGACAGCTCAAGACACCTCACCATTTAAAAGTCGCTGCTCCTCTTTTCTTGATTTTTTTTTTGAGGTCTTTTTCTTCTTTTTTTTTTTTCATTTTTTTCGTTTCTTTTTCGCCTCTTTTCAGGAGGCGCGACCTCGTTTTTGACTTTCTTATCTTTATATATATTTTTTTTTGGCAGCTTGGTGTCTACTCTTGCGTCTACCAGTTATGGTGGCCACTTCCTTTTCTTTTCCTTTCTTTCGAACCTCGTAACGTTAAGGTACTTAGTGCAATAGAACTTAGTAACAAAATCCCAGGAAAGAAAACTTCGAATGAATTTTACTGACAAACTTCCCTGCCCCACTTACTTGATTTCTCCAGCTGATCTTTCACACCTTCATCGCAGCACCGCCACTGTCTTCTCCTTGAGCCGTGATATTCATGGTCGACGTTGACCAGACTGCAAGTCCGACCAGTCGTTCTATCTCCACGACGCTCCACTTGTAGAAGCGCCAAAACCTCTTCACCATTGTTTATCAGACCATCCCTTTCCGACTTTTTTGCAGAATACTCCCTTCTTGTCCTTCGCTTTTCCTTGCTTCTTGCCGAAGCTGCCATGTGCGTGGAAGTCCTTCCCTTTCAGCGAAACATGGAAGATGCCTGGCGCTGTTGCCGAGTTCGAACTCGAGGATGACCCAAAACCTGCTGATGACATGCTAGCTAAGGGTTGCCCACCGTGCGCGAAGAACGGGATCTGCGGTGGGGGAAACTCTCCAACGAACGCAGCATAAGGTCCTTTTGGAGAAGATACTGGACTTCGTCCTGGTGGGAAGGTCGGAGCGTACCCTGGTTCCGTGAACGGCTTGCGAGGAACAAACGAGACCGGAGACGGCGCAGGACTGTTGCTGGAGGGACAAAGAGGTGGAAACGTGGGTTCTCGTGTTGTCGTCTTCTCCAAACCCCTTCGAGCTGGGGTTGCCAGGTCTTTCTCGCTGGTCTTACTCCTCTTGTCCTCAATTGCCGGCATGCTCCGGGACTGGGCGTCGACTACTGTGCCTGCATCGTCGATTTCTTCTTGCTGAGATGCCAAGACAGATCTTCCCGACGCTCTCTCCGCGTTGCTCTCTGGACAAAGAAACGCGTCCTCTTCTGGGCCCTGCAGGTCCCCTAGCTCGCTCTCCATCTGCTCATTCCAAGACGCCACTCTTTTTGCGGCCTCGTGGGACGCCTTGACCGCCTTTTTGACTTCATCTACGACTTCATTGACGCGAAGGCCTTCCTTCCCGGCAACTTGCGCTGGTAACCCGACTACGCCTTCCACTACGATGACCGCCACGTCTTCTTTCGCCCCTGGCCATTCCTTCACTACTTCAAATTCCACCGGGTATTGTTGCATGTACATCCGGTTCTGCGGCAGGTAATGCGTGCTGAAAATCGAAAGGGCATGCATCAAGTACCCGGCGTGATCTCCTTGCACCTCGCAATGCTGGTCCTTCGGGTACACCACAATCGTCCTTACGACTGTCTTTCCAGACAGCCCAACTGGCTGCAGCCGATATCTGACTTCGTACTGGCCGTTCCAGTTTCTCTTCACGATTTTCCCTGTTCTGGCTACCGTTGCGATGAACTGCTCGATGATCTCGCAGCTTACGCCGTAGAAACCATTTTTCGGCTGCTCCTTGGGGCGCATATGTTGCACCTGTACTGAGGCTGCTTTCCTCCCGTGACGAGGCATTTTTGTTACCCGACTACGACGCGATCGCACCAACAGACGTCAACTTCTTACGCGATTCGCTGTCGACGCTCCTTACTCAACAAGCAATAAAAACAGACTTTAATACAGAGACATAGAAAGCGAAGTCCGACAAAAAACAATTTTACCAGCTACCTCTTCTACTGTTCAGACTTCGTCGTCAACCGACAGTTACGCTGTTAACTTTACCTTCTACTTCTACCCGCACTAGCCCCTTGTTCCGCTGTCCTGTCCCCCGTTTAGAAGTTCCTGGTTATGTAAACGAATTAGGTCTTTATATCTTCCCCTTTCCACTTTCTTTACCTAGCTTACGGAAAAACTTAAATGGCGACAAGGACGTGCTTCGGCTTCCCGTATCATCGTTTGAAACGAGCTGAAGCTGTGCTGAAGTTCTAACCTGCGACTCTCCGCCGGTTAGAACCTGCGCTGTACGCTTGCCCCTTTCTTTCCATTCTTATTACTGGCGTTACTCTTACTCTTACCCTTAACAAGGCGAGGAACGAAACTTGATCAAGCTCCCTATAAACTGAACGAACTGTGACATTTCCATTCCTTGAGCTCAACGTCGGATACGGGCAGCAGACCTGTGCGTAGAGTCTTCGCTTTAATTTTTTGACTCCTTTTGGAGCTTCCTCGGAACTAAGACCAGCAGAAGTATATCCCGACTTGCCAAAGAGAGATCTCTGATATCCATTGCAATTCTCCGACCGTTTCTTTGAATTTCTGATTTCCCAGACCTCGATTTTCTTTGTTGCATCTTCTTGCGCTCCTCAATGGCCTCCTTGGACCGTCGATCGGCTAGTACTGTTCTACTTTTGTTCTAAGGGCTTGTGGCCGGGGTAGTCTCGTTGTGTGGTCGGGTGTCTTCTCTAGTATTTTTTTCATCCGTCTTCCTTTTTGCATTCATTCAACTCACTATAACAACAATAATACTAGACTATCTTCTCTACTCCTAGAGCGGGCTACGCTCGCTCTTCCTACAGCTGGTCTAGGCGAGGCTTCCGACTAGCTAAGGTCTGTTAAGAATGACTACCGCGTCACGTCCTACATCCCTCGCTGTCCGTATTCCAAGCCGACCTTCTCTCTGGGTGTCTCTCACTCGTTGTTGCTTAGCCCTGCCGCATGCTCGCTACCATCTGCTCCGCCTTCTTCATCTCGTTGCTCGTGCTGTTCTGGCAAGACGTCGGGCTCGTACTGCGGTGCATCTATGTGCACTATCCCCGCGTCAACGAGACTCTTTTTGAATAACAGGTCTCGTTCGATGTCGCCTACCATCTGCTCCATCTTCCTCTTCTCCTTCCAATCGTTCAGAATCAGTGGCACTGCTGCGGGCGGGTTCACTTCTCGCTCGTCCTCTACTGAACGAATCAGCAACATCGGGTCGTATGCTTCGTCGACTTGCCTCTGCACCAACCTCGGGCCATCTTGTCGCCCAAGCCAACCTTTAGGAGGCGCCCGCATCGTGACTACTAACCTCCCACCTCCTATGGCTACATAATCTGCTAGCGCCCAAAGCTCCTCGTGTGCTATACTACCATACACTGGCTGACCCGGCATGCCTGTTATTAGCACTTTTTTAGGAGCCAACCACAACGATTCCGCTGAGTCGTCTCGCTCTCTTAATGCTGCACGCGCCGCCATGGCCGCGGCTCTGTAACCTTCGTTGTACATCTTAGATTTCGTCTTCAAGGAGAAGCCTATTGGCAAGCTAAAGTGCAAACGATGACACTTTCGCGAGACCATCCATCGAGCTACTGCTGCAGGCCCAGAGATGTGCACGCAGACCATTGAAGAGTCGAGCCTCCATTCTTCTAGCGGGCCGAACATTGATTCGACGTCCGTCGTGCTTAACGTAGGTGAGGGAGTCCCCGTGGCCCGCAGCCTGTGGAATCGTTCCCGGCAGGGCCAAGGCGGCCATATACTGAACTCTTCTGGGACATGATCTTCGTCTTCGTTCCCGTCTATAGCCGCCGCGACTGTGTCAGACAAAACTGCATCCCCGCAACTCGAAAGTGCTTTTATCGCGCTATTGTCCGTCAACCTCGCCGCCAACGTGTCCCAGTCTGACAGCCCTGTGATGTCGCTGAAGAAGATCTCCTCTGGGGACTCCAGCTTGAATGTTTTTTCCAAAACTTCTTGTGATTCTGGGGATATCGCTATGATTGGCAAGAAAGTCAACGCGACTTTCTTCTTGAGTGTGGCGAACTGCGCTGGTTCCAGTCTATCTCGGGCCGCCGGCAAGAAGTGAATGATCGGTTGCGAAGCTGAAAAGCTAGCCAGCGCTACCAGCATTGGCCCATTTACTACGAATTTCAATTTCCTAAGCGCGGTCTCTGCTAGGTAAGCAGAATGCCCCAACTTCTTCCCCATCGCAGCTACTATCGATTTTTCCGCTGGTAAACCAACAGGGAAGCCGAACACCTTTTCTGTGGTCGACACTCTCGGCGCTTTTCCGAAAAGGCTGAACTTCTGCCTAACCTTTTCCCCGAGCTCTACTTTCTGACTGTCGTCTAGATGCTCCGCTAACACTATCAAGTCGCACTTTTCGGGGGCCATGAACAGTTCCGTGTCTAAGAACATAATCCGTAGACCCTCCACGACTTCTGCTACCATCCTGTCGAACTTGCCACCCGTTTCTAGAAGCTCTTCTTCTGACGAAAACAGCAATATGGGAGCGTCGTCGACGCAGCTTTTTACGTATATTGCTGGTGACTCTGTGTAGTTTCTCTTGATCTTCCATGGCCTCTCCTTGCAGTCAGCTGCACCAGCGCCATCTCGGTAACGAGGATGGACGTCTTCTTCTGCATCTAAGTCCGCCCATGTAGTTAACAAACGACGCTCCCGCGCCAACTCCTTATCATAATGTATATGCAGTTGCCTATCTTCACGAGGGCCAGCAGCAGCTTTTTCAACCGCTTTCGCGATCGCACGGAGATAAGGTTGCACTATGGCCAGCGAGGTCGCCATGCTCTCCGGCGCACCTATTACACAATCCGAATGGTTCGTTGCTTTGCTGAACAAGTCCCCGCTCTGCGTAAAAATCGTTTTCCCTCTGATCATCGACCATAGTGCTAGTGTATGGGTCGGATGAGCTCGAACTAGCCGCCATCCTCGCAAGAACATCCCTTGTAAGATGCAATTGAACATGTTCGCGCTATCACACGGCAACATAAGAGCCACCGGCTTGCCCTGAACTCGGCTCGATGTCATGTGCGCCGCGATCAGACGGTCCCAACCTTGTCTCGCGACGTCGAGTGAAAACATTTTGCGTCCACCAATGCTCTCGTCTCCTAAGTAGTTGGACACTCTCATGATTGATAGCGCTTCGGCGACTATGAGACTGACCAAAAGTCTGAAAAAGATATCAGCCGTGGCGACATAACGCAGCGCGGATGCCTGCACTTTTCTCGCGTTTTTCCTTAAGAACCTTCCTATCATCGCTTTGACATGCGCAGGTATCTTGTTCAGACAGTCTGCTGGTCTCGAGGAATCGACTGCGTCGAGGGTTGCGTTCAAGCACTCGTGCAAAAGATCTAACAAGTCTTCGCTCTCCAAAAATGCCTGCAGAACCCAATTCCGGAGACCGTTGGGCGACCGCAGCATCGGGTTTGCATCCCTCAAATGATCCCGAATTTGTGTTTTTGAGAATCTGTATGTTCTCCCCGACGGTCGGACTCGGAGGAGCTGCTGCACCCAGAAAGACACTGGTGGGTCGCTCTTGACTCCGACTGTAGCTGTCCTCAAAGCTCGAGCTTTCCAGAGATGCACTAGAGGGGCCAAAGTCACGACATGAACAGGGTCCGCTACGACTTCCGCGCCGCAGACTAGCACTACTAACTTTCCGCAAGGATCTCCTCTTTTCTCACCCCAGATGGATTTCGCCACGCCGTCGAGAAGCGAATACAGCTCGTGGGACTTCGTTGTCGCTTCCGACGGAAGCGCTGCTGTGTAGTAATCTAACAGCGCGTCCATCTGCTCTGTCTTCTCTGTGACTCCTTCGTCGTTCGGCGGCGCTCCTATCGAGGGTAAGCTGGCTGATGAACCACCTCCAAAAGTCGGTCTCTCGGCGCAATACGATCCCCCGAAGAAGGCTGAGTCAACCGCTGCTCGTGACACTACTCGCTCTAGTTGCACCAGATCCCGCGGTCGGCTGAACTTCTGCTGTCGATTTGAAGCACTAGTAAATCCGATATTGTGCAGCTTTAGATAATCCGTAAGCATAGACGCAAAGCTCTCCTTTTTCGGCTTCATCGACCTCGGTACCTGGACTGAGTGCTGGTAGCCCTTTACAGTGTCTTTCACTGACACCGGGTGAGTACCGACCTTTCTGGCGTCCTCCCAACTTGGATATAATGCTTCCGCGTAGGAGGTGGACAGGACATCTTTGTCGCGAGTCGCCCATGCCTTCGCGCTTGCCTCTTTCATCTTCTGCGACACGCTAGGAAGCATTGTCTGGAACGTATTCCCTTGCGAAAACTTGAAGAGTTGCTCCACAGCTATCAGCGCGTGATCGACCGGGGCTCCGTCGGTCCCTAAGATCTCTCTGGGGGTGTCGTTCTCGAGGTTCCATAGAGACACGGCGCTTTCCGGTATCGTGTTCTCTGACATTAGTATCGCATCTATCTCTCTCGGCTCTCCTCCTGCTTTTAACTTCAGCGCTCTGAAGCAAGTAGGACCTGGTAGTTTCACCTTATGTCCTGTCAGCCGTTTTATGGGGTCATATAGCACTTCTCTCAGCTTTTTTGTGCATGAAGTCGCTGTACCTCGAGCGGACATCTCGGAGTTGAAATCACCCGCGATCATGACCAGTGCTTCTTTCTCCTCTGCTGCCGCTTTCACCTGCCTCTCCAAGTCCGTCATCTGCAATTTCACATGCTCCAAGTCGATCCGCCTATCTGGGAGCCTGTTATCGAAATACACCGACATGAGGATCAACGAGCCGTACCGGGCTGCTGCGGCGTATAGGAGGATCTCACCTGGCTCCCGTTGGCCGGCTATCGCTGTGCCGTCTCCCAATGCGAACGCTTTGTCTGGTGAGGCTGTGATGACCCAACTTGAAGACCAGTCCTTGGGAGGTACTGTTCCTGGAACTCCTACCAATCTCAGCACTGCTGCTCCACCGGAGTTGTCTGGGCCGCGTGCTGCGGTGCTATCTGTGCACACGTCTACTACATATTCCGCCCCAGATAGCCCCTGCATCGGTAATCTTGCATTCTCACGCATCCAGAACCTCCTGCGCAATTCTTGCACCGTGCTCAGCTGAGGTATGTTGGTGTCACAGTACTTCTGCAACCGGCTTAAATTTGTGACACTATTTAAATTCCAATTAGCTAGTCCCGTCCGTGGTGTCGACGTCACGTCCACATCCACGTCATCCTCCAACGCATCTTGCTGAGCCAGATGGTCTGTTGGGCCGTCTCCGAGCTCGCTGCCCACGTCTTCGTCGCGATTTGAGAAGTCGTCCTCTCCTTTGAAGACGCTGTCGTGTTTCGCTCGGAACACAATCTGGGCGTTGTGTGACACAGCCCCCGGCACTGGCACACCTGGATGCCAACTCCGCGCCACCCAACTAGCCTCTCGGGGAGTCACCTGCTTGAGGCTTATGCCATCCTTCAGCAAATTCTTCGTGGTTTCCAACCAGGTCCTTTGATGCGCCGTCATGGAGCCAAAAACTTGGAATGATTCGACTATCACCTGCTGGGGCTCTGTACTTGGATGCAGCTTGTAAGCCCCGACCGAGACTGATAGAGGCGCATCTTTATCAATGGACTTCGGCCGCAGCGACAAATCTCTCCCGTCCTCCGCTGCAATTCTCGCGAATTCGGGGACTTGTTCACTCGCTTTGTGTGCGGCTATCACTCTCGCAAAGATTCTGGAGACGTCTAACGCCAAACCCTTTCTGTCGAAGGTCTTCTCCTTCTCCATCGTCGCTCCTGGCGATGGGATGGTCCAAGTGGCTTCCCCGTTTTTGAGCTCGACCTTGTCAAAGATGGCTCTTCTCTCGCTGTGCGGCAGTCTATCTATTTGCTCCTCCGAGAGCTTTGACAGCGCTCTCGCATTTACTGTCGGTAGATGATAGTTGTATCTCGACAAGCGTATTATTGAACGGCCTCTCCTAGACGTGCTACCACGAGCGAAGGCCTGCTGCACTTTGAACTGCGTAATCGCAACCGACGTAGCACCCAGCTTTAACATTAGGCTCCATGGTGGAACCCAATGCGGCCACACCAAACAATCAATCCCCGCGGCTTGCGCCAAAGCGTACGCGTCTGCCTCCGTCGCGGCTGACACTGCGCGACGGTTCCAGACGAAGACCGCGAAATCATTGCTGGCGAGAAAATCGACCAGATGTTTCATCAAGAAGGAAGACGTCGTCGATCCGGGGTTCGGTTCCAGAATTTCGACTGCTTGGTCCAGAACCTCCACGTCTCCTCCGTTGTCTGGCCTGTTCACTTCTTTCTTGGCGGTTGACCCTTCACTCATCTCCTCGTGTAATTGGAGACTCCTAGGTCTAGCGCTACGAACCACGGCGACCCGACTGCCTGCCCCAGGATTGAACGGACATCACTTGTCTTTCAGCCTTTTTTCAATTTCTTTTGACGCTCTTTTGATTTTTGACTTTCTTTTCAGCCGTTTGGGGCGTGTTTCAATCCTGGCGCTACAGTGCTTCCTGAGTCGGTGGCGCTCCTTCTTTTCTAACGCTAGCGAAGCTGCTTGACCGGCTATGGCCCTGGCTTCCCGCAAACGCTTGAGGCCTCTTGTCAAGCGCGTGCGTACGTTTCTATGGTGTTCAAGTCGATGCTCTACTATTCTACGTCCTATTCACCTCTTGCCCGGGTCCTGTTTTTTTTTCCCAAATTGTGAGGACGGTAGTCGATGCTGCCTACTACTAGTTAGCTGGAGTTGTCATATTTTGATTTGGACCTTACTCGCTGGGCTTTTCGGAACTGTTGCTAAACTTCTATTCCAATTCCCTTTCTTATTCGCGTTGCCGTCGGCGCAATGCGCCTTGCCGATGAGCTTTGCTGTCGGAGAGCCATTTTCCTTTTCCTTTTACACACTGTTTTCGATCATCCAACTTGCATTATCATTTTTCATTTACACATCTATTACTTGCGGTATTTTTCCCCGCCTACACGATCCTTCTGCCCTTTTATAGACCCTGCCGTCGGGCTATTACACACTATGAACTTGATCTTATTCACCTTCTTGACGGCAGGGTCTCTATGCAATGTCGGGACAAAGAACCAAATATGAGTACCTGATCTTACCAGATCACACCACCAGATCACACTTGATATTGTTACACCACCAGATCACACCACCAGATCAGTAGTTGTTACACATCATATAAGATGTAAAGACATCACATGACTAATAAGTATTGCGATTAAGGAATACTAACGACCTCCGAACTATGGAAGGAAATTAGCCAGCTAATTTACTTTGTATACTACTCTGAGCGTCGCAGGACCTAGACCTTCCCAAAAAGGCGATACTTTTCATACTTCGGACAATGACAATCTGCACTAATGATTTTTAGGCACCTAGGAGACGGATATCTTGGATTCAGGAACCAACCTAGGGATACATTGATTCGGTAGTACTTACCTGCTAGGAGAAGGATATCTACTTCCCTTTTAGGCTGAAGTATCTTGTACTTATCTTCCAAGATGATGTCGGATGGAACAATAGCTGATTAGTATTTTTTGACTTGTAAACCTTCTCCATAAATTGAAGCGGACGTACAAGAAGAAGGGCTGGGTCGAAGCGCCGCAACCCTCGCAGCATCCTCCACTTCCACAGCTACCACGGGCAAGAAACGACGTCGGACTCTTCATTAGAAGTAGAAGTTGACGAACTGCGTGATAGTGATACTAGAAGTAGTTCATCATAACTCTAGATTCTGAAGCAAGGATATTACAATCACTAGTAGAAGTCATAGTACTAGTAGTTAGCCTATTTATATTCGAGAGGTGCAAGAATGTCACGATGCTTTGGGATGCATAGTACTAGTAGCCACCAAACCCCAAAGTTGTTATACTTGGCCAGCTGATTGAGTTCGAGGTCACGCATTTTTATAGTCTCACTTACCTGTTTTACGCGTTGCTAGCCTCGACTGTTCACTGTGTAAAAGTACTAACTTCACGTCACGGCATTACATGATACTAATGAACTTACAACTATGATAGTAAGCTTCGAACTAGTATGATAGTGAACGAACAACGGCGTTAAGCAAAAGATTGAACACTCACTCCATTTCTTTGCGGTTTGGTTTTCTTTCCACCGACCTAGGATAGTTTGTTTGAAGGGACTAGCCAAGGATGATGAGGGAAAAACTAAGCGGTTACGGTCTGCCGTATCCTTAAATTAAACGAAGGTGGCGGCGGGTAGTATGCAGGAACCGGCGGAGCGGGTACATCCTCAGCAGATCCCTCCTCGAGAATAGGATTATTAGAAAAAAAAAGATGCTGATGATGATGTTATTGTTGATGATGAATATGAAAATGATGATGATGAAGGTGATGAAAATGATGACGATGAAAGTGATGATTGGACTTCTAGAGATAGGGTGAAGTTTGTTCATAGAAGTTCAAGTTCCCAGCCGCATCCTCATTCCACTTACTTGTTCAGCCGATCATTTTACTGCTTATCTTGTAGACAATCTTACTAGCGGACCCATCACATATGAAAGAGAAGTCGTGGCTCATCCATGATAGGTTCTATAAGTTTATCCGTAAGAGAGTCAGTGCCAATGATCTTTTCCTGCTGTCGTCCTGCCATTTCTACAGCCATGCTCACATCCAGAAACCACGTCGCCTTCATCGCTGCGGTCGCGGCCGTTGCCGCGATCGTCTTCATCCCATGACGTTTCATCTTTTCAAGTATTGATTGTTGCTTGTTGCAGAATGTATTATATTTTCTCACTGAACAAGAAATATACATGTACCTTCGCTATGAATTATATGTGTGTAGGTGTACCTCTGCAAGACAGAAGCAATCTTCTCTTCTCATGTGGACTTCGTTGTACAACAAGAGCAACCTACTATATTTTGTCGGCAAAGAGGTCAAACGCGAATCAATAGGGAAAGTGTCTATTTTGCGATACTTACCATATTTGTTTTGTAGTGAAAAAATGTGTACTCCACTATGTATAAGTATAAGGAAGGTGTGCTGAACAAGGACAAGCAGGATTATTTATAATTACGAAGGAGGTACAGGGTATAAGTTGACCCACTGCACCACTGTTAGTTATGATGAACAAGATACTAGTACAGCAGAAATCTCAATGCTCAACTTCATCATCAGGTCAGGAGGTATCAAAGCTTTTAGAGGTTACTAAGTAGATTAGGATGACGGAATTTCTAGTAAAGAGGGAATTTGCAAGAGATTTTTGTAAGAGATATGGATCACTCAGGATGCTGGCGTGGTCTCCGTCTGCTCTATAGTGACAAATACGTAGACACCAAGTACAACCTGCAGACAAATCCAAGCGCTTGACCGATAATGAGAAGACGAAAGATCAATGTCTAGACATAGGTATCAGAGCAAGAGCAAGTTGACCGATTATTGTGTTTCTTTGACCGATACAGCAGTGATAAAAGAGTGTGGAAGATGAAGATATCAATAGACAGAGAAGAATGTTGAGGACAGAAGATTCAATGGCAAAGAAGACATTCGCATATTAGGACCAGACGCAGGAGTACGCGCTGTTGATAGAGTCGGCGGATTCTCAACTCGTCCGATGTTGATCGCATATTTTCTATTGCCTACTTGTCTACAAGTGCACAGACTTTGACTTACATGACCTGAATCGGCATCGTGGCCCGGACTCCCCAATTCAAAGAGAAGTGGCCTGCCTTGTAGAAAAGCTAGCGCGGGTTCACAAAACCGCCTATCTATGCTACTTCTGATCGTCTTTGGGGTAGAAAAAAAGCTCGGACACAGACACACGCCAAATTTCAATTTTTCATCAATTTCATTGTCTTCGGCCAACTATATAGGACGGAAGGGGTGTACATTCAAGCCTCCTTTTTCTTGAGATTCAAGACATGTGGAAGAGTCTTCTAGTTCTGCTTGCTACGAGAACGAGATCACAAAGAAAGACCAACAAGAAGTTAGTATTTACTATGTATTAGTTATAGTTTTTTGAAAATAGAAAAAGTCGAAAATATCTTTCGAGTCTCTGTTCCTTTGTTTTCCTCAAAAATATTTAACAGGAGTAATTCGGCCGCATATCGATAGACTTCTCCCATTTTTTGAGGGAGGTTTAGGCTAGTGCTCAAGGCTGATGATGATGATGATGATAGAAAGAATTTTTTCGCACGAATGTGATTGCAACACGCATACCTTTTCAAAGGTAAAAACCAAAAGGCAAGCCATGGAGTGAGTGTTCAAAAAACTCTGCTTCTATTATATCTTCTTGATCTTCTTGTTCAGTTCAAATCATAAATATCTTACGACCATGATCAGGCACCATCGATTCGAGGACCACATCAGTTTTCCAAAGCTTTTCTTTCTTTGAGATTAGGACCACCCCAGCAGTTGTTTTTGGAAACCTCAGAACAGCTAAAGAACAACAACTATAGTACAGAGTACTGTGAGTCTAAAACTGGATTATCATCAAGAAGAATGTAGTAATACAGTAGAGCAGCGTTGAATGAATTTCGGCACTAGAAGCATCTAAGATATTGCTGATCCAGTTTCCAATTCTAGCATAAATATGTTACTTTTTCTTTCCACATCTTCGCCTGGCTTTTGTCTGGGTATACGTATTCCGAATCGCTCCTCCACAATCATTGAAAACCTCACATGAGGGTTCTTCAAAAATATCAATGCACTTCCAACCCCAGGGATAAAGAAGATAGATGTCTACTCACATGGGGATAATACAACGGCATTGATGAGACGACGTAGCATATTCAACGAGGGAGATGGAGAGCTGTTAGAAGACTTGAGAGGGATCATGAAAACCACAAAACTCAAATTCTTCAGCTTTAGAACACGCACCGCCAAAAAAAAAGAACAGGAGCATAAGTTCTAGACAGGCGATGAGGACTGCGTCTGCGGCGCAGGCACCAAGTGAAAGCCAGAACGGCAATGAGCCCAACAGTCGAAATCTGCACAACAGCCACGGCGTCGAGGTGCATGGCAGGAAGAGATGCCCGAGAAGTGGATGTGGTTTCCATGGTAGATTTTTCGACAAGGACAACGCCGCTAGAAGAGCGCTCGACGCTGGGGGGATCGGTGATATTGAACTTCAATATACTGAATTACGTTGAAGGCCTACAGTCTAGTCCTTCTCCTCTCAATATATCTAATGATAATGAAAAGAGGAGGACCAGACTGTAGGTCTTCTAATGGTCGTGATGGACTTGTAAATGACCGCGTTGTTCTTAGAAGTCTGAAGTTGCATCTAGAGACACTCTGTACCCTCAGGGCGACCGTTGAAGTTGTACCTAAAGAAACTCTCCACCCTCAAGCAACGTCGCTCAGAACGATTCTCTAGAGATTCTTCGCGAAGTAGTCACTCTAGAACGATTTTCAAGAAACCTTCACCTCTCAGAACGAGCTCGCAACATCACTCAAGCCAGACTCTGGGGTGCCGAGTCATGGGACAGATTTAAGGCGCCCTCGAACCACTCTTACGATTGCCACCCTGTGAATGTTGAAAGAATGTTCCTAGTACTCACTTGTGATCGTTCTGAAGATCGCCACTCGGTGAATTCATCGAGAGAACGTTCTTACTTAGTGCTCACTAATTGTGATGCATGACGGAAGGATTTATCAATATAAGTAATAATAATCAGTTGTGCTTGTGCTTGTGGTCGAGTAACCTCCTCTCCCGCGCGAAACGATGAAGACCCAGCGAAAACTATGGTCATTCTCCTCCACGCCAGTATTCATTACCCTAAGTAGTTGCCGTAGAGCCCTTCTAACTACGAAAGGAAGACACCTGAAAAAAGGGATGCCAAGGCATAATCGGTGGAAGATTATGCCCTAGTGATACCCGAGTAGCAGTTGTAATTGCTAACCCTCTCAGGAGGTACAGTCCGAAGTTGCAACGGGGAGGAAGGGCGCGCTTTCTGGTGAGGGGTTTTCAGTGCTCTTCGTTATTTTTCTTGTTGACTCTGTAGAAGTACTCTCACACTTCTCCGAGAACACCATCGCGAGCCACCTTTGATGTTCTGTGGTTGAGCTACTGTCTTCATCTCCTCAGAAGAAGGTAGCTATGTTTTTTTTTCGAAGCAAGAAATGCCCTCTGCTCATCAGTCACTCATTCACAGTATAAGCAGCAAAAGTGTCAGCGCAATTCATCAGCACAGTGTTCATACACTGTAGCATACGATAGAAGCGGGCTCACCCTCACCTCCTGCGAGGAGACGAGCGTCGCTCATAAACTGTAGGATACTAGAATAGGAGTCGGCTCAACTCCTGCGAGGAAGCGAGCGCCGCGCATAGTTTACATCCAGTGTTCATACAGTGCAGTTGCTACAGTGTTTCGCTGGGCCAAGTCGTCCTGCTCTTGTCATGGCATCTCGAGAAATTAGCTCCTATCTAAGAGGATTTCCCTACTTCGTCCTAGGATAATTTGAATCAAAGATTTCATGCCAACAAATCTATCACATTGCTTCTTACCAACTGCTGCTCTGGCAATGAAATCACATGTTCGAAAAACTGCAGTAAGCCGTTTAAAAAGTGATCTTCTACAAGAGCAAAAATAATTTAGCTCTATGACCCTTGCATTTACTTGCATACTTCCAGCGGAGCCCCGACTAGAAAAGCCCTTGCTTGTTCTTTACCACTTCGAATCCTAGAACAAGCAGCTGCACGGTGGACGATGTGATAACTGCGAATCGGTTACGCAGTGAGTAGACGATATCTGATCTCCCTCAACATCATCACGACATACTTTCGTCTTCTTGCTCTTACCTGCTCTTCTAATGTACTTGACTTAGAGCAGGCGTCTTCATAGAAGTACAGCAAAGACAACATGGAAGTTCTCACTAGCAAGCTGCTCCTTGACGCGCGGGGAAGTAAGAGTAAATACATGAACAGTGTTGAGCTAAAAGTTGAAGGGTTACCATTTGAAGACCCTTACGTTGATGATGAGTGGAGGAAGGTGCAGAAGACTAACTCCCCTGCTTCTGCTTTATCAAATAAGAATCTTAAATAGCAAGGTTTACTCTAGTACCCTAGGCCTTAAGCACACAGTGCGGCTTGTGCCTGACCCTTCGCCTTGAATACTCTAGTACCCTAGGCCTTAGGCACACAGTGTGGCTTGTGCCTGACCCTTCGCCTTGGGTTCGTGACTGACACCGATTGATGTGTGTAGTTCTCAGCACTTACTTACGTGGCATAAGGGGGCACTTCCGTGATTCAAGGTCATGCAAGGTTGGGTCCCCCCGTTTCACCCCCCGGCTTCCCTGATCTTTTCTTTAGGTACGACTAGACGCTTCCTCCCCACTATTCACTTACACCTCTAAGAGCTTTGATACTCACTCAAAGGCCGTAAGCCAGCGGGCAAAAAAACGGCCACAAAAAAAAGCACACGGCCGCAAAAAAAAATCTGTCTACTTCAATACCTCCACTTCAAAAAAATTTATCGTTTCAACTGCACACTTTTTGCTACTAACTTGGGCTTTCGAACTAGCTCAAGCTCCTCCTCTTTTTTTCTCTTCGCATCAGCCTGACGCACATTTTTCACATAACGAAAAAGCTACAATCAGACTGCGAGTGAGAGTGACAAATGAGCATAATGAAAGATTTGCTGCTTCTTTTTTCTTCTCACGTCGAGGACCATTCAGGCTAGCAGGTGATCTTCGTGATGAAGATATTTCTATTCATTTGAAAAAATGTTAAATCCCGTTAAAGTCCCTACTAAGAATTAGATCATTTAGACTAAGTTAGAGTTAGACTTCGTGAGGAACAATCAATCTACCTGAGCACGCCGCATAATGGGGCATTGGCAAATGTTTTAGCTCGCATTGCAGACTCACATGATGAACAATAATATCGCAAATCCGTCCGCCCTCTTCTTCTCGTTTCTTCTTACAGAATCCGACTGCTTGCGTCGGCCGCGATCTGCTCGAAGGGCGATAGAATTATTGGTGGTAGGGATAAAGCGATAGAACAATACTCAAAGGTCTTACTCCTAAGAAAGTTTTATTTTAGTGCTTCCTTACAGGACGATCGAGGAACTGCACTAGTAAAAAGGTTGAAAAAATGCTTCAAAAAATCTTGTGGAGAATTTGACACAGAGGAAATGCGCCCCTCCTCAGGAGTCTGTGGCTCGCGACCTTTCAGAGCGTAAGCTGACCCTTAGAATTTCTAGAAACAAACAATGCATACATGCGCAACCTCTTCTCATATAGAACACAAATGAACTAACGCCCCTTTTCTTACTTGCTCCTACAGAAAGCTGATTGCCCACGAAGCGCACCAGATACTTTCTCTATTCCTTCAAAAGAGAAACTCAAGTGGGTGCTTGCATGATTTGACTGACTCAAAGACGAACAACAAGCTTGGAAGACTTATTGAGTCCGCCTAGCTTCTCTCAACTCCTTTGAACAGCATGAAAGGGTGGAGATGTCAGGAGAGTGATCCCTTTATCACCTAAGGGCGAATGCTTTCCAGCGTATCTAGTATCTCAGAAATGCCCATCCGTCAGGCCAAATACACATCATATGCGCGCCCGACTTCTCATACTCATTACTAACATATCAACAAAAAAAAATCAAAAAGCGAGAAAAAGCATAAACAAGACAGGAGAAGGCGCATCGGCGTTGCCGCCACACTAGATGACTACTCCGCTCTGGCCGATCCGCCCCAGACCCATATTTGCTCAAAAAAGAAGATACAACTGCATCTACCAACATCGACAGTGCGAAAAACTGAACAATGATTTTCACCACTCAGAATGACCCAAGGCAGGACCCCCCATCGCACAACGGAATGCAAATGGAAATGGACTCCCACCCCCCAGCCCGCCCACCATGCGCAGCGTAGCAGGCTGGAAGCTATCGCTAGCTTCTTCCCCAACCCCCAGAGAGAATCATAGACCAAGTTTGTTTGTTCACACTACAACTGCAATGCTTGCAGGTGTTCCAGTGAAAGCAGCTCTGCGATGCCCGCTGATGTATTCTCACACGGACAGACATACTAAAAAATGCACCATAAAAAAAATACGCCAACATTAGCTGAGCGATATCCACCTCAGCATAGAAGGCCCAGAAAAGTGAGTAACAATTTTTCAACACAGAATGACCCAAGGCAGGACCCCCCATCGCACAACGGAATGCAAATGGAAATGGACTCCCACCCCCCAGCCCGCCTACAATGTGCATCGTAGCAGGCTGGAAGCTATCGCTAGCTTCTTCCCCAACCCCCAGAATTAAACACTCGACTTTTCTCCACTAAACTATTTGCAGCTAGTGTCCTGAAAATATTGATACCCTACTGGCCCCTAGGACGGCTGTCCAATGAGTCGATCAACCAAACAGCGCACATAAATGAGCGGCATGGATTTTTCATTGGTGGGCCCCATTGAAGAGCAATTCTCCCAACGAGAAGGCCTGCGACTCATTTAACCCATCAGAAAAGAGCGCCCCACGACCTAGGCAACCAAAATCTTCAAGGCTTACCCGTATAGCGACCAATATTTGTGAACTCACCTTCTCCAAATCATCTCAATCTTTGAGAATGATGCTTTGAAAATTTTCACAGCTTGCTTTTGCAGCTGACATCCTTTCACCTCTTCCCCGAGCACATTCAAGAGGAGGCCACTCCTTTCCTAATCGCAAATAGATCAGATTAGACGCACGGGTGACAACATGAGCGCGCACGCCGCGAATCCTGACTAGACGCGCGCCCGCGTGTAGGATGCGCGGCCCCCAGATAGATACAGCTCACGCCGGGTCGAGGAACCCCTGTTCCGCCGCGCTGGAGAGGTCGACTCGCAACTTCGTCTCGTACTCCGTGGCCAGCTCCAGGTCTTTCTGTGTGGTTTCGAAACGTTAGAGCTCTTCGGAGTCTGACGGGGGCTGCCTTCGTTTCTTCTACAATATTGAGATGTGGTGCAAAAAATGTCTACCTCCCTCACGAGATGCTTCTGGTTAGCGCCGCCGGCTAATGTAAAACACTTTTCGGCGTAATAAGTACACTGAGTCTGTTCTCCATATATTAACGCGAAAGCTGGATATTAGTATTTATAGCATTAGCAATTGGCGGAAATTTCCTAAAAAGCTTCCTTAGGGAGCTCCCTTAAGGAAATCAGTCTCCTTAAGGATTTCCTATTATAAAAAGTTACTGTGACTTTCCTTAAGAGGAAAAAGCGACAAGCTGTGATAAACTTAGGCCAATAACAGCGGCTCTTTAAGGTGGCCCTTGCTAGTGCTACGAGCTCAAAGGTACCGCGAACGCGTTAACGTGTTCGCGGCTGTTGGTTTGTAGGCTACTCACGTACACCAGCAACATCCGCAGCAAGACACTACGCGCCCACCCCTAGCGAATCGCCCCAACGAACTGCCAGCTGCTACCCTTGTTATATATAATATACACCGCCCAGCGCCTTTGCACCTTTTCAAAAACTTCAGGGAGGTCATTCAAATACAGAGAAAACTAAACGACCTCCCTGAAGTTTTTGAAAAGGATTTAGCCCGCTCCCCTTCCGCGACTACCTTCCGCGCACAGCAATCGACCACGGCACAGGAGCGCGCGGCAGCCCTTGGAGATGGTTAGCCAGTAAACTCCCAACCAGCACAAAAGTGGGAGAACTGCAAGGGAGAGGGCCGGGTGAGCACTTGAAATTGTAGAGGCTGACGGGCTTCATCATATTGATTCATGAGATGAAGGCCAAAGATTTACATCTCTGCGCTTCAAAATCGAAGCCGCTGCTTGAGGGTGTCGATGGCTGTGAGAATGATTGATAGCCGTGAGCACTTGCGTGGCTGAAGGGTGGACCCTGGTGAGCCTCATGCATTATATCCATGAGAAGGCCAAAGATATAAACCTCTGCGCCTGAAGGTCGAAGCCGTTGAGGATGTTGATGTCTGTGAGAATGATCGCCGTGAGCTCTTGCACGTTTGAAGGGTGGACCCTGGTGAGCATCATCACACCCATGAAAGGGCCAAAGATATGCATCTCGGTGCCTGAAGGTCGAAGCCGTTGAGGGTGTCGATGTCTGTGGGGATGTTAGTCGTGAGCACTTGCATGACTGAAGGGCGGACCCTGGTGGGCGTCATCATATCCATGAAAGGGCCAAAGATTTCCATCTTTGTGCTTGAGTGTCGAAGCCGTTGAGGATGTCGACGTCTGTGAGACTGATAGCCGTGAGCCCTTGCAGTTCTGGAAGGTGGACCCTGGTGAGCATCGCCATACTCATGAGGAAGCCAAGGGCATGCATCTCCGTGCTTGAAGGTCGAAGCCGTTAAGGATGTCGATGTCTGTGAGAATGATGCATAGCCGTAAGCACTCGCGTGTCTGAACAAGGGTGGACCCTGGTGAGCGTCAGCACATCCATGAGAAGGCCAAAGGTATACAGCTTTCCTTTGTGCGTGAAAGTCGAAGCCGTTGCGGATGTCGATCTCGATGCCTGTGAGAAAGTAAGATAGCCACGAGCGCTTGCGTGTCCTATTTGAGGGGGGATCCTGGCGGGCGTCATCATGTCCACGAGAAGGCCGAGCGCATGCATCTCCATCGGCGAAGGCTGAAGGCCGAGGGCGTCGATGTCTGTGAGAATGATGACTGTGAGCCCTTGCATGTCTGAGGCGCGGACCGTGGTGGGCGTCTTGCATCATGTCCATGAAGCAGCCAAGCTTATAGATACATCTCCGCGCCTGAAGGTTGGGCCCAGCTTCTGGCCCTGCGCATAGATATGCCCAAGCGTGGCCTTCTCGTGGGCTCATCCATGGCGCTCGCCAGTGTCAGCCTTTTGCCATGGGTATGCTATGCCTTAAGATTCTCCTGGACATGATCACACTCAAAAGGGCCCAACCTCTGTGCCTACATATGTCCAAGCGTGGCTTTCTCATGGACTCCATGACGCTCAGCGGGCCAGCCTTGGCGCCCATTGGCTTGCCCCTAGCAAGCAAGTCGGCCAAGGCAGTGGCCATCGCGGTAGCCTCCTCACTAGCCTCGCCACGATGGGGGCCAGCTTCCCAGCCTTGGCGAGCAGACTTGGCGGCTTTTTTCGTTTGTCTTTCTGTCTCTTAGTTGTTACGTAACCAATGCCCAGCGCAGCGGGCCCTTGGTGGGCCCGCTTTCTGGGCATGTACAATTAGCAAAAGCTGGGCACAACTGTCTAAAGCTAAGCCTCTTGGCTGAGGCTAAGACCAGGTAGCTGTCAGACCTATTTAACCGCTTTAAGAAATCCAGTCCCAGCTTTTCCCAATTCTTCCCCATTTCTATCCAATACTCCCTCCCTAATTTACCAAAAATCTCCCAAGCTTTGGCCAATACCTCTTCCTCTTTTCCCCACGCTTCCCCCGTTATATAAAATACCCCCCAAGCTTCGCCCCATGCATCCCCCGTTTCACCTAACCAACCTCATACGCAGTTCTGCCTAATAGATTAGATGCGTACCCAGCTGCCGCGCCAACTGGTAACTAGTGCTGAGAATTGTCAAGAAAAGCTGAGCGAGCTATAGTCGCCACCGAGTCCCGCTAACTCCTGAAGCTTGGAGTTAGTGGGAATTATTGGGCAAAGCTGGGCACGGGCGGAGCCCGCAAAGCGTTCCATTAAGAGGAAGGATTGGTAGTAACTAATCTACTGGGCGAGCCTTGATGGCATTCTAGTACAAGCGCCCCGGCTTTCAAGCTGAGAAGTACTGGGAAGCGTCGGCACTTACGGGTAAAGCCTGGGCATTAAGTATTTATGGTATAGGCGCCCGGGCTTTATTAAGGCTGGCGGCAACTGGGAAGCAAGCATTGGTAGTAGTTATTGGCCAAAGCTGGGGGCTATCGTATCCGCGTCCAAGTTTTCAGGCTGGCGGTTTTTAATACTTGGAGACAAGAAGAGCAGTACTATTACTAAGTAAAGCACGTCGCTGGATTTAGCTTATGCTCATAAGTACGAGGCTCGGCAAATATTCCGAACGAGACATCACGCAGGTGGGTAACCTTGTCCAACTGAAGTTTCGGCGCAATTTCGTTGAGCACCTCTGCATCGCGCAAGCCCGCTGCGGTCGCCTTAACGCAGAAATCGTCGGCGATACCCATGAGAAAGACTTCTTTGACGCCTTTGTGCTCCAACCACTCAGCCAGGCCATTCGAATACTTCTCGAACTCAGTATTTCCTTCTCCGTTTCCACGAAAGCCCTTGTCCTCCAACCCGCGATCATCGTACACCCCGCCAAGGGAGTCATGCTCCATATGCCAGCCCTTTCGCACCACATACAGGTTCCCATGCTTTTCGCCATCGGCCCGGGCCCAAGGATTTTGACGACTATGAAAGAGGAAGAGTGGAAGGGAACACGCAGCCCTAAAATTCTGGGAAAACACCCGAACGAGATGCACGAACCAAGAGAAGCCAAGCCCAAGCACTATAAAAATGCACCAGAGCACAACCGAAACGAAACACAATGGGGGGAGGCAGCATACAACGCGAGGCCACGAAACGCCCAGACACCCTTCACACCCACCGAACCCACCGGCGCAGCCCGACAAACCCAGGCAGACGGACGCAGGCAGAGAGACAGAAGACACCAAAAGCAAAGCAGAGGCAGCCGACGACGCTGGGGCGCCTTTGTCTGGCCGGAAAGTAAAAACCCAAACACAAATCAAACGCCATGTCGCCAGGTTCAACTCTTCTCCAACAAACAAACACACGAGGCGGGCCCCGGCGAGGTCAGCTAAAATCTCCTTCCGCCAAGATCAGACACGGCGCGCCAAGTGAGGCCACGCAGAAGGGCCCAAGCCGCGAAAACAGAGCACCCACCAGCCGCCAGGGGAGACGGGGGACAGCGCGATAGACAGGCGCACAAAATAAAAAGAGAAAAAGAATCCCGCCCCCCACGAGTGGTACATATACGAACGACACACCACAAAAAACCAACCGAAACACCCTGGCGCGCCTGCTGCTTCGGCGTGTTTTCTGCTATTTTTCGCAGCATTTTTGTGGACGGCGGGCGGCGCCCTTTCCTGGCTTCGTTTTGGGCCCCCTTAGCACGGGCACGCCGTCGGTTTTCTCGGTTGGTGCGGGGGGGGTGTTCTTCATGGGACTGTTACAGAATACAGTGGGCAAAGGCGTCCGCCCTCCCTACGCGCGCGCGAAGGGTTTCTTCCCTCAGTGAATGCACGCCAGCCAAGCGGCTACCTGCATCGCCTTGGCGAATTAGCAAGCCTGCGGGGGAATACCACTGGGGAAAGCTGCGGGGGCAATAAAAATTGGCGCGGCCTAAAACTCGCTGACTTAGCATCTCTCGGCCCTCATGACTTCTCCCTCGGGTGTTTGTCCTCGGACTAAGATGGACACGCGCCAAGCGCACAGATTTGCCCAGCCGTTGTCGCTCTTATACCTAGTAGCGGCACCAGCTTCATGTAACAAGATTCTCTGCACATCTGAAGCCTACAAAATCGACAAGAGTATACTCTCCACCATAAGATGGCACACACGACTGCTCCTGAATTATGCCCCCGGCCAGTGCACAAAGGTCATCAATGTGCAGGGCTTCCCCACTGTCCATCAGGCAATGACCAGGAAAGAGTTTCTGCTGAAGTATAGGCCCCTCACTATCATCATTTATGTCGCAGTGCGTTCTATCTCCTCCGCCCTTTCCCTCTCCCGGAAGCCTGGCCAGAAGCTCTTTCTCCGCCTCTACCCACTCGTAGCTTAGAAGGCTGCCACAATTGTAATTAACGCGGTTCATCAATTCAGCCGCCCGCGTAAAGAAGAAGTATAACGCCGTTGCGGGGCTGACTAGGCTGCGGCCTTTGCATCTACGGAAAGCCCTCCGGGCCGGTCACGCGTGAACACAAAAGAGAACAGAGAACAGGCGAGCGGATGCAAAGCGAGCCTCCCTTTCGGACCGGTCTGTCTGACCACTGCGCAAACGCCTGGCAGAGGCATGCTCAAGACCCTACTTACTCGACAGCCGAAAAAAGCGGTGGCATTTTCAGACACTGCTGAAAATATTCGGAAGCGAGCTAGTGCCACGAATGGCCATCGAATTCGAAGAAGAACGAGCAGAGCGAGGAACAAAGAGAGAGAAGCGAAGCCCATTGGCGGAGGACAGAAATCCTATGGAACAGAGAACCGCAGCCAGCCCACCCGGGCCCATCCCGTCTTGCTTCACCATGTTTCACCCCAGCCATCAGGCGACACCTTTTCAGCAAGCAAGCCGCGCCCCAGTGAGTGTGTCAACCTGGGCAGCCCGCGCTAACCTATTTGACTAGCCCCATGCGCCTCTAGGCCAATCCGCCCTCGAGGCGTTATAGGGTCCCCGTGTTTTCGACCCTACCCTCACCCCCGCTCCAAAAGTCGCTCAACCACCCGACAAGGCGCAACCAACTCAACAGCGCCGCTCATAATATACAGCTCGAAAGCAGCTCACAAACAGACTCAGTCACGCAGCCGAAACACACACACAACACTGCCCAACCACCGCGCGACAACTGGCAATAAAACGAAGCGCGCAAGAAACACCACGGGGGACATGGCTCCGGCGCATGATATACGGCGCGGACACACAAAACACAGCGAACACACACCCACGCGGAAGGCGCGGCCCACCCCGACCCACCCCCCGACGCACTCGCGGCGCGCGACGCCCGCCCGCCAGATAACACCCTCTTCCGCGCGCAAGACACATTCCCACGCTCGCGAGACTGGCGCGACGGGTCCTCGAGGTGCTCCCGCGGGGTCCTCGCGCTTAGTTCTGACAGCTTTGCGCAGCGGCGTAAGATTCACACCACCCCACCACACGGCACGAGGCACAGCGCTGCTGCGAGATAACGACGACCGCAGCGAGAAGCCGATACTAGAGTGGAAAAACAGTGGAGGAGAAGGAGCCCTATCACAGTGCGTGGGAGTTACGAGCGGCGGGGACAAGTGTGCGAGCGGTGGCAGTATAGCGTCCCCGGCTGCAGGCGGCTGCTCTCCTCTGAATCGAAGTGGCCTCAAGGAGCTCAACTAGCACTCTCACTTAGGTATCTCTACAACATAAGGCATCACTCATGACGGCAGCGTCTTTTTTCGAAATGCGCGCTTTCCGATTGTCGACATCCATGGCTCGCTTGCACATTCTAAGTGGTGTCAGGCCTTCCTTGTTTAGGAGCTCGACCTTTCTATCTGCGGGCGTGGACGATATTGCGAAGGTGCTGACTTACGACATGGCGAGTATTATCTTGCTAGTGCTGTCAGCGCGACAGTCAGACTCGCCCACTCGCGGCAAATAGATTCATCTGGGCCAATGAAATAAGAAACGCCAGACGCCAAGAGGCGCGCGAATCGAAGGCCGCCAGGAAGCGTGTGGGCGACTGCGCTGCGAAGGTAGATAACTAAAGGAGAGGAGCGAGGCAGGGAAGTAGGCGAAAAGAAATGGGTGAGTCAGTCATAACTCTCAGAAAGCAACAGAAAACTAATGCGCGGAAGAATTTGGCTGGCTTTACTGAAAGAACTAGCACCAAGACTTAATCGAAAAGACAGCGCCTGCAACACACTAACGCCAGAAGCCGCCTGAAAGCCTCAGCCCGAAGCTTGCAGCCTTTTTTGGGTAGCGCTACGCAAAACACCCCGCAAAAGCCACTGGCTTTTGGGGATTGAAAACTAACTCTGAAAGTAAGGCATTGTTTGAGAGAGTGCGGCACCCCAGAACAACCCTCCCACAGAAGCCGCTTGCTTTTGAGGATTGAAGACCACAAAAGCAAGCTCGAGGCCTTCGGCTCGGCTACTCAAAACGACCTCCGAAGGCCGGTGGCTTTTGAGGATTCAAAGCCCCCAACTTAAACTTTTCACGCCAGATCCTCAAATTGAAAACCGCTCGCAAAAGCCAGTGGTTTTTTACGGGGTTTCCCCGTAGCTCTACCCATTGAGTAGTGAGTAAGGCCTACTCGATGAGTAGAGCCTCGAGAAGGAACTCAAAAACCGCGGGTTTTTCCGAACGATTTCAAATTTCGACACAAGATACCAAGATCCACAAGACGAGGCCAAGCGCAGTGCGAGGCGTGCAAGCCTCAAAAAGCGCTGGCTTTTGGGACTTGTTTGGAGTAGCTCTACTCAGCAGAGGCCTCAGAGTCAGGCCTGAGACTTTCAAGCGTCAAAAGCCCGTGGCGCAGCTACTCAAGTGCTTCCGCCCTCTCTCTATCATCAAGTGTGACCAAGGCGAATAGAATGAATATGGATACTGAATACAGAAAAACACAAACGCAAAATCGTTAGAGAATACTGGATACAAGATGAGAATACAAATACTGGAGAGAAGAAGAAAAAAGAAACACCACACACACCGGCCAGCCGCGTGCGCTGCGTGCAAGATGCGCATCCCCGCCCGATGGGTACGGAAGAAGGACGCAGGACGGTGAATAACCTATGCCAGCAAATTATACGCGCCCGAACTAGCTATGTCGAGCACCTTCGCCAGTCTTCATATCATCAATACTCCGCGCGAAACTGACGTGGTTTACAGGGTGGAAATCCTGCAGCAAAGCGATCACCCCATTTGGTCGAAGGAATGAAAGCAGAGAGCTTGGCTGCTAGGTAGTAAGCCCACACAGCCAAGGCGCGGGGAGCTGTTATAACGAACGTTGATACGACGAGGGATGCTAAGTATACCAATGGCGCGGCTCCATATAGACACGACCCACACCAACCGCCCGACCCACTGCGGCCCCCCCTGGTTGATTCTTTTCATTCACTTAGTTCACTACTTAGGCTTAAGCAACGCTTTCGCTTCGAGCCAAACAGCGGGGGGAGCCTAACTACGAAAAAGGAGCCAGAAGCGACTGGTGCTACGAAGGAGCAAAAGCCTGCGACTTTTCAGGCGATGCCTCTGCTGACTATGCACTAACGACGCGCCGCCGCCATCGCAGCCCCATCAGCGCAGAGCATGCCGCACCACCGCAGGCAGGCCTGTCCCCTGTGCCGCGCCTTAGGCGGGTGCCCTGCTCTCTGGCTGTGTGCACACGTTTGCGTGTAGGGCATTTCCACCTTTCTCATCTGCTGAGACGAGGCGACAACTACCCGCCAACAACAAGGCGGCAGCACCTCAGGCTCGAAGAATGATTATGCCACCCTGCTTGACGATAACAAAAGAGCGCGCGTCCCGCTGTATCTATGAGGGAGTCTCCTCGCTTTTTTAACTACCCGATCGGCATTTCCTGGCCCCTCATACGTGTTCGAAAGATGTGCATTACCATTGCGACGAAGGAGACGACCACGATCGATTAAAAGACTCAGACGGCCATGACCCAAGGCACCCGCGGGCAGAACGAAACGAAGGAACCCCGAAGCACAAGAGCACGCTAGGCAAAAGAACAAACAAGAGAGAAAGAAACCGAGCGACACACGGCGACGGTGCACGACTCGACACGACCAACAACGAAAGGGCGCCGCGGTCCGGTTGCGCTTGCTAGTGCCCAAGGCCCCACCAGAACGAAGCCCCGCAAAGTCAGTGACCCAGCCCATAGATACCAACCGAAGAAGCAGGCACACCATCGAGGGCAGAAGCCGCAAGGGCCCCCCGCCTGGTAATTTAAGCCGGGACCAAGCACGCCAAGCCAAAGCCACCCCAAAACGCCAAGCAGAACCACAACCGCATGCCGCGCCGTCCTGGGGGGCACGGCATGCCCCTAAATGCAACAACGAACAAGCCCCAGACCGCCAACGCCTTACCCCCAAGAGCCCGCAATCCTCCCGCATCCAATTGCCCGCCACCCTCACGCCCGGAGATATGAATTGAAACAACAAGCGGCAGCGGCTGCGGCCCAAGCGAGAAGCTTCACCCCGCGCCACGGCGCGCGCAGGCGTAAGCGTGCGCCGCCCAAGCGCAAGCGCCGCGGACTTGCTGCGAGGCCGTCGCCGACCAATACTCGCCAACGGCGGCCGGGTGTGCAGGCACGCGCGAAGCGAGGACTTACCCGGCCCAGCCAGCCCAGAAGGCTCCATCCGTTGCAGCGCCGCGGGCGCAGCCCCTTATACCCGCCAAGCCACGGCGGGGTGCACTTGCTGCATGCAAGCATCTCTCGACGCTTTGCGCGGTGCATAGTGCTGCCCCATTAGGCCCCGGGGGCCCTCCGGGTCTCTTCATACGTCATGACCCGTAGACGGTGCGCCCTCTCGACAAGGGGCAGCATCCTGGGAGAGCAAGTAATTAAAAGCGTGGCGCGCTCTGTTGAGATGCGATAACGATGAGGCGGCATTGGCATCAGCGACACATGCCCAGCAAGCGGGCACATCAAGGAAAGGCCCGCTGCACTGAGAAAAAGTTAGCAACTAGGCAGACATGACAAACCAGCGAAGAAAGCCGCGAGGCCACCAAGCTAGCTACGCGCGCGGACAATCTTGTCTAAAAAACAGTCAGACAAGAACGTGCTCCCACCTTATTGCGCAGCCAGGCGTTGGGCTTTGCTTCCGTTTTTTTCGGTAGTGTCATGGGGGTCGCGTAAGTTCGCGAGAATTTGCGTGACCTCCACGAGAATCCAGCAAAGGTGTCGCGCTATTCCGAAGCTAGCAAGCTGGCAACGACTAAGTTGGGGCAAGCTGGCTTTGAATGCACTGGAAAGCTGGCCACGGCTAAGCTAGCGTAGCAAGCTGGGCTGGCTATGGCTGGGCTAGCAAGCTGATTATGGCTAACAAGCTCAGTTCCACTTCAGGCCATCTGATTATTAGCTGGCCATGTCTAGGCTAGCGCGCTTCTAGCTGGACCTAACGAGCCCAGCACGCTGGCCTACATGGCTAAGCTAGCAAGCTGACTATCAATGGCTAAGCTAGCAAGCTGACTATAGCTGAGCTAGCGCGCTGGCCATCGCTGTGGCCCACCTAGCAACACTGCCTGGCACCCCTTTGCCCCTTTGTGCTCTTTTAAATTCTCTACGAGAATCCAGAAGGGAACCCTCTAAAACCACGCCCCGCACGCGGGTCCGACAGGGGCCCGCCGGTGCCCGATGCTGAAAAGTAGACAGATAAGAAAACCAACGAAAACGCTCTAGCCTGTCACGCGAAGCCAGCGCGCCGCCATCGATCTGCGCTATGTATAGCTAAGCAAGCAAGCGGCATACTAGGGGTAAGCGAGCGGCCTGCCTGGCGATGACTAAGTAAGCCATAACCCGCCTTAGCAGGCTGAGCCATGCACACCATAGCCGCCCAGCTTGCTTTGACCCATGGCCAGACACTGCTACCGTAGAAGCAGAAGCCAGCGCGCCAGCTAGTTTAAAAGCCACCCATCGCCAACGAGCTGGGAGGCCAAAGCTAACAAACGGGCGCACAAACGTAGCCGCGGAGCCATAGCCAGGCACGAGCCAGCCATAGCTATCGAAGCAGCTTAGAAGCCCGACGCACGAGACAGCCAGCTTCGAAGCCGCAAACCGTTGGCCCCGAAGCCGTGGCAAGCCAGCACCGGGCCCATAGATAAGTAGCCAGCCAGTAGAGCAGAAGCCAGCCCTCGCCGGCTACCTAGCTCGGGAGCCATATGAGCCAGCTAGCTTAGAAGGCATAGCCAGACGCAGAGAGTTTAGAAGCCGGCGCAAGCTAGCTCAGTCAGAAGTCCTAGGCAGCTGGCGAGCTTAAAGTTCGGGTCCTAATCAGCTTGCTAGCTTCAGGTCCATGGATGCTTAACCTGGGAGCCGCAGCCGCTAGCCAGGAAGCCACCGGCGGCGAGATTGAATCCCACCGGCCGCCAGCTTAGAAGCTACCGCTAGCGAGCTTACCTAGAAGCAAACAGATTCCGTGGCCAGCTAGCTTAGAAGCCATGGCCGGCTAGCTTAGAAGCCGTGGGCAACTCCATAGCCTAGAAGGGCGCCACGGGCTTGCCAGCTTGCTAGTAGGGTCGAAGAAGCGACAGCTCCGCAACTTCTGTAGTCGCTGCTCCGTTAAGGAGAAGCCCTTACGGAGAGGGCTATAAGTAGCCAAATCCCATTCAAGACGCCCGCCAAGGGCCCTCCCTAAGGATGGCACTCCACTAAGAAGCGCCCTTAGGGAATTTCCTTAAAAAGGATGCTTCTTAAGTAAGGAAATCAAGTACTTTAACAAAGTGCTTAAGGACGAACTGTAAGTATCGGTATGAAGACTAGCACCACTCATAGTATGAGCGCTTCTCTTGAAACTCTTAAGAGCCTCAGCAAAGGCCTTCCTTAAAGAAATGGCCTTCGAATTTCTACTCTGAAAGCAAGAAGCTACTATACGCGAAAATGCTCCCTAAGAAGGCTCCCCAAGGGGCGCTTGCAATGGCCCTAGGCTAATAGCAACCAAGCCCTCCCTCGACGGCCAGCTTGCTAACTTAGTCATCACCAGCTTCGCTTGCTAGCGTGGCCGTCGCCAGCGTGCTAGCTCAGCCTCAGCCGCCGCCAGCTTAACCGCTGCAAGCTTGCTAGCTTAGCCATGGCCGCGCCAGCCTGCTAGCTTAGCCATGGCCAGCCTGCTAGCTTAGCCATAACAGTAGCCCGCCTGCCCGTCTAGCCACAGCGACAGCCAGCTTCCTGGCTTAGCCATGGCCAAGGCGCTGCCTCATTCGGGGCCAGCTTGTCCCCGCTTATTCATGGCATGCCAGCTTGCTAGCTTCAGAGTAGCCCCGCTTTTTTGCTGGATTCTCGTGGAGCTCACTCGGATGCTCATGAATAATGAATTTGCACGACCTCCCCGGCATTCCTGGAAAAAATTTACAAGCGACAGATAGTAGCAGCGCATGCAATTTATATTTAACGCAGAGGCACGCCGTCCGTCTGTCAAAGCTAACAAATCTGCGCGCGTCGCTAGCTTGGTGGCGCAGCGCCTCTCTACTCCGCTTATCTTATCTGTCTAGTTGCTAACCTATGCCCAGCGCAGGGGGCCTTTGATGGGTCCGCTTTCTGGGAATGTACTAATATCACTAATGCTGAAGGGGCTAACGGGTAACCTTGTCAATCCTAGAAGACCAAGGGGGCTACGTAGTGCTCAAGTCTGTCTTTCAAGGAAGGCGGTCTGCAACTGCATCGTGTCGTTACTGCTTAATGTTGAATATTGAGTCCTTTCTTGGTAGTGGTAAGCGTGGTTACAAAATATCCTAACCGTAAATTTTTCAGGAACCCCTCCACCACTTTGATCACCTTCTCTTTGTATGAGTCGTCTCCCTTAGGGTTTTGCAGGCCGCACCAAAATGGTTCCGCCAAACTGCGGTCTCCCTCTCCATTGAGCGTGTCACCTGCCTTGCCAAGCCGGAGCGCATCGCAAGCAGGGGAGCCACCATTTTCCGTGAAGCACTTCTGCACATCGACAACTATCAGGGCCGCACGCGGTGCACCCGGCGGATCATTAGAACTGGTTAACACTGTCTATGAATTCACTTTTTCGAAAACCTAACTCTACATCGATGAAGGTGGGAGCTGATCATCTGCTAGTACGGTGGCAGCTGATCATCTGCGCAAATGCCTACAGTAATAGCTGATCTGTGAAAATGAATCATCCTCCATCTTCATAAAAGCACCAGAGTCGGCACCAGGAGGCCCAGTCTCGAGAAAACTGCAGTCACCACCCGCACAAGAAGTGCCATTCAAAGCGCTCACGTGTCCGTCTGTTGCCGCTCCCACTCCGTATTTATCGGAAAACTTTGCGGAGCCACGCAAAGAGGGCTTCCCTGCAGTGCACAGAACGTTCCCAGAAAGCAGCACAAACAGTGCCACCAGACAGGGATACAAAGCGGAAGGTGGTAAGAGCTTCATCGTCCCCATCATGATGATCGTGAAGGTGATGATGCTGATGATTTACCAGAAAGCAAAAATTTCACTTGAAATTATGCAGATAAAAGAAAAATCAATCTTCAACCTCAAAGCAAACAATTATCACGTTGATGAAAACCAAAAAAGTGATGAATTGTAATTCTGACTATTAGAAAGTAAGGTGACTCGTGACTCCACTTATTCGTAGTATTAATGAAGATGAGTAACTACTTTGTTTGACGGGATAATAATACTTAATGTTAATGATGACTTGATGATTATTACTACTTTGAGAAAATAGAAGCCACAATATTAAAATTAATTCTTGTTCGTAGTGATCCGGTATTTTTACTCTGACGAAAAAGTAAATTCGGTGCTGTTTCTTTGTTGCTCGTGACGTGGTAATTATAACTACTTTGAGAAAGTAAAAAGCGCGATTTTTTCACATTGGTTGCGAGAAGATACAGTCGGTTGCATACAACTCTCTGTCAAACTGGTAAAAAAAAAAAAACGAAACACGGGATGTGTTGAGCTTTTTCCTTACAGCGAAAAGAGTCTGCTAAATGGAGATTGTTTGTGAAGATTGTTTGTTGCAATATTGGTGTGAGGTCATCTTCATCCTACTAATATCTTCTCACTTAGTGTCTTTCTATCTTTTTGATTGTTTTCTCTACTGATTCAGAGTTTGCTTGAAGCTTGTCTCACGATTAAAAATCAACGTAATAATTATTCGAGAGGTGTGAAGAGGGCGAGGATCTCGTGCTGGGGAGACTCTTCTATCTGTCGCGACCGATGCCATGACAGATGAAGTTTTGCAAGAACAAGTGAGGGCCCCAGCATAACAGACGGCAGCAAAAATGTCCGCTCACACTTTTTGCACAGAAGATGGGAAGCCATCCACTCTACACTTTTGCCAATTCTTTACCAAGAAGAACACCTGCTGAAGTCGTGGAATACATACTTACAGGTCTCTCGTTCGAAAGTCTCTCGTTGCTAAACAAGTACTCGTCGCTAAACAGCGCAAGCAAGCAGATCGCCTGTTGTTCAACATCAACGCAAGGACCTACACTTCGTCTTCGATCACTTACACTCGTTGCTCACCAATTTCCTGTAATGTTTAGAGGGGCTACTTTCTTCCTGGACCCGAGGCATCCTGCGATGTGAACCTTGGTGAGTATTGTGTTTACGATTCACCATCGTTACTGAGCAGGGGTTCATCATCGTTACTGGGGTGGGATCGATGCGCATGGTGTACATCAAGAGACGTACTCACCGCATAAAAATCGGCTGGTGATGGTGTCGACCTTGCTGGGTTGCTAGTAGTATTCTTGTGATTATGACGGCCCATTCTGGAGGGTCCCATTCTTCTTCTCACAACGGGCAACGATTTCTACGTCGAGGCCCAAAGCTGAAGGCCCGTAGAACTGTCTGTAAATTTTTTTTGAATTGCCTTGTATTTTTATACGTAACCTGACGAGTAGCCCGACGAATCGTTTGACGGGTAGTGGTAGGCGTAGAAGGAAGATGATAACATATTTATAAATATATACTGACCAAGATCGCCGTCCACTTCTAGACATATTTGCCAGAGCGTGACGAGCAAGAGGGGGAGCGTTTAACAGATGAAGCTCTGTTGATATCCACCGACTATGCGTCGAGAATGACAGATCTGATGGTGAAGATGAAGCGACGGCAGTACGAGATGATCCAAGAATACCTGTTAAAACCGAGCGACACACTACACGCACATACTTGGCTTCTAGCGAATACTGTAGGAATGCGGATGCACAGCACACTACCGCACCGATCAAATAGCGATCCAGAATTTCAAACCAGAGCAGTAGATCAAAGAACCAGGTTGATAGAATGGGAGATACAAACACATGAACAAGAGGTCGTAGGAGAGGAGTATGATAGGATAGAGGGGACCCGGAGGGGCTACATCGCCCCCTATAGCGACCTACGGGAAAGCCTGTGGGGGGTTATTTTCAACCTCCATACATAGGTATTTCCGTAGGCCGCTATAAAATGATATCGGCCTTAAAGAGGGGATCCAGATCCACGTGAGCACTAGAACTTAGTAGAACACTCAAGGGAGATCAAGTTCAAGATTTTTTTCTACTTGTCAGCTGAGAGAATCCCACTCTTCTTCTTCGTAGAACTACAGACACTAGGACATGCTCATGCATCACTTCTACTTCGAGGTATTCAGCAGAGCGTCATCTTCAGATAGAATATCATCTAAAAGTTGTAAACCCAGGTGGTCAGTGATCTTTTGATAGATGAAGAAGTTTACCACTCATCTGCACGAGACACCATCTTCAGTGGAGACCGTCAGATGAGAGATGAAGACAGCACGAGGCTCGAAGGCTCTTCCCTAGCCTCAGTCTCGTCATAACCTCTTTTCCAGCCTCCGTCTCGTGGTAGGCTCCCCTGCACCTGACTTTTTCTAAAAAACATCGTGCAGCTGCGTCCTCAGCAAAGTGTTGATGACAAGCTTCTTCCTCTTCCGAAGACGATAATGAGCCACTCCTTTTCCTTATTCCTTTTCCTTCATCGACGGCGATAATGAGCCACTTCGTCTCTACCATTTCCTCATCTCAGCGGACTTTCGGTGCATCCTTCTTCTATCGTTCGGAGTGCATCCACGTCTAACGAATATGAAGAACGATCATGTTCATGCTTCAAATATCATGATTAGCTCACAAAGAATATGAATAGCGATACTGAATTTTGTGCGAGATGTATTGTATTGTATCTCATAGAGTCCACCACCTAGTACAGCAGGACGCCTCATATTACAGAGTGGAGTCGAGCTAAAGGACGACAGGTCGTAGCGTCGAGCTAAAGGACAGATAGTAGCGTCGAGTAAGAATACAGCCAATACTGGAGTATGTAAGTATTTGTATACTCAGTATAGATAGATGTACTTTCAACAAGATAAAGGTTTTTTAGTCCGACACACAAGAAGAACGATGACCCTTGTTGCTCATAAAGGGGCCCGCGCATTTTTCGGAGGGACTGCTCCTTTGCCGAAACCGTCCAAACCGTCCACAGGCTTCAAGCCGATTTGCTACATTAGAGCAGCTAGAAAGTTGATGATTTTTAAACCGACTTGCTACATTAGAGCGAGAGGGCTGGTGACGCGTTGCATGAAGATGTTACACCGGAAGCTCTACCTTAAGCCCTGAAGTGGGAGCGTCATGATATCTTGCTGAACAAGTTAAATGTAAGGCAATTCGAATGTTGTCAAGCTCCTTGCGGGAGGTGCATGTCGAACAACATACGATACCAGGAGGAGAAGGAGGGAATTATGAAGTTTTCTAGCTAACCTAAAAATAGAATATAAGTGTACTTAGGGATAGGGTTAGGATCGTATTACTGGGAAGAGCCTAACAAACTAGAAAGAGAAACGGAAAAAAGAGCAGACAATGTCGCTGTGAGAGGAATAGTAATAAAATGAGGAAGGGATAACGATAAGGATAATTTTAGCTGGTATAAAATAAGACGAGGGAAGACACATCAACTACACCTAACCTGTCCTATTATTACTAGGAGCCGTAAATGTAAGGCATCAATGTTTTTCTTCATTTTCTTCGCATTCCTTTTAACGGTAAACTCCAAGGTCTCCAGCGCAGGCAGGATGTATGAAGAGGCGGGACAAGGGCAAGAGTGCTGGAGCTGCACTTGAAATACAGCAATAGCAACATTGCTAGAGATCTAACTACGGGAATTGAACGTTGAGTGGGAAAAACAAGAAACCTTTCCATTTCGAATGGGCTCATTCATCCAGTCACAGTGCAACTTCAAAGTTAAAAATCAGAACGAAGTGACATCAAAACGAAAAAACATAAAATTTCCGAATTCAAGTGCATGTGTACTGAATCGAGCCTGTTTTCTGTATCCCGAAGCCTCCAGTGTACCTCCTCCACCGTCTGCCGCTTGCTAGAGCCATCCGTCAATTGCTGTGTTTGATGAACGTAAGTAGGTCTAGAGTCGGTTATGAGGAACCAGACGAGGAAAAAATATATTATCGGCTAATAATCTTTTTACCACTGAATAATGTTCGTAAAAAGACCCAAGTGGAATTATTACAGTTTTTTTTCCACTGACTAGGTGGTTAAATTAATACTTCATTTACATTTCTATTAAAAGGTCGGGCTTTCAAAAACAGTCAATTTAGGGGCATCCCATTTTCCACTCAGGCGCGAGGACTTCTAGCACCCGTTTTTATAGAAGCATAACTCAAAAAATCCTTGTCCTTATGTCCACGTTTCCTCAAACTAGCGAGATGAGGGGCTGCGGTTTCCGTGTACAATTTCGCCAGAGCCTCCGCTTGCAGATCTCGTCTACCATCTCCTAGCTCTACGCTGGTTTTAAGTTTAGACCTTGATGCATATGCGGATTCCTTACAACTGGAGCCTCTCTGCAAGAAATGGAGGTGATTTTTTTCCTTTATATCATGTGGGGAAAGGTGCATACCTCCATTACCTCAACACGTGAGTTGGTATGCTCTTATCACATTGTTCATCCTTGCTTCCCTTGTCATCCTTCCAAGAATGCGATACACAAATGAGACTCTACTTCTAGCTCTAACTCTATCAGCTGTAAGTCTAAAGGTTGAAAACACATAATATGTCGTGTCCTCTGGCTCTGCCTCTGCGTCCCAGGAGCCTGGTCCGTCTCCATTCGCATGCGTAATGCAGCAATATTGCGCCTCAAGAGACCCAAATTAGTAATGTTACTCTTTGCACCTGTAGTAGAGGCTGAGGACTTCTCTCCTGAAGATAGTAAAATCAATCCGGTCTCCTTGCAAACCGTGTTTTCCAGTGCTTCAAGACGAGAACAGACCTTCATAGCACCATCTTCTCCATCTTCATCGTGTCTGGAGGCGTCATTGGACTTGATGTTTTGTTCGTGACCCACATCACCTCGTGGAGCTCCCCTTCGTCTTTGTGCTGCTGCTCGCTCTAGCTATGAAAGAAAGAACACCCCAAGACAAACACGTACTATCAGCAATTCGTAAAACTTCTCTCAAGCTGTAGTTTTCCATTTTAGCACTAGCACACATAGTCACTAACTTAGCAAAAAGCACCTTGAACCTCACATGATAGTGATAACAGGAGTAGATCTACTTAATTTTTGTTCCACTTTCATACCAGTAGCGTGTTTGTTCTTCGTGATAAAGCATCGATTTGCGATCGACGCGTCTTCACTCCGAAAACTTCCAAAATTGGAATTTCCACGTTAGCCACGACAGACTCGCCCGTACGTCCTAGCAGAACTTGTTGAACCAGGGAAGACGATTTATTACTCGAAGATGTTAGAGGTAATGGAAATACATTCCTCCGAACATCCCTTACTCATTTCCTACTGAAAAAAGAGTGAGGGATGTAATGTGGGAATCCCTAAAGATGAACGGCTGGCTGCCTCTGGCGATACACGCGGTCCTCGTCCTTGCTCATCGGCTTTTTCTTAGATCTAGAACTAGCTGCTGTTGTAGTTGTAGCTAGTAAACGTAGAACAAAAGTACTTAGGTGTTAGTCGTAGAGAAATGAAGGAAAACATTCAAATTGACATCCGTCTAGTAACTCTACTCTTGCTATTCTGCAGGGCACAATAGGTATGAGAACGAAAGCTTCGTCTCCTCCTGAGCCAAGCCGCGATATTGATAACTTCTAAGAAGCTGAAGCAGTTGTACAACTACCAAGTCCAGAAAAGTTTTGATCATTCTACATTCTGCTTCGTCATGCAGTAGTAGTAGTAGTAACAGTAGCTAACCCAATCCTGGGGTACAGTCCAAAAAGCATGGGTGGATTGGAGTTCATTACCCTGCTAGTGGAGGCACTTAGTAGACTTATTTTCTGTTTCTCTGACTCTGAATGCTGTACTCCATAAAAGTTGACTACCCTATCCCTTAGGCTGGCAAGCCTCCGCCATATTTCTGCGTGAACGGGTCCAACACCACGTGTCTGAAACTCCTCAAAGGAAGAGACTGCTTCCACCAACATTTAGACCCTTCTACCCATTCACCAACATCTATTCAGATACTTTTTC